TGGGCAACAATTTCTTAAAAAAGATCTTTCATTTTTAATTGTAAAGAAAAGGGGTTTTGATCAATTTCTGATAGATAAGCTCTCAATAGTCAGTTCTTAAGATCACTTCCCTGTTTTTCTTGAAAAAGAACATAATCTCTTTTCCCAATTTTAACTGCCCCTTGTGAGATTTCATCCGTGATGGTTAGTTTGATTTCTTCAGTTTGAACAACTCCCTGCTTTCCTACTTATCTCTTTCTGAGATTATAGCTTGCTTATCTCTTTGGAGAATCACCTTTTCTGTAAAGTAGAAAAAATCTCTGAATATATATATATATATATATGTGAGAGGGATTTGATCTTCAGATTTTTAGAGGTGTCTCCTCCAGTTTGCCAGCCACTGACCCTTCCATTTATCAACTCTGTGCTAGTTGGTTTTGTTGACTTTTCCAAACCTGATAATACAAAAATGTCACGTGGGTTCTAGGATGGGTCTCTTTCTTTATCCAAATCGTGTTAGGCTCATTTTGTTTGGAGCCCAAGATGTGATTTTCTTTTAAGGCCCGAGTCTATTGGTCTGGTTTGGACTAGGTCTTTCTGGATCTTGAGTTTCCTCTTGTTGGGCTAGGCGTGCTAATTTAAGCCTAAACAACTTCTAAATGCACCTAAAGTATGTTTAGTTACACTAACACCTCTTGAAGTTTTTGGTTCGTTCACAAAATTCTTTGAGATTTATGAAATTATATAAATACCCTTTAAAATTTTAAATTGTTTTCACAAATCTGCTTTTTCGTTAATTTCAATATAACTAGTTCGAGGTTGGTTTTGTTTTGAATTATACTAAAAGCCATTTTCAGTAATTTTCCCTTGTTTTTTTAATGTCGACAGCTGACTTGATTAAAATTAAAACTGAAAACCTGTCAAGGAGAAGATAGATCAGCAGCTTTTTGATGGACTAGGAGACAATTCGAAACACCCTAAACCAATCTCTGTTCCAACCAAACACCCATTTCTTTGATTCTTAATCATAATTAGACAAGAAATGGCACCCATAACCTTAATTTTTTTCACTAAAAGAAATTAAGGAGTTAAATTAGGTCAGTGATCATTGACATGGGGGCACAAACCAAATTAAGATCTGATTACATGTCTGTTTAACCAAAAACAATATGTTTATATGAACAACTAATCTGGTTCATATATGGGTTACTAAATCCTAATCTCCATACCTTCCAGACATTGAGCTGGCCTCATCATTTAAAGTAAAATAAAAATAAAGTAGAAGAGATTCCCCTATCATTGCCACTCTCACCTGTAACTTATTTTTATACTATATAAATAAATAAGAGATTACAGAAAACATCAAATCCACCTTCTATTGTATTTTGAATTGTTTTGTTGGAGCCTGCTTTTCAAGAGCATGGAGAAATATAAAAATTAAAAATTAAAAAAAAATACCCCAAAACACATAAAAATTATTAGAGCTCATGCACTTCCTGGGCATTTCCTCAAACTTCCAAAATCTTGCATTTTCTAGAATTTGATCACTAAAAAATATCTAAAATTAATTTATAATGTGTGACTTGGGAGCTGAAATTACTTTCTCTTCTTGGGAAAGGTGGATCTTGTAATATGATAATTTTTTACACTCCTGCAACCTGTTTTGTAACATGGAAAACTGGTTCTTTCTGGTGATATACTAAACAATATATGATTTTAAGTAACCTAATTAATGTGAAAGCAGAACTTGAAGGACCCAAGAAATTTTTAAAAAAAATTTAGAAATTATGGGATTGCATTTATAATTCAATTACAAAAATATTAGCCATAAGCTACAAATGGCTATTACAATAACATCAAAATTAAGATAATCTGATGCGTCTCCACTAATGATCACACTAGATCAAAGAAACTCTAATGTAGACATCCTAAGATTGCAAACTCTAAATAATAATAAAATATAAAGTATGAAAAAACAAAACAATAACAATAAAATAAACTCAAAAAAAGAGGTGGATAAGCTACAAATATCAACAAGTCAAGTGAAACTCTGCATCTAAATCACTAATATGAGAGAGAGAGAGAGAGAGAGAGAGAGAGAGAGAGAGAGAGGGTTTCAGGTGGGGGGGGGACAGTTTGTGTTGTATTATGATAAAGTAAATGCAATGAGGATTTTAAAGTGTATTTGGTCACTCAGAAAAGCGGTGGTAAAGAATGGTGCTGCCAAATTATAAACACAATCCCACCAATTCTGGCTCATATTATATTTTAGCTCACAAGCAACAACTAGTTTATTTTATGAGAGCTTCATCCTTCTTTCCTTTTATCTTTTATATGTTTTTGTCCTTCTTCTGGTTTGGGTATGTTCAATAGCTGGAATTGCATTGTATTTGAAAAAGTTGACTATTTGATCATATAATTTCAGGTTCATGACTGCCCTCAGAATTTGTAAGACTCACCACCCAACATATTCTCTTCTACCCTCACACCCAATATCATCAACAAAAAGTTGAGGCATGGCTAGCTGGTCCTTTTTTACCAACCATGGCAGCCATTATCTTAAGTCCTTATAATAGTCAACTAGAAAGTGGACCGTTCAGCCAATGCGGTCTAGCCCCGTAGAAAAGGGTTTTGATTTGCATATTATTGGCAGTTTGTATGTGAGAAAACATTCATCTCCCAATATCTTTTATATAAAAATAAAATAAAATAAATCGCTCATCCTGGTAAACCCTAATTCGATATCTTAGTATGTCACTGAACAAAAAGTCATTATCAAACTACTTAGTAGTCGCATCTCTATTCTAAAAAATGTATATGTCATCTTCCTTCCAAATAATTGTGTTCCAGGGAAATCTATGATTACCAAAAATGTCATCCAAAGTTTTAGCTTTAGGAACATGTAGTTATAGTTGTAGTCATAGTTGAACACAAAATCCTTTTTCTAAAAAAAGATGATTAGTGGCTCTAAAGATATAGATGGGGTAAAGCAGAACCACAATTATGTCTTATTGTCATTAGGCCATAGCCGTTTTATTGAAAGGTGAATATTACCACAAGGATCACCAAACCTCTCTTAAGGAAATATAAACAAAGAACTTGCATGTCATATTTTTTATATCTCTTCTCACGTGATCTGACGTCTCTTTTATTTCTTATCATGTATGTGAAAGAAGAGATACATATACAACTACATGTAAGTTCAATTTGGCTATGAGGCCCAGTCTTTTATTTCGTGCCAATTCCCCATGAAGGAATGCTAACAACCTTCTCTCTTGGAACTTCTCAATTCTCCTCATGACAAGTGTCATTTTCCTTACACTTAAAACAATGTCATTAATGTATCACACAAGTTAGTTTTGGTTTTCCAAGTTTACGATTCCCCATGTTGTTAGTTATGTAAACTATTTAGTCAAATTCAGGGTCGTTTTCGTCCATTTAAGTTGGGACTTCCTTTAACCCACTTTCACTATGTCCCTTACCCTGTGATTTTCCCACCAACCTAGTTGCAACGTCGATTGACATATATACCTTAAAAGGTTAGTCATGGTTGTTGCACATGATGGAAACTAACAGAAAATTTTGACCAAATTGGCATGAAGGAAAAGTTTAAAGGGTAATTAAAACCGAATTGAAAGTTCATAGGTGAAATGGAATAAGGTTCGAAGTTCATCATCATTTGGTAATATTGTTTAATGGAAAAGAGGAAAGCAAAAGTATACCTAAAAACATGTGGGGACAGTTAAATTTCATTATCAAGGAAAAATAGTGTTTAAAGTTGTCATTTGATCATTTCTAACTTGCCTGTCTTCTACGTAGAAGATGCCCCTTCTTTCAACCACTTGTTGTCCTCTCCTCTCCACCGCTGCGGTTGCTTTCTTTCCCCCACTTTTCCTCCCACTTTCCTGCTTATACTTGTTGTCGGTCGTTTGGTGGTAATGATGCATCATAATCTTGATCCCTTGCAACTTTGTAAGGCGTTAAGTATAATACTAGAGTTTAATTAACCAATTCAAATCCAAGATTAGTGATCAAATGAGAAGGTCAATTCTTCAAATATATGCTTTACAAATGGCCCTTCGTCCTTTCTTGTTTACTTTGATTAAAAATATAGGATCTGCATGTGCCCATGTGTGAAAAACAAAAGAGTTTTATCATACAACAATTTCGAAGTAAATAAAAGGTGTAAGATCTTTGGGGGTAAAAAGAAAGAAGAAGATGAGAAAAGTTAGGTGGTTGTTTTTTTTTAATAAAAACATTCTTATCATGTCTTTAAGGTAAAACTACCAACACAACTAAGTCAACTTTTTCACTCTTCGCAGAAAATTTTTCAAAAAAAATTAATGTCAATTGGATCTAATCCGGTTAAAAATGACATTATTTTACATATGTAAGTGTTAAGTTTGAATTCTGACGATATTATGTAAGTCTCGTATTCGAACTCTGATGAGATCTTTCCATTTAACTTGTCCCCTTATTGACCCAAAACGAAAAATCCACTAATGACCCTTTAAACACCCTGGGACGGCAGCAGTGGCCTCTCACAATAGGGTATCTTCCCCCAGCTATTAAATATGTGTAAATGGTTCTGCAAATTGCTTTAAGATTGAATATCCAATCACTTCCATGGTCAGTTTAGAAACTTCCAAAATGTCACATCAAAAGCAATGTTGCATTTCAGAATACAAGAAAAATGCCAATATTTTAGCAGGCTTTCTACATTGTATTCAGAGTTACCAATTCCCTTGGATGCAATCAAAGTTTATGCATTTTTAAAGCTTACTTTACCAAGAAAATTAATGTTATGTCTGGCATAAACAGCCAATTAGGCCAATTTGGAAAATCATACTTTTCTTACTAAAAAAGATATGACAGTTTTACACATCACTCTGTACTGGCTCCCCTAAGTAAACCCCCCAAAATTACATCTCTCACAGATTATACAGAAATATGTACAAAGAATTGGCGGACTAAAATCCCACAAAGAGGAAAGAAAAGAATTGGGAATTGTTTCATTTGACTTATAACAAAAGACCAGCAAACTGGTAATATCTTCTCTCTTCATTTTGCCTGGTTTTGATTTCTTCTGCACATCTCAATGTGCTCTCTATGTGGTAGCCTCCTCCAATACTAACTTCTCTTTCCAAGTGACAACAGTAGCTCTCAAACACACTCACATTGACGTGCAATTTGAACCCCATCAAGAACAAAAACTCAAGCTCCAACTTGTTCAATTCATTGGTTGTCAATCCCCCGACTCTTGCAAAGTAAGAATTTCTGTAATTCCTGTTCAAGAATCAACATTTCATATCAGAAACTGAAATACAAAGAGCGAGAGAGAAGAAACAGAGAGAAACAGAGAGAGACTTACATGTCTTCCACATACTTAGAAGCCACCATTATAGTTGTGATGAGAAGCCTATGAACATTTGTGACATTGATCTTAAACCCAGGATTGTTCTGGCAAAACCGATCAATATAAACGTATGCAACCACATACACAGAAGGTCCAGCTCTGGTGTACCTGAAAATCCTCTCCAGATAGGATTGGATTGTCATGTCCGGGGTCTCATGGCACTCAAAAATCCGAGTCTTCTTCATGTCCTTGGACATGTACCAAGGGCTGCTGCAACTCTTGGCAATCCTCTGGTTCCTGGCCATGCTTCTCTCAATCAGAGAAGCAAGAACATTAACCACCAGAGGGGTAGTTGAATCTTCTTGGTATGAATAAGAATACAAATCTGATCTGAGCTTTCTTGGAGAGATTATGAGAGATGTTGATGTTGATGATGAAACCATGTTTGCAAATTGTATTTGATTAAACTTGAGTGAGAAGAAGAGAGAAGAGAGGCTTATAAGATTTTGGGGTTTTTGTGGTGAAAGAGTTTTGGGGTTGAGAGTTTATATATACAAGTAGGAAATTTAGAGACTCGGGTGATGCCAAGTGAATAAAAAAATAAATTTAGAGAAATGAGTCAAGTGACATTGGTTGTGAGGAGAAAGATTCCCATGAAACGAGAATATCATTATTTTGCTCTTTTCAGTCAATAACACTGTGACACATTTGATAATACTTTCATGTAACATAGTATTATTAGCCGAAAGTAACAAAATAGTATTATCTTCGTTGCAACTAAATTTTTTTCGATTTTGAGACATTTGGAAGGTGGGTGGAAGCTAAAAGATGAAATCAAACAATAAGATATGTGCCTGCTATTTGTAAAGGCAAAGTACAAACAAACAGCTCAGCTTTTCCATTGTATATTAACACAAAACGCATACAAAATACATACTTGATTTGTTATTATTATTGACCCTTCTTTTTCTATTCAAAACAAACCGATTTTGATCTTTATTATTAAATTCTCGCCGACAGTGGGTTGGAGGACAAAGAAGGGCATGGGAAAGAGAGGACAGAGAGAGAAGGGGAGGGGGAGGAGGAGGCGCATTCATAGCTGGTGGGTCTTTGAGTTGGTGTGTTTGGGCCCAGAGAACTAGACGGCATTTAAAGATTGACTTTTTCCTCGAGATTTGTGTCATTGTACAAATCCAAAGTGGCACTTGTACTGAGTAGAAGAAGAAGTTACACGTGCAAATGTGGCTTGACTCATCAGTGTCACATATCTTGGTTTGCAACTTGCGGTACGGCCAATATCTTTCTCTGCCTTCCTTGCAGAAAATGAAAGCATTCATCTTTTTATTTTCTTTCCGCAATGATGGTTTCTACCATTAAGTATGAAGACAGACATTTTGTATAAAACCTCATACGTATCGGATTATACATGTTGTTAAATTAAGGATAATATCAATATTGATCGTAATGGACCGCTAATTCGTTCTTCTGAAATCTTAACAATAGAAATGTGGCAATAAAGTAAGGTGAAATGCAAGTGAAAGTAAACCGACTCAAATTCTGATAATAATATCCCAATTTGTAATGTGGCAATAAAACGCACACAAACTTTTACGGATTGTCATAGTATTGTTGACATAAGTGATATTAAAGGAGAGGGGGGATTCAAACATAAGACCTCGAATACAAGGATAATTATTCATAATCACTTGAGTTGCAAATCATTTGCCGAACCGTCATAACATTTTAACAAATTAATTTTCCAATAGTATTTATGGGGTTTTCAAAATCATAGATGAATTTCAATCTGAAAAATCTTTCAATACATTTTCATGTTACCTTACTCAAATGAATCCATGGAACCAGTACATGATAATTGTAATTCACACTACTATGAGGCACAAGCATTAGTTAGCAGAAGACAGTCGGGCCAAACATACAGCCTAAAACGTATAAACACATACAACTTTGTTTCGGTACCAAGAAACAAAGCAATGGGTCCAACTGACACAAAAACAATGGGTCACTCACGATATCCTCCTAGATTTTGTGCCATTTCAAACATCTTTTCACAATAATTGAGATTTGGTTATTTATTTATTTATATGCTGCATGATATTAAGTGGCCAAAAATAATGTAGAACATTAGGAACCGACACCAAAATTGAAATAAAATAAAATAAAATATTTTTTTTAGTTACATTGGAGGAAAGAAAACTCGACTTGAGCTCAATCCTGGATGCCATTGGGGGAGGAAGAATCCCCCACCACCACTGCAGTGGGAATCCATTGGCAAATAAAATAAAACCTTTGATCTCATTTAAATTAGACCCCATGCTAATTGCCAATAAGACAAAAAAAGAAAAGAAAAAGAAGGACCACATGCTAAAATCTTTTTGGCTCAAGAAATTAGTAACACCGACACTCACAAAATGAATGGAATCCATATGCAACTATTTTTCCCTTTTATTATAATTTGTTTTCTTCGATTTCAATCTAACAACATCTATAAAATCCTATCTCACTTTTTCCAGAGATAGTGCTACTTTTCGCATGTCGACCAATTGTACGGTAGTATTCTTTTAGGGTTAATTACAAATTTGACTCCTCAACTTTTTCATTTGTCCACTTTGGTCTCTTATTTTTTATTTTTTATTTTCCAAGTTTGCCTTGAATAATTATCTAAAAAATAGACAGCTTGGATTAGTGAAATACAATGTGGAATGAGCCCTACACAAGTATCCCTCAAATAAGCTTATTTGAAGAATCACTCAACAGTTCACTCACTCTTGCACTTCTTTTAAGAAACTTTTTGAACCATTGGATTAATATCCAACGGTTGGGACTACAATATCTTGGACTCCTGTGGTCCAAGAGATCGGGACATTATATATATATATATATATATATATATATATATATATATAACACCTTCAAAAGTTCAAGAATCAGCTTGGAACAAAAGCGATTATTGGGACCAAAGTGAGAGAAACAAAAAAAAATCAGAAGGTAAAGGCCGAAGCCCACAATAACAAAACTCATTAACAGCTGAATCCAGAACTCTGCTTCTCAAGCTAAAAGCCAACCTTCAGACCAAAACAACAACTAAAAAAGCTACAAGCCAAGTTTTCTAGTGAAGCCCTTTAACAACGACCCAACTCATACCTTATGACTTATAAGCCCATTTCCATAAGCAGTGCCTTTGGTTGCTCTCAAAGCAAAGGCCCATCTATGGTGGTTCTTCCCAAGGTCTTGCTGGGCTTTGCAAATTTGGCATACTTATGGACTCTGCACATCATGACGCACGTCTCCCTCGCGACTTCCATATATCATAATCTACCAAAAAGTCTCTGTTTAAGAGTGCTGTTATTTCTACTCTATGTCTTGTTTCCTGCATACCATGCTGTTACCAAAAAGTCTTTGTTTAAGAGTGTTGTTACCCCCAAAAAAAAACACAATCATATCTTTTTACCCATAATTATTTCTAAAATACCCTTTAATTATTAATTCAAGCAAATTTTCTTTGCTAATCATTAATCGTTGAGATATAAAGAGGATCAAGTTGTGTTTGACTGTAATATTTTGATTTTCTGGATGTTTTGGTTTTTTATTATCTGCCTTGAAGCTTCTGAAAACATTATGGATAAATGAGATGAGGTTTTTTCCCTAAGTCTTTATAAGTCATTTTACAAAGAATAAATTTGTTTTGAAAAATTTGAAGATAAGATGGGTGGAGAAATAGGACAGATGATGGAAATAACAGCACTCTTGTTCAATTCCTCTCTCATTAATCGAAAGAAAAGGCCTTCAAGTTGCTAAATAAGTTATAAGATAACTAGCGCTTACAAGTCCCGCGTTCAAAACCCCTCCTCCAATACGGTTGGATAAATAGAATGTTCATAAGGTGTAAATGGAAAAACTCATCTTTCTCTTAATAGGCAGGGAAACCTTTCATTGAGCATTGTAGTTTAACCTCTAACAAGAGTGACAAAGGAAAATCCTCACGTTCCGTATTAGATATCTGTGAACCCAAAATGGGCAAATCCCATTGGATGATTCAAAGCAAAATTTAAACCCACAGATTGCACAAGAAAATGACCATTTGTTTTTCCTTTGATAGGAATGGAAAACAACAACCCTGAAAGGAGCCAATACAAATGGTCCTAAACCTAAAGGCATCTTTCCTATGTGAAATCTATTCAATGATTGTGGTCCATGACACTTTTTTTTTCTTTCTTATTTATTTTATATTTGTCATTTTAATTGCAGTTTGAAAATTTGACGGATTTTTCCTAGCTTACAAAATAAAAAAGCATTCGAAAAAAAATATAATAATAACTCTGGCTTTGGTTTTATGGTAGTTATATGAGACAAGATGTGATTCGCCGGCAAAAGTCTAATTCAACGCGTGCTCATCCAATAGTCGCATCAGATGCCTTTACAGACTCTGTCGCAAAAAGCCACAAGCGACAGCAACAAATCTATCATGCAAATTGCTAGTTGAACGCTGACATTATTTTTTTTCCCTTACAAAATTAAAGCTAAAAGGTTGGTCACACTCACATGTACCTCTGGGTTGATTCTAACCGTTGTTACATTCTTATAGCAATTCCAGCGGCCTACCCTTTGCCTGGGCAAGGGGGTGCCTAGGCCCAAAAAGGGTTTCCGGTGGACAAATCCTGTCAGGGCTGTTGGTGGGCTCCACAAGCCTGGGCTGGCCCTAAGGCAAGAATAGCCTAAGTTGTTACTTGGGTTTGTTGACATCAATGATGATGACAGCAATAAAAATAATAATTTTAAAATAGAAAAAAAATCTATAAAAAAAACTTAAAATTTTCATAATTTTTTAAAAATAAATACTTAGTCATAGTCTTTACTTCTCACACCAAAACTCTATACAAATTCCTCTCCTCATATCTTATGTGAATAGTGGTTGTCATGACAATGAGTGGAAACATCACAAGCCTTTTGCAAGGGCTATCACTATTTATGTGAATATTGACAGCCCTTGTCATTTGCCATGGCAAATGGATGGAAATGCTCTTATGAACGCTAATGCATCATTGTTGACTCGAAGCTAATGCAACGACGTATCATGATGCGTGTGTGAGTAAATGAAAATTCTTTGATAAAAATAAAAATTGTAAGTGAATTAACATTCATCTATAAATACCTGATTAGCATTGTAGATAACCCTGAAATAAGTTTACAATAATAGAAAGAAGTTAAATCATAATTTTGTGAAAGATGAAGGGAAGATGAGAGAAAGTGGAGTTCAAACCAATCAAGTCACTGCTTCCTTTTGTTTTTTTGGGTGATAGTCGGCACCTACTTCCTTTTTAATAGATCGTCGTGCTTGTCCTGGAAAAAAATTGGACAAGAGTACTCTTTCTTTTATACTTTATTTCAACGTTTCTCACTCACCCAATTTACTTTTGTTCTTCTTTATATGTATGTTGTATCTCCAATAATCTCATGCATATTTGTTCGTTGTGCGCAATTAGATCGCTTGAAATCATTTTTTTCTTATATCTGTCGCATGTTATGCATTAGTTTAAAGGTTAGATACGATGAATTTGATGACGGTGATCATTCAGTTGGCTGTGGTAGTCCTCAATTAGGCATTTTAATTTTGTTTCTTTAGTGTGTTGTTTTGTTGATCTTTTGAGCTTGACACATAAAGGACCAAAAGTGATATTTTCATGAACCTTAAGGACTATATGTGATAAAAAAATCTAAAATTTATGCCGGGTTTGAATCTTATTCACATCCAATCCCAGTTTACCTCCAAAACTAATCAGTTTGCATTTTTCTTTATTAAAAAGGACATGTAATATATTTTGATTCGACATGACTAAAAGGATCGAATAGGATGCTACGAGCCAAAATAAAATTACAAAAATAAAAAAATTAAAAAAAAGTATAAAAAGAAACCCTAAGATTTTCGTTGAAAAAAATCCTAAGATTTTCAATAGAAGGTATGTGGTGGTCTCTTAGTCCAAGCGTTTTCCTTGCAATCCAATCATTTACCACTTCTCTCAAGTTTCCTATTATTTCAAAAAAGGTCACAAAGTGGCCGGCCGTCGCATTCACATCAACACCAAACCTGTATCCTATAGGGATGGAGCTAGGGTTGTATGTGTAGGCCAAACCATAACACAAGTTTTTAAAAGAAAATTTCAATCCTGCAATAATAAATAATAGACTATATAAAGGGCATTGATTTTGAGTATTATTGGAGGATTAACCGACTAATTGGCATTACTCATTATCAGAGGATTAGCCGACTAATATGACATTACTCATTATTGGAGGATTAAACCGACTAATATGGCATTACTTTCCTTTCTTTACTCCGTATTAGTTGTGCAAAGTGAGACTATAAACATGTGATATATAATTGCATCCAATCACCCAACAGTAATTGCATTGGGAGGGACCACTACAATGGTTATATGGTCTGTTATTCTTCAAAATATGAGCTGCAACTATATAATCCAATATGTATAGGAACAATTGTGGGGGGCGGGGGCCAGGGCAGGGCCCTAAGGTGGCTCCGTCTTGAAAGATTTGTCTGCTGAGGTCTCATGCCTATATAGAAAGTTAGGCCCCTGTCTCTGGTTGATTAGAAAGAGAAGAAGCCTTGAAGCTCAATTATCTATCCTATACTTTGTTTGTACCATGCACCTTTATGCATAGAAAGTATGGCCTTTTTAGCCAGTCACATATAGTCTTACGTCTTTGTGAAGTTCGCATTACCTATCACACATGAAGAGAGATAGAAAGATAAGGGATATTTATGCAAGGGTTAAATATAGAAATGCTTATCTCAGTGAAGGACGGAATCAGTAAATTTTTAATGGGTGGGCTATAGCTAAAGTTATTAGTTAAAAATCTATGAAACCACATAAGCTTTAGCATAAAAAAAATACATATATATTAATACAACCGGAAACCACATATTATCAAAATGAAAATATGTTCAACATCAGAATTGAAAAAGTACCTATTTTAATGTGTATTTTATTGCTGTCATGCAACTAAATTCGTAAAGAATTAAACTTTTTTGAACTTTGATAGGTTAATACATACTGGGCTATATTTAAAACAAGGCAAATATATAAGTTTGATTATTTTTTCCCCAAAAATCTCCATGGGCTACAGCACTGATCTCAGCACTCGTTTGAGCAAGAACGAAGCTAGAATTGTAAGATTAGAATAGCTGATATATAAAGATACATAAGTATTCAAAAACTACATGTTAAAGATAATATATTTAAGTTATTTATGCATAATTTGTTGGAGGGGAGCCATTGGCTAAAAACTAACAATGTTTCTTTAACTATTTACATCTAATAACATATCAGAATGACCCACTTATCTAAACAATATCAAATGAGCAAAGAAAATTTGATCACCACAAATTTGAAGTTCATGAATAGGAAAGTTATATATATTCTGAAGGACTGATATATTGGTTAAATCCTGGATACTGGAGCTTGGCATCTTAAGCACCATAAAAAATGAGGGTACTTCAAAGTAAAAATAAATAAATATGTGGGTATCTTTATTAATAAGATTTTAGGTACACAAATAAACTGGCCAGAGTCATTCAAGCTACAGTACGATGATAACATGAGAGGAACCCTTTTTGACGAATATGGGAGGTGAGACGTTGATCAAAGTTGACAAATGAGCATCCAATCATTTAAATGTTCATCTTTATGCAAGTATGGCATGTTAGATGTTGGCCATCTGTTGCTGTCAGAATCCAACCCAATCAAACTTAGGTGTGTTTTAAATTTGATGATTTCATTCCCCCAACTTCTCGACTCAGTTTTTATTTATGTTCTCATCCTCTTACCTCATACTATGTGTAGTTTTTTCTTGCTGAACTTGCAAGTTATTAATTATTCAATTTAATAAGTCGAGTCGGATCATTTATGAATTCATCAAATAACGCTTAAAATATAAGTTTGATTTAATTGAAATACTCCAATTTAGACTGAGCCGCCAAACGAATTTCCATGAAGTCAAAAATATTATTTTCATTAAACGTTCCCATTAAATACCAATCATATACAGTATCTATCGGTCGCACCAAAGCATTTGAAACTTCACAGGTTGAAACCAACTCTTGGCCCTTCTTAAAATCAATCAAGATATGGAGCATGAATTTAAAGCTTAGCTCTTAGAACTAGATGCTGGAGGTTGATGGAATTGCTGATACATGGCTGCCATCATGCTGTAAGCATCCATGGTCATAGGCTGAAAAGAATGTGCACATTTAGTAAAGAATGTAATTAAGAAAGCTCATTTAAAATCTTTATATATAAATATTCAAACTGTCCATATAGTATAGGCATAAACATACCTGTGATTGGCATGCAAGGAAGGCGGACAAGGGATCAGGCATTACTGTTGCTGAAGCAGACCGATCCCCGCCGGAGCCATCCCATGAGGCCATGGGCATGAATGCGGTCGGGTGAAGAACCGGGGAGATGCCCGGGATGTTGGGGCGGACCATAGTGTTCATGTCCATTCCCATTCCCATTCCCATTCCCATGTTTCTTGGGGCTGCGGCCATCATGGACATTTGAAGTTGCTGTTGCATGGCCATTGGCAACATCATGGCTGGCATGTTCATTCTGCTCATCATTTGGATTTGTGCTTGCAAATTTTTCAAATACTCAATCACTTCGTCTAGCATAGAAGCTTTATCAGTCTGAAATAAAACGTTATATGTCAAGCTCAAATGTTCCCGCCATGTTTCTAAATGTAGCTCACTTTATCTTGAAATAATACACTCAATTAACTTTTCCTAAAACCTACATCAACAAAATACAAAATATTCATTTCACATTTAATTTCGGATTTTTTTCAAAGTGAATTCAACGTTGATTAAATGTGAATCTCACAGTGACCTACGGTTAGAAATGGTGAGTGACAGTTAGAGACTAGTAGAACAGGCACTGACCGAGACTGTAGGCACTAGAAGTACTTCAGACCTTTTATCCTATTTTCTCTGTTTTTGCACATCTTGGGTCTACAAGTTACAGACTACATGTGTAATATACAAAGGAAGTTACTGCTTATTTGGGGACAAACACAATGCAGAAGCATTAGGGCCTACCACTTGGGAAGATTTATGTGGAAGCAGGTAGTTGTCCCCATAGCGAACAACCTGCTGGCCAATTTTACCTGGTTGCAAATGGATATGTGGACTAGGATCATCGAATTCACCAAAAACACCACAACCATGTAAATGCAAAATTAAATTTTTGGACCACATTTATGGCAATTGGCAGCCTTGCCTGCTTATCAATCAAACTCTTAAACGAAAGTACCTTGAAAGTGGCTTATTTTTTTGTCACTAGCCTTGAACATGCATCCTCCCTATGAATGAAGACAAATGGTTGAAATCTTAAGTGATAATTGGTATCTTCTTTCTTTGGTTCAAAAGATGTGGAAGACGAGAACGGTACTATTCTTGTCGTGGGTGTGAGGGTAAATTAGTAATTCATTAATTATACGTTCTTACGTTATATATGAGTTACGATTAGAATAGGTTAAGGCTTTTCATCCCTTACAATGAAACTATACATATGAATAAGTATTCAATATTTTTGAGATATTTTTGGTTCGTAATATAATTCGACAGAACTAAAACCATAAAGACAGTGCACAAAACCCAAAAGTGGAACATCATACCTTACTGGAATTTGGGACCAGTTTCTGCAGCGTCTTCATCCTTTGGTTGATCTTATCTCTCCTTTTCTGAAAGAAAAAAAAACATAGAACTTGATTATTAAGAAAAATTAATTGCGATATTACGAAACAACCCCCATCTCCCCAAATGATAATTTCTTTCCAAAGATGGTCAAATACTTTTGTTTCCTTGGACTGTTTTGATGCTATCACTCACCTACTTTATACTACCCAATCATTTGCCATGAGTTCTGTATCTCTCTCCTCGTAGAAAATACAATTTTAAATAGGTGGTATTAAATTGTAAATTACGACTACGTCTTTTCGTACAATACGTTTGATTTCACAGTCCAACAAAATAACATGTTATATTGCATACTAAAAGATGATCATAGTATATGATTGAATTGGATGCAAAATCCACATAATTTGAATGAAGATGTATAACATACACGTTCAGATTGGTTATGAATAGCAGCAGCCCTACTCCTCTTTGTTGAAACTGAGGATTTTCCAGTATTTCGTTTCTTTCTGTCATCTTCATCTCCTGCCTCCCTCTTCAAAAATAACAAAACAACAAGTAATGATAAATAAACAAATAAAATAAGTAAATAAAATAACTAAACAATCATCTGACGAATAAATCCATTAACTTATTTCTTAAAATCATTGAAAATGTTTGTATTAATTAGCAGAGTAAAAGGAAGGAGAGTTTGCCTGTGGTCTACTGTGACAAACGGAGTCATGATCGCTTCCCTTTGTACTGTCAAGTGTGACAGGCTGATTGTCCATCCCAAACGTCGCGCTACCGCTCACGCTCTGGGATCTGCTGCTCCACTCCGGTGTTTCGGGGACACTTGACAAACTCCCGTGTTTCCCTGAAAACTTGGTGTCGTCATCCTGGGTGGCGGCGCCTGTAGCGCCACTGCAGGACTCCACTCTAGTGGAACACCCAACCACGTCCGAGCCTGAAATCACAACAGGCATGGACATGGACTCCATCATATGATTACTTGAGTTATCGCTTTGGTTTCTGCAAGGAACCAAAGCGTCCATAGTCATAGTGGTGGAGGGCGTTACTGCTGTTGAACGAACAGCAGTAGCGCGATGGTGATCAAACCAGCTTACTAGTTCCCCATTAGCGCCGCCACCGGAAGAATCGAAGGGGGGTTTACTGGGAGGGGGCAAAGTAGAGGTGGCTTGGTTAACTATTGACTCGAGGGTACCACTTGCCCGGGGCTTGTCCCAGGTGGTGTACTTCGCAGTGGGTTAATGAAGGCTTCGCCTGCAGGCGCGGCAGACCTAAGCCGTGCATGGCTACCTGGCCGTTTTCCCATGTCAGCTCTGCTACTTCATAGTCCAACCTGCATATACATACAATTAATTTAAGTGCTTCACTTGGATAATTAATTAACCAAACCATGTACATATATAACAAGGAGAGAGAGAGAGAGAGAGAGAGAGAGAGAGAGAGGAGAGAGAGAGAGAGAGAGAGAGAGAGAGAGAGAGAGAGAGAGAGATTCATACATGGGGACATCAGCAGATGGAGTGGAAGAGCGAAGAGAGAGCCTAGGAGCAGATGGAGTAGAAATGTCATCAAGATCCCAACTGGGAACACACTGGTTCATTTTGAGACCAAGAGACTTCACTTAATTTGAGTTTCTTGTGTTAATGTGTAGAGCAGAGAGAGAGAAGAGGGTAATATACTTCTTTCTTCTTCTCCTTCTTCAATTATTTTGTGTTAATTTGTGTGAAACAGGACCGGCTCCGAAGTGTTTGAGATTGAGAAAAAAGGGGCAATGAGAAGGTGCTGAATGAGAGAAAGAGAGAGAGAGAGAGAGAGATAGGGGCCGGGTCATTTTTTCATGTCCCAGTGCTGGTGGCTAATAATAGCAATGGAAATTAAGGAAATGTCTGACAGGCTTTATTGTATACTATCTGACATTAGGAGAAAATTACAGGTACCGAAAAGTTGTTGCAGCAATAAAAAAAAAGAAAAAAAAAGAAAAAAAAAGAAAAAAAAAGAAAAAAGAGTTCATTCAAAACAAAAATCTTTGAGTTCGTACGTGTCAATGTGTGTGTGTGTGTGTGTGTGTTTGCATAGCAATGATACATCGATTTTATTACAGGTGTCTGTAATGTAATAATGTAATGTGTAGTGTAGATTAAATGATGGGAAGATGGGGACGTCTCTGGCTTGATTTGTACAACGGAGAATTACATATACATACATGCTCAATGATGCAAGACCGTAGGATGAGAAAGAGAGAGAGGGAGAGAGGCCTTCTTTTGTGTGCCGGTCGACCGTCCATTGCACTCGCATTGTCGGTTGATCGATAGTCATAGTATCATCGTATATGTGAAGAATTGTACAGGTCCTTACAAAAGTCCTAAATCTCCTTGTATTCCAAATACTACGTTGAGGAGTTAAGTAGGATATAAAGTAATACACATCATATTTCATCCACTTATAGATTTATACTATACGTATAATTTGCAAGTAATGGCATGTATTCGAAATTCAAATCAAAATCTTATACCTAATAATAATTATGAGAGAGGGTGGGTCATGAGGGTTTGCCATTACCAAGAGAAAGACAAAGGCAAATTAATGAAACTTTCTTCCTATCACAAACTGAACATGGAATGGATTATGTGGTAGAGAGAAAGAGAGAGAGAGACAGATATATCAAGGGGTGAATTGTGGTGTGGAATGAATTGAAGGCAGAGTTCTCAGCCTAACCCAAAAAAACAAACACGCAAGACAGTTTATATTGGAAACTGCGCGTGGGAAACTGGATTTTTTGGTCAAGGGGCTGCCTAGTGAGTGAGTGAGTGATGTAAGGATTTGTACGTGGGTGATGTGGTGCTATTACAATGGATATTAGACACCTTCTTCTTCACCCACAGCTCATCGCCACGCAGCAGGCTTCTATTTAATTTCTTTGAAGAGTTAAGGTCCCAACCTCCGCCAAGATTTGACCGCCCCTTTTGTTTTGTAAGTTGCAATGTCACTGTTGTACGGCTAGAGAGACAATGGGCGGGGTCTCATTAAAGTTTGTTCAAGGCTTTCCTCTTCAAATACCAATAAATCGACTCAATTCAATGACTGTGGATAGGGATTAGATTTGATCCTTAAAATGAGAAAACGAGCACATTTAATTCGTTTGGTAAATGTTCCTGTAGAAATTTGTTCCAATCGGGTCGGTTCGAATCAGTTGGCAACCGATGATTTTCTTGGTTAGAAAAAAAATAAAACCATCTATTTTCAGTCTTGCAGTATTTTAGCTCTTACTATATTGGAGGAAGTCTTAAGTTCAAATTTCAAACGCCTTATGCACGACCTTAATGCGACAAAGCTAAAGTGAGCTTTGGAAGCCTAGGTCACTTCGCATACGTGTCTCACCAAATTCCATATCCAATGGGCCAACGGCCCCGAACATAAAACATGGACAAGTGTAACAAGTAGATGGGCTTATAATGGGCTTTGCAGCCACTTCTACCGATAGCTTTGTGGTATCCATTTTGATGTGGTTCTGTATTTCATAACCGAAAAGAGGAAAAGAGGAAGTAAAGATCATGCAGAGAGAGAGAGAGGTTGACGTTTGATGCTTTAGAATTAGGTGTTGTATTGGCAGTTTGTTTACAAGATAGATATTGCTTTTGGGCAGATATCACGAGGAAAGATATAGCTTTTGGGATATCACGAGGGCCAATTTCAATCAAATAATAATCACTCACATTTCCAAGTCATACTAACAAAATGTCAGCTGTTGGCATGATGAGATGCTACATGTCCAAACAACGACATTCTCAAATTAGGGTTCTTGTTACATTCTCATATATCTAGTTTTATTTTTTCAGTTTTTCCCACACCCAAAGCTCGTTGACTGAATGTTACCATAGCCAAAAAAAGAAAGTAGTTTTGACAAGTTTATGGGAAGTTGTATTTGAAGGGCTTCCAAATTGCCAATTTATTAGTTAAATTATATTAATCCTTTATTTTTTAAGTATTCAGACTTGTTTACCAAATAATGTGGTAGCTGATACATAGTAATCTTTACTCTGTAAAAATAAATAATTATTACCCTATCATGTGGCAACAACTTTAGTGAATAAAACTTGACGAATGAGTTTGGTTATTCGAACATTAATTATTCATAACGTCACATTATCATGTAATATGTAAGGACTTAAGTTTCAAATCCCATATGGAAACTTGCACAGCATTCCCTCAAATTATTATCCAATAATCAAACAATGGGTTGATAATTAAGTGCTTCACTTGGAGTTACTAATTAATTAACCAAATCATATGTATATAACACAGAGAGAGATAAAAAAGTTACATGAGAATCACGTTACAATATGTAATTCAATACCTGAAAAATTATAAATTAGATTGATTCATATTATTGAATAATACTCATGGATGAGCCCAATAATGATATCAAAAAACCTAGTTGAATCTTTTATCAAAACTTGTATTAACACAAGCGATCACCAATTGAAATTGTAATCAAAACCCAACAAAACACAACTCTTTTGAGTAATATCTCATAGATTTAGCATTCCGAAATTAGACGATCCTCTCCATATCCGATTATCAATCCTAAAATGCAATCCAACAACAATGATAAAGGTTTCATTGCTCACTTACTCTCTTCTTGATTACACCTGCAAAAAAACAAAAGCAGAAAAAGGAAAAAGAAAAAGGAAAATGCAATTATTATATTATTACGTGGAAATAAAGCGCAAAAGATAGCATGTTTATCCTAAAAAAGTAATTTGAGGTGTACTTGTTTTTTATTTAAGGTAGGACTTGGGAGTTTTGAGTTGTACTTTCCAAACACAGCCAAATTTTGTTACCCCTCACATGAGACAAACTTTTAATTTGCTTTCAAAATCGAATGATGCTCTCGTTATCGCCTCCGAAAATATATGATGCCAAAGACTCATCTGTTGTTGATCATTCCCAGCCCAAAACCAACAACAAGATCACAACTGATCCTCTAACAACCACTCCACTCGTTATAACTACATCCTCCAATGATCTCGTTCCACGTCATCAATACTTCGTTTGGCCAATGAATTTCACCTCTAGTTTTAGTTTAACCGTCGGTGGCGCTGCACTGGATAACAGGATCGTTTTTTCTTCCTCACTTACATTAACATTTCTCACACACACACACACTTCATTTATCCAAAATCCAATCTTTTTTCCAGAATGTAGAGAGAGAAAGACAGAGAGAGAGACTGTGATTAACAAAAGATTAGATTTTTGCAAACCCTAACCCAAATTAGTGAGCTTTTATTAATTAATTTATTTGCTTTTGCCCTTTTATTTGCTTTCTCTTGAGCTTTGATAAATGTCATATTCACCAGACAGAAAATCTGGTAGCCCAATAAAGTCACAAGTTCTGAAGAGGCCGAGGCCATTGAGTCTCCCAGACCAAGCTCTCAAGTATGTTATCACGAAGATGCAGCTTCAGAGCCACCACCACTACAGCTCTCTCTCTCCTTCAACTGCTTCACCTTCTCCTCACTCTGAGCCTGACCTCTCTTCTGGGTTCAATTCCCTTACCCTAGACCCTCCCGGACCAGATTCCACCTCCCTCTTATCCGATGAGCTTCTCCTCTCCGTCTTCGCCAAGCTCCCAATTTCCCAGTACCTCCCCAACTCCCTTGTCTGCAAGCGCTGGCTGTACCTCCATGGCCGCTTGGTGCAATCTGTAAAGGTCTTTGATTGGGGGTTTTTGGACTCGGGTCGGGTCTTCGCCCGGTTCCCCAACCTCACTGAGTTTGATATCGTCCATGCTTGCATTCGGTCTCCGCGGAATTCGGGGATTCTTGTGACGAGGAAGGCTTTGACTGTTCATGTCGACTCGCTTTTCAGCCCAAATGGGTTTATTGAGGAAAGTGATGTGTTGAAGAACAGTGTGGTGGATGATGGGCTCAGGTTGATTGCCAGTTCGTACCCGAATTTGCGCCGAATTGCGGTCATAGGTGCGAGTGAAAATGGGTTGTTGAGGATTGCTGAGGATTGTCAAACACTGCAGGAATTGGAGCTGCATTGTTGTGGAGACTTGGCATTGAAGGGAATTAGTGCGTGTAGGAACTTGCAGATTGTGAAATTGATTGCTTGCGTTGATGGGTTTTACAAGGCAGTGATTTCGGATATTGGGTTGACAATTTTAGCTCAGGGGTGTAGGAGGTTAGTGAAGCTTGAGCTTTGTGGGTGTGAAGGGAGCTATGATGGGATTAAGGCAATTGGGCAGTGTTGCCAAATGCTTGAGGAGTTGACTCTCAATGATCATAGGATGGATGGTGGGTGGTTGGCTTCTCTGCCCTTTTGTGGGAATTTGAAGACTTTGACGCTTCAGTCTTGCAAGGACATTGATTCGAGCCCCGGCCCTGATGAGCACTTGGGATTTTGTCCCACCATTGAGGGGTTGCATTTACGGCGGTGTCAAGTGAGGGATAAGCATGGTGTGAGAGCATTGTTCTTGGTGTGTGAGGCTGTTAGGGATATTGTTCTGCAGGATTGTTGGGGGTTGGTGGATGAAGTATTTGCATTTGCGAGTATTTGTAGGTACGAGAATTTTTTTCTTCCCTCATTTGTGCTTATCTCCTTTTGTTGTCTGAATCACTCATACCATGCAAACCTTTTAATTGATTTTAGATCTGTGGTCCATTTATCATTAGCTCTTCCAGTGAAAGATTGGATTGGAACTTGTGAGAATAATCTCTGCCTTTAAGGCTACAACTGCCTTGAAAAGGCAGGCCCATTTAAATCTGGGACTCCACTATCTTGTCCCAGCTTTGTTGTGTTTACTGAATGCTTCTAATCCGGTCATCCAAGGCTAACTAAGTAATGTTATAGAGATTTGAAATGTGAATAGTTTTCGGGAACGATGATCATGAAAATCAGACTTTACACTAAGGTTTTGTGGCCTCTATCTCCCATGGTATATGATCCAGGCACTTGATCCTTGTAGAGTTCCAAATATCAGAATGTCTCAAATAGCTTCACTAAATTCCTTGTTTAGACCTATTTTTTATGATTTGAATAGATTCCTTGATAATTACATTTATAATCTTAATCATAGGTAATGCAAGGATTTTATGAGTTATTATGAATTGTCAACTCTAAAGTTTTAACGTGTGGTGAATTGTTACCTGTGAATTGGCCAAACCCAATTAACTCTAAGTTTTAAAGTTATTCAATAAAACTTACACGGTTCTGAAGGTTGCACAATGAGGAGTCTGGTATCAAATATGTTTCTGAACTAAGAAAGTTCATGAGAATAAGGACAAAGTTTATGCCTGTTAATATGCCTCATTGTACTCTAACAGAATTAGGGTATAATTAATAGAATTCAGATATTCCTTCTCGTTTATCGAAGGAGTTGCCTAGTTTGTTGCAGTTTTTTTTTCTTTATCAAAGTCTGTGTTATTAATAACAAACTTGTAGTCGCTTCTCCATCCCAAACGACCTCTTTTCTCCTTATCTTTCTAAACTGCAGACCCAACTTGTTTCTCACCATCCCAAGCACGTAGGATTGTCAATTGGACGAGCTGGTAAAGCAAACCCTGTGACTTTTACTCACAATCCTGAAACAAGAGGACACCAGCTAAACCATCATTCCAAAGAAAAGCCTTTGTTAGAATAGTCAACATTACATTGGCTGTAGAAAACTATAGCTCGAGATCAGTCTCAACTCAAATAAATCTCAGTCCAAAAGAAAATTGGAATTCACACTAAGCAGTCCAATTGAAAATACTACAAGCATAAGACTCTTAAAAGTAGAATTCACAAATATGTCATATGTCGTAGGTTTAAAAATGAATATACTTTTTATTTTACGAGTTGGAGAACACTAATTGGCTATGATTACATAATTATGTGGTGTAATTCTTTTCCTACCACAAGTTATACTGCAATTATTTTGAATTTCCATGAAGAGACATAGCATACCTGGAAAACAAATCAATGTGGAATAAGTTTTTAGCGAAGTTGGTACTTGGAAATGCATTCGTCAGTGGGGCCCATGCATGGTTCCATGCATTACGCGGAAACATCAGAACTTCCTTCAGAAAACATCAGAGCTTTTCCCCAGAAGATCCGAAGTCCTTCTTTCTTTTTGGGTTTATGAGAAGGAAAAGGAATCATTAAGCACAAAGCTTTCATGATTTATCTGGATCATTGAAAAACACGGCGGCTATATGCATGATTATCCATCATTCTTATGTTTGAGTCTGGTCTTCCAATCAATGGCTGCTTGAGTAGATAAGTATAATCATTTGAGGCATTGTCTAGCATGAGATTGATGTTGAATAACACCTATTTGTTGATTTCAATCATGATTATCCATCATTCTTATGTTTGAGTCTGGTCTTCCAATCAATGGCTGCTTGAGTAGATAAGTATAATGATTTGAGGCATTGTCTAGCATGAGATTGATGTTGAATAACACCTATTTGTTGATTTCAATTTTTACCCTTCATAATGGTTTTACCCTTTTCCTCGACATAGGAGGGTGAAGCTGATTTCTCTGCAAGGATGCTCACTGCTGACGACAGGAGGTCTGGAGTCGGTGCTCCTTTGTTGGAAAGAGCTTCAAAGGCTTAGAGTAGTATCATGTAACAATATAACAGACAGTGAAACAACTCCTGCCTTGGCAACCTTATTTTCTGTTCTGAAAGAGTTGACATGGCGACCAAATACCAGATCTCTCTTGTCATCAAGTCTTGCTGGGACTGGAATGGGACTGAAAGGTGGCAGGTTTTTCAAGAGCTTAAAGCCTTAACTTCTTGATGGGAATCTTGACTTCGGTTGAATGAGCATCAAATCACTTGGCAGCAGTTCAGTGTTTGGATCAACGCACAAAATAGATAAGTTGTAATCATCATGTCTTATTTAGATGTCCATCATTATGATAACAGGATGGTTTGCTTGCTCGCTTACAGCAAGACTGCCGAGAGGAGTTTGTCATCATTAAAAGACATTCTAGTCCTCTCTCTCTCTCCCCACTTATGTGTTGATAACCTGGATGTCCACGGCGCAGCATCAAGTTGTCATTGTGATTTAAGCCTAGTCCTGTTTCTTTAATGTTCAGCAAGGTTAGTCGTGCTAATTTTGTCATATTAAGTAGCTGTACTAACTTGCTAGGAGTTAGAACAAGCAAAAACACGAGTACAGTTTTATCCCCTCTTTCGACATCATTGATATGTAACGTGTTCTAGGAATGAAGTTATTTTTTCACAGAATGTAATGACATATTCTAGGAATGAAGCTCATTGTGGTTTCATGGAACTGCTATGGTGTTGTTGAATTTGTTTCGTCGCTATTACGTTCATGTCTCAACTGATCGGAGTTTGAGTATAGGTTCTTCGACAGCATCGCAAGTTTGTGATAAATTTTCATAAATTTTTATACTCTACAAGAGATGTTGATGAGGTACCATGAGTGTTGATGGAAGTTCTCATTTTATTTTATTTTTCAATATTTTTTTTCTGCTGATTATTCTAATTTGGCTGATATCTATACAAATAAGTTAAGTAATCGAAAATTATTTAGTCATCCAAATTTGACAGAAATTACCATTTAAACTGAAAATGAAAATGAAAATATCCACACTAGTCTTCTCATGAAACGTCGGCAATTTTCCCAATCGGTCATCGTATTTGAAGGCTGTCTTGGACTTTTCCTCTTCAAAATTTATACGTAAATGTAAATAAAAGATATAAATATTTGAAATAAAATCAAAGCAGTGATATTTGGCACGACTGCATACGTCAGATTTGACGTGGCAGGAAACAATTGGTGGAGTAGGCGTGGAAGCGTCAAGCGGTCAAGCCACGTAGACAAAAAGAAACGCCAACGCGTTTGCGTTACATAATAAAACGGATTTTCAGCCCATCGGAGTCAAAAACCCTTCTCGGATCTTCAACCTTCGATTCACGCCAGCATCTCAACTCGTTCTCTTAACCGAGTCGACTCAGGTCAGTTCTTCCCCTTCCTCTTCTCTCCTTCGATTTGTTCGTGTAACATTGCAGATCTACTGCATGCAATCTTCTGTTTCGTGTCTTTTTTGGTTAATTCTGATTGCAGATCTTTTACTGCTTTTTTCGCGATTGTGTTATTGGATCCGATTTGTTGTGAAAAATCGAAACTTTTCGTTGCTAAATTGAGTATTAGGTTCTCTTAATTTCTGTATAATCATCTCAATTTTCTCTTTGTTTTCTGTAATTTTTTGGTTGTTTGAAGTTGAACTCCATGGATTAGATGAACTGCGGTAGTGAATTTTCATTTTGATTAATATTTTGTTTCTGCTAATAGTCCTATTTTTCATTCAAATTGCCCTACTCTGTAGATCTCTGCATGCATGTTATCATTTTGATACACAGATGGGTGCGTTTAGTCTAAACTGTAAATATGTAGAAATGGAGTTGATGGATTTTGACTACAAAAGTTTTTCAGCTATGAAACGGTTCTGCTAGTCTCTGAACCCCAATTACTGTTAATGCGATTCTATACGTTCTTGTTTGTTATTGTTTGGCCTTTAAGTTGGTTATGCTAATCATTCTGGTCAAATCTGTTTGGAATCAAATTCATTGAATTGGAGAACAAAAAGCTTTGATTTTGCATATGTTGGATCAATTTATAATACTTTTTCTTTATGAGTTCTGTTCTATATGTTTACAGAATTGTCAAATCTCCATCTAGGTCTGTTCTTAAATAATGCCAAACTCCTCTCCTAGAAGCTTTTTTGTCCTCTTTTTTTTCTCCCTGTGTGTGTGGATTTGGTCATTTATTTTTGTACCATAAAGGTTGGATTGAGGTTCTAAATGTCTGAGTTGGTGGTAGCAGAAAATGGTTCTAGGCGGTGGAGCACCTGCCCCAAGGGGAAGTGCCGCAGCTACTGCGAGCATGCGAAGGAGGAGGACGACAAGTGGAGGTGCTTCAGGCGGTGCAGCAGGGACAATGCTCCAGTTTTACACTGATGATGCCCCGGGACTCAAGATCTCCCCGAATGTTGTTCTCATCATGAGCATTGGTTTCATTGCCTTTGTTGCCGTTCTTCATGTCATGGGTAAGCTCTACTTTGTGCGCAGAGAGGCTTAGAAGGAAGGGTGCTGTGCTAACAATAGGAAACAAGACTCAATATGGTGTTTTATGAATGAACCTCGGTTTTATAATTTTTCTTTGTAATATGCGAATGGTTGAAGCAGAGTTTTAGACATTTTTGGTTCAGTGTATTAGAACTAGAGCCTCCTTTACTTAAATGGAATTCTAGGCCCTCCTCATCTATAGTTTGATCAATTTTTTGAATGAATGCTGACCATTGGATGGATTTTAGATAATGAGCACAATTTGATATCGATCGCTTGAATATAAAATGGTTACGGTGCAAGACTTGGGACTCAAAATTCTTGTGTAAATTTTGAGGCTGAGCAATCATTTTATGGTAAATCCACTGCACTGGTTTGCAAAGGCTTTTGTGTGGGGGAAGTAAGATGAACTTTGAGAATCCGTACCCCCCCACCCAGGACCCTAGAAGGATGAAAATTGTGAGCTTCTTTACTTACTGGGGGATCGGGATTCTCTGCTTTTTCTGGGGTTTTTTCTGGTTGATGGAAAACTCTGTACGTGATGAGATGCCAATTCCAAATAGGGCAAATAGTTTGTGAGAAACAGGGTTTGGTCCCAGCTCTCATACAAATACCAATCCTTGGTCTGCATTATCCTCTTCAAAATTCCCCAATTCTCTGTGTTGGGACACACCAAAAAATTGATCGAAGCATATTCACAGTGTAAGCAAAACAAATCAAGCTAACAAAGACAAAGAAGCATAAAATAAAAGGTAAAGATGAAAACAAGCAACACAAAGAGAGAGAAAAAAAAGCAACCATTTACATGACGCGCAAACCTTAATAAGAGTAGCAATCGGAGAAAAACAAATCAAACCAACCCTGAATTTGAAACAAAACTTTGCGAGACTCGAGCTGCTGTGACAAGATTCGAAGAAGATGAATAATATTATGAAATAGGAAGAAGCATAAGGGGTGGCAGTTTTTTATGAACTCGCCTAGCAGGTTGTTTCAAGAAAGGAAAAAAAAACCCGATTTGTGGGGTGTATTGTAAACAAGTTCTTCCTTTGATCCGAAAAAAACGCCGTTTTAGATTTTTGTTAACCACTTGAGCTACAAATCCCTTGCAATTTCTATTTAATTATAGTTTTCAATATATTCTCTAAACATTAACGAACTCCTAAACCCAAAATGCTTAACCTTAATAAAATAAAAACAAATGAGACAATGTAAAAGATAAAGACCTCTCACTACTACTTTTATTATAATTTTTAGAATAAACCACAGTAATTCATTGATAAAAACAAATACAAGTCAAAGCAACTATGTTTTACTTTTCAAACTATTCAAACAACATCCCCTCTTCAATATAGTCTTATTATCTTAATTTTCAATACAGTTATCATTTCCTTAATGGAATTTATTATTACCCATTCAATTTGCTTACCATCTAGGAAGAATTTGTACTAAATTTTGTTGTCACTTAAATAACTCAAATTTATATGTATATTAAAAATATATATTTTTAAAATTTCTTTCTTAATTATTGAACACTTTCTATAAACTATTCATAATTATTATGAATAAATAAAATAATAAACTTTTATGGTATTCCTAATATACATTTATATTGCAAGTATCTAGTGACTTTACTATTCTTTATAGTTAACATGCAATTTACGGTTAATTTTATATAATACATCATTATTTTCCATTGAATGTGTTGATACATATCCAAAAACCTAGGGTTTATTTTTCTTCTACCATTTATAGTAATCATTTAAATAGTTTGTTTGGTGAGATTAAATATCATATTGAACGGAGAATTCATTCACCTGAGACCAAAGGAGAGATTATTAAAATGTATAAATATTCACAACATATCGTAGCTCAAGAGGTGAAGATCATTTGTCCCCGTAACTAAGGTGTTGTGTGTTCAGCTATCTCTCTTATTCAATCCCGTAACTAAGGTCTTGTGTGTTCAGCTATCTCTCTTATTCAATATCGCTTGCATCAAAGAGAAAAAGATGGATAAAAAAATCCAACAAATTAACAAAACCAAATCTTAAGACATTAAGGACAAATCTACATAATTCTCGAACAGATACCAACTTCCCATAGAGGTCGCTTGCCATAAAAGAAGTTTCTATAAGGGCAGGCGACTAAAACCATATAAAAGCGCTTTATGAAGAAGACAGCTTATCAATTCCTAATGGTCAATAACCCAAATAGGAACCACAGAACGGAATAATTCTCTCTTCCCCATCAACCTCCTCCTCCTCTCTCTTACTGTGACAGCCAATAGCAGTAAAAACTAGGCCACATTTCAAGAACCAAGAGACTCCAAGAAAATGATGTCCCAAACAAGAAAGAACCCAAGTTTCTCCAAAACCGACAGCATGAGGACGAAACCCAGCATGAGGACGAAACCCAGCATGATGAATCCCAAGGGGGCTGCTACGAAGTCGTCGGAGTTGAATAAAAACGATGACACTCGTTCCTTATCAGCCAGAACCTTCAAAAACTCAAAGGCAACTTGGAGCATGAACCCTCTCATGGATGCTTTGCCACGATCTCCACCACGAGGTTGTAGCAGTGGCCCACTTAGCAGCTCTGCAACTCTTTGCACTTTCAAGGCAGATAGTTTCTACTCTGACCTGCCCACTACTGAGCCTTCCACTCCAAGAACCCAGGTATATTATATACACTATATATATATATATATATATATTTTTGTGTGTGTGTTCTTAATTTCGAGATATTATAGCCCTTTTGATATTCTTCTACAATGGCTTTATGCGCTTATCTCTGATCATTTCATTGATAGTATTATGGATCATGGGAATTTAGAATTTTGCATGTGTAGCTTTGGTTTCATTTTAAATTTTCTAGAACGATTATTTCACTTCTCTGGCTCTGGGGAAGTGATCTACATTACCTGTTAGTTATGGTAGTGGTACATTGTCGATATTTTGTCAATATTAAAAAATTTCAACAGATCATAATAGAGATCAAATATCGATGAGTCCTTATATTTTCACCAACCTTTCCTATTTTCTCACTCCCTTATATTCTCACCCCCTATTCTCTTGCCAAAATTTCCATCTTACAATAGCTCTTTTTTTTTTCTTCTTTTGTCATTGGTACCAGATATGATATATGTGTGTGTATATATATATATATTTTAATTTTGGAAATTTGATTACATATGTTTCATTCTTTTTCAACGTTTTTCTTTTGTTTTAGAGTGAATATTACTGTGGGAAACATATTTGATTCATATATTTCTCTTTGGATTCTTATATTTGATTCACATTTTGAGGATGGGTAATACCGTATATATAGAAACTTGTGAAAGCATGATGAAGTACTATTTGATTCAATATTTTCATTAAAATGTGAGTGGAGAAATAAGACATGTGAGTGGAAATAGCAACACCAATATCGACTGTACCTGCATATATTGTAGATTGGTACTTATTATTTTGGTAATTTAAAAAAAAAAAGAAAGAAAAGACGGTGTTAAGTAGCAGCACAACAAAATGAATGTATGCCATGGAGGTTCCTTTTGGAGCTAATATTTTTCGTTTGTATGCTAAGTATTGCATATATCCTCCGATTGTTGTATTTTTATTCTTTTCAATTTCTTCCTTCTATCCAAATTTTTTTTTTAAACTGTTTATGATGAGAAAAACTCATGCCAAAAAAGAAAAAAAAATCATGATGTGAATATGATTATGTGCTGCTTCAAATGTCCCCAAGGGCACCGTTTCTGGTTTTGAAGTAAAGGAAAGGATGGAGAACTCCAAAGACTTTGGTCGTTTCTGTCACCCCCAATTCGCAGAACAAAATTTCTAAAGGTTCCTGCCTGAGCAAGTTGTCAATGCGTGAAAGCATATTCTCAGATCCTCACCATGAATTTGATCATGGCCGGGAATCGCCTTCAGAAAGAGAAGACAGCTCAGTTTATAATGAAGAGTATAAACATGTTGTACAATCTGCTGATCAGAGCAGCCATGAAGAATCTGATGCTGATGAAAACCCAAACGCTGAAGGAGATAAGCAGCTGATGGATCGGCCAAAACCCTACCATGAATTCTTAGATGAGTTCAAGCAGCAGGAGCTCAAGGCTGAAATAGAAGCATGGACAAAGGCTGAGCATATGAGACTCGTGACCAAGTGAGGAAGACTCCATCTATTTTGAGCATATATTTATGGAAGGGTTTTGTAATCAATTACCATGTTTTGAGTCTTGGCAGGTTGAGAGAAGAAGAGGCTGCTATAGACGACTGGGAATTCAAGCAGACCAGCAAGGCCTTGAAGGAGATTAAAAAGATCGAGGTATGAAATTGTTTGAAGGTTAATCTGCTTTAATCAAATGGAAGTTGTTTATGCCATGTTGACTGCGGTATGAAATTGTTTGAAACTGAATTTGCTTTGCATGCTATTTGGGAGAAACTTTTGTGTGTGACGGATAGTTTAGGTTGCATCATTTTATTAATTCACCCAAATAATTACATGTGTTGGGAGACGGATTTCTACTTTGGGTTTTAATATAAATAATATACACTCGTTATAACATGTGATGGTGTTACGGTTACATACAAAATTACTTGTCCAAACGAAAAAACCATTGTTTTTAGACAACATTACAGATGACATCTCTAATAGAGATAATGTTAGAGCCAAAAAATAATGATTCTAAACTTTTAACTTGGCAGAGCAAACTGGAGAAGCAACGTGCAAAAGCAGTGGAGAACACATGGAAGAATATGCGCATAGCCAAGGAAGAGGCACACAAGAAGAGGATAAAAGTAAGACGATCCACAATCGGGAAAATATCCGCAGTTTCAGAAACTTACCAGAGGGCTACCTTCTCCACCAAGAAACTCATATTGCACAAAGTCGCTGCCTACTGCAAGTCTATGTATCTCAAATCTGTCCGATGCACTGCGCTAACATCAGAAATGCGACGATCCTAAACCATTTGCTTTCTCTGACTCCTTAAACATAGGATATTATCACAGAAGAAGCTATCTGGCATCGGACACAACCGAAACATATGTAATTGAAATCAACTAATCTTTCATGTCATGCCATGTTGGTCTAGGAAAGTTTAGAGTCTGATGATACTTTTGTTATCTAAACTGCAAGAAATAAACTTGGGTATTATTTCCACCACAAGTCATTGAACCCTATGGTAATAGTGATAGCGCAATCCCTACTATTTGTTAAACCCCAAAAAGCTCCTCTTTCTCAACACTGAGAACTCTTCAAATGAATTATCACTCAACCCAACACCACCTTTTTTTAGCAGCAAATCTCAATAATCCATTTTCGGAGCAAACTTGCAGGTGAGCCTACTTGTATTGGCGGATCCTACCTCTACAGGAGAAGGTGGTACATATCCACCACTTTAGGTGCAAAAGAGGTGCGTGGTGTTTCCTTTGCAAAAGATCAAACTCTTTGCCATCAAAATCTTCAACACCCCAAGAAAACTCACAAAACGTGAAAAATAAAAAACCAATTGCAATAACCCCGTTTTACTGAGAACAGTTAATTAGTTCTTTTTCTCTTTATCCTGTGTGCCATAAAAGAGGGAGACGCATAATCGATGCTAAACTGTATTTACCCCAAAATTTAAATATAAAAATAAAAGAGAAATATTGGTAACTTTCCAGGTAAAGCACGTTTTCTTTCAAAGATCTAGATTAAAAATGAAACTTCCCTTTCTCTTTAGGCAAAAAAGAGTTCTTTTTAAACCAAAAGCAGGAGCCTAATTATCTTTTGCTAATAACGAGTTTTCATATAACTTTCAGGGTTAATGACATTTTACACCCTGGAGTTTTGGGGTCATTTTCAACATGCCTGTCCGTCGAGCAACCAATTAATGAAGGCACCAAGTTGACAAAAAGAAAGTGAAATAACTGCATTAAGAAAAAAAAATTTACAATGTAGGTATCTATCTAATTACAACAGATCAACTACAATACAATAATTACAGTACATGCAGCTTGCTGATGGTTATAGCATAAATCATATCGTTTGGCCATGCAAAACAATCTGTGCAATTTGGAAATGATTCACAAACTCTCAGGAATTGCTCTTGATCAGTGTGCACTCTCCGATACCCAACCTGAGACCATGCTTTCATCCACAGGTTTTGGACCGCCGCAAGATCTTGAGACAGATTCAAAGAGTTTTTCAATCTCTGGCGCACACCGTATGAAAGCGCGGTTCCAGAACTGGTATCTAGGGTTCTGAAATAATACAACATAACAATTTAGAACAAATCTGCAGCTTGCAAAATTTAAGCTTCTTTCTATTTTCTTTTTCAAAGGGACGGACATTTACCTTGATAAGCTCAATGAAGGTAATCAGAAGACCCCATGGATGCGGCCGATTAACAATCAGACGTTCCAACAGTACTCTTGTGATTTGCTCCTGGATTATTTCATGCTGAAGCATAAAAAATGTCTGCAGTTAGAAGATGTATGCAGCCGAATCATAAGCAATCTAGAAACATGCATTGGGGTTCTGTGGCCATTATCAAAGATTATCTGGTAAGAATTAAACCCTACATTAAGGATCTACCCGCCCATAAATATGCTACATATCGCAATGTGCACATTTAACTTGTATGTTATATATGGCAGTCTGCATGTTTAACAAATTGATCACAATGCTTTCAAATCCAAGACTTGTGATATAAGCCCCCAAACAAAGTGCTCCGATTGCCCATGGGACTAACCACAACAGACAATGAATATCATAAACAAAAGCAAACATCTAACTTGTCTCACCTGGTTTGATTCGGCAAACAAGTAAAGAACAATGAACGAAAAGTAATGGGTATGAGTGTTTGGATAGCGCAGTTGGTTTGCAATCGCATTTAGGAAAAGGTAGCGCCCTTCAGTATCTAGGTCCACTATCAGAGTCTGGAAAATATCCAAAGCAGCACCCACCAAATAGACAGCGAATGGAACACTTTGGGTAGACTGTGCATGAGGTGTTCTAGACTGAAGCTGCTGGATAGCCTGTAAAATTAAACCAAAAAAGTAAGCACTGGACCATCCACTCTCTACTCAAGTCAAGACCCTCTCCAAATACTGAGTCAGAAAGATCTTTAGAATTCGGATTTAAAAATTCCTTAATGCCTCTTCTTCAGCAAAGCATAACAGTCAGAGTTCACTTGAACGTGGAAATCAAGAAAATCTTACAAACAAGTTGTGAACTTTTTGAAGTGAGCACTTATGGAAAGCAATGGATTCTATGTAGGTTCCAATATTGCAAAACAAGAACACTGATCTTAAACAAACAAGTGTTAGAACAGTTGGAACTTGTAGCATATGTCACCTTAGAGACAAATGACATGTAGAGGCATAATATTAGCATAAGAACAAGTACCTGCATCCCAACATAAAGCACAAGGGAGTTGATGAGGGGTACGTTGTAACGAGTACCAGCTAAGGCAACATCGTTTGATGGAAGTAGCAATTTTTGCTTCAGTTCAGTCAGAAATGAAGAACCTTGTTGCCTTGTCTGCAAATTTTCAAACAACATTTAATCTTAATAAAAATTTGAAATAAGAAAAGCAGAATAGAGAAAACTGTAGAAAGGGGACGCTAAATGGGGAAGGTCAAAATGTCCACACAAAAGACATATCAGTCCACCTGTATGTAAAACCTAATTAGCACATGAGCAATAAAACAGTATTCAGTCTACAAGTTGAAAATTGTGCATACCTTGAGATACTCGTCCACATCGGTTTTCATCTGCTTCAATTTTAGAGTTGCATCAACCTCGGAAAGAATACGTGGAGACTGACTATTTCAGCAAGCAAATCAATCTGCATATATACAAGGAACAACCAGTCCCCACCAGATTAGTTTTCATAACCATAAATGTTACAGAGTAAATATGCAGGATCGTCGGCAACCTTTAAGTTCGGAGTAGATGGATCCGGCAGCCTCATATTACGGGGAAATGCACTGAGAATAATATTTCGCATTTGAATGCAGCTTGGAGGAATAACATCACAGAAGGTAAAGTGATAATCACAGAGAAATTCTGGGAAATCATGAAGTAGAACTAGCAGCACCCTAAGTGTGCCTTTATACAGGAAATGAACCTACATGGATAATAATACGAGAAAATGATGTGAGACAGAAAGCAATTTAAGCAACACTGCAACAAACAATGAAGCCCAGCAGGAAAAAAGGGCAGACCGGAACTCCTAGTTCAGCGTTCCTCAAAAATGGCTCCATGAATTGAAACAAGTGTACCAGCAAACGTTGGATAAGGGGCCAGCCCTTCTGGCCATTCCCAGCGAGCATTTTTGGCATAAAACTCCTATGACTCACCAACTCGAGCCATGCAAAGCTGATAAAATATTTCTCAGTATAGGAACGCACAAAGTTCCAAGGAATAAAATATCACAATTTATTCTAACAAAAATATCATATCTAACTTTTGTACACCAAGATTGAATGATAATCTTTCCAATCATGAATGGCAATGATGCACAACCAATAGAGAACAGAACAGAGAGAGAAATAGAGAAGGGATAAGAAGAAAAAGTGGGAAAGGAAGAGACAAAAGGAGTAATTATAGGGGCCAGTGCAAAATCAACTCCAACCCAATCCGTAGTTAAATAAAATCCCTACAATATCATCCAATCACCTACAAATTCATAATCACAGAGCTGGAAACCTAATAATATACAAACTCAACCATATAAGCGACCATTTCCTTATCTTAAGAACTGACATTTCATTTCCTACCATTGACAAAAGAGTAATGAATATAACCAGGATGCTAACCTGAATGTAGGAACTTTAACAGGCTGCAAAGCATTAAATGCATTTGCAAATGCTGACAAGATCTGCAACATAGACAACCAACATTAGTGAGTCAGCATAAACAATAATGACAAAACAAAGGCAAAAGACCCTAGCAGCAATCCACTTGATCCAGACCTGAAAGTTAGCACCATCAACCACAGGATCCAGAGAACCAAGGTCCAGCAGCCAGTTAACAAACAATCTAAAATATGGTCTTGGATTGAAAGATGCTTTCTTTTCCTCTGCATCCTTTTGAATGAATCTCACTGTGACTGTTAAAATCTGCCAAGGGCCAAATCATGCAAAAGCATTATTGGATAAGCAATAAAAACAAGATTCAACAAACTCAAAATCTCCTTGTGCTCACCTTAGTCAAGAGAAATAGTTTATTCGATCCCTGCTCAATCAAACAAGACATGTAAGTTTCATAAAATAAAAAATAAAAACTTTGTATATGAATCATTGGGAGCATAAAATAGAATTATGACGGAATAATTACCTTCAAAATTGAGAAGACAAGTTTAGCATAGATATCAATGGCAAGGAAGGAGAGACTCTGCACTTGTTGTGGTGTTTGCAATGTGCCTGGATTCATCACCTCAGAAGACACACAATGTGCAACAGAAAGCTCCTGCAGATGAGTAAAAAAAACACATGCTTGGTAACTCCTCGTATCATTCTATTACATACCATTCTATAAATTGAAAACTCACTGTGAGGACGCGGAAAAAACCGCTCTGTCATTTCATCCCCCTTCAGCAGACCATTTTGATGCAACTGTAAGATGAAATGGGCACAAGCTGCGTCATTTGCACCAGGAAGTTCACAAATCCGGTACCACTCAGCGAACAGCATTGACACCTACAGCATATTCAAAGTTGAAAACACATCAGAGAACAACTTTACATGTACTACTCTTTCATCTATAGACATTTGTATTTGTGCTCTAAATACAAAATCAAGGATGGTACCCATTTATCCACCTAAATTCAAAACAACAATACTCCTCCCACCCTTATGTACCAAGCAACCAAGTCATGTCCCAGTTACATCCTTATAAATTTTCTTTAGTTCAAATATTCACAGCAAATAATAGGTCTGTTGAATATCCTCAACATCTAACAACGTGCAGTTCAGGGTTATAAAGAATGTATCATGGTACCTGCTCACGGAAACCAGCAGGATCAGGTTCCAGAGACTCCACATTACTAAAGTCTTCCCTGTTCACAGGAGAGTGAACAGGAGCCTGTTTCAGCCACAAAAAAAAATTTATTATAATCGAGTCAGAAGAAAATACACATAGGGTAGGCCGAAATACTAAAGACATCTCCACTGACCTTTTTATCTCTAGATTGTCTGGCCTTGTCGTCCTTTCCAACATTACTAGCAGATGGAGCAGCCACATTAGAAGCAGGATTCTTCACCATTTCAACCAGCTGCTGTAGTGACTCAGGAGATCCAGGCTTTGCAGCAAGCTGTGTATCAGAATCAGTAAACAAACTGTACTAATGTAAAACACAAAGCGCAATTTTTTTACACAGACCTTAGCCAAAGCATCGACAAGATTATGAAGTTCTGATATAACTTTAGATTCTTCAATCACCAAAGTTTGGAGAAGGGAAATGGAAAACTCAGTTGCAGGCTCTGCAGATTTTAAGATATCAGTAAGTTACATCAACTGCAGCAGTATTAATATTGTAAACAAAACAGCCATTTTACATACTATTCCTGCCACCGTCAATAAGTTTGGCCATATGAACATTGTACTCTGCAAGGTTTAGCAATTCACTGTGAATAAGGCCAACAGTAATATCTTTGTTAAACTTCCGCTCCTCCTCGGAATAAATAACCTGCAAGAAGTAGCAAACCAATATATTAGAATGGGAAAATGTGACACGAATAGAAGTGCTATTAATATATCTAGATCGTACTATTATCTAAGTGTAACTGCTATGAATAGAATTGATAAGATCATAATAATAAAATCCTAAGTACAGACAATAGTAAGGAAAATAATTTTTTTTTATAAAAGAAACGATATTATTAAAAAGAAACTGAAAAGAAACAAGAAGTGGATAAGGGATCCACTACGCCCAAACAAACCCGCATAAACCAAAAGCAAAGGAAACAACTGCCTCCAAACAGGCAACGAGCCGACGGAGGAAAAAGACTTGAGGCAAAACAAAACAAAAAGGCCAAACAACCCCAAAAAGGACTGGAGAAAAACCACAAGAACCATAGTAAGGAAAATAATTAGAAAATTTATAAAGTTATGCTCACCAAGAAAAGCCGAAATTTCAGGATCATTAAGGGCAAAAAAGTTGTATGAAAATTAGGTAACCCAAATATGATCCAAATCAAGAAATAATTATGTTCAAAGGAAAACATAGAGGCTTTCCAGACAAAACTATCTATCTCATAACACAAGTACAATAGTGCATACCCAACTAGTGAGCTCCTTAACAACAAGCTTGCAAACATCACGAATGGCAGTCAGGATTGCAAGATGAGCACCGACATGAATATGGTTGGATGCATTCTCGTATAAACCCTTGAAAACCTGTTTCAAGATTAAAAACAAACTCGAAGCATTAAAATCATTGGAAAAATATTTACCAGAAACATAAATTTCTGTCCAGGGATAATCAAACCAGTTGCTTCACATCAACAGAGAAACTCCATAAGCATTCAAGTTAGCTGTAATGATTAACTATTCAAGGGAACAAATAACACAAAAGCTTCTCACAGAGGATAGCACTGACCTTTTGAGCCACAGCCAAGGCAGCCTCATCTCGACTAACACACCTGAGTATAATCTCAGGAACTTCACCAATGACTCCCTGGATAAGACATACCAGAGAACATTCATCTCGTGTAAAATGTACACGTCATAGTGTATGTACTTATGCATGTATGACTACAAAAGGGAAAACACTTTCAAGGTTTATTCTATACCAACTAGTTTTGATGCACGTATATATGGATAATACCTTTCAAGATACAATTTGGAGGAAGAAGATACCATAAAGATGAACAGATACAGTACCTGAATTTCTACATCTCTAGCATCACTAGTTACCAGAGCTTCCAACTGAAAACAATACAGAGGATTATGTTTTCATTAACTCATAAACACTAAAAATAAAAAGTAAACAAAAAAATATATCGATGAAGGATATATCAAGAACTCATTCGCTATATAAATAAAGATGAGACAAACATCAGAAAGAAAGGACAAGCTACAAAGGTTATTTCCAACCTTTTGTGCCACAATCTGGTATTTATCCAATGCATCCCTCGTGTTGAGAGAAGGTTCTGAAATGTTACTTCCAAGACGCTCAGTTACAGCAGGTGAAGGTAGTGGCTGTGAAGAAACTCCAGATTCCTAGCCCCAAAATGTAAGTAAGAACAAAGTTTTTTCATGTAATAAGTAACTTGAGCATTATAATATCATGTAAAAAGTTTTTTCAACCTTTACAGCATCAGACGACTCTACTGATTGTAGCTCTGGGGCAGAAGCAGCAGAAGGAAATGAACCAATGACAGAATCATTTTCAGAACTCTGCTGGGAAACACCATCACCCACCCCGACATGAATAGAGGAAGCACTGAAACATTACACCAAAATTACAAACATTCAAGCAACTAATACTTCAAGAAGTACATGAACTACATAACTTAAAAACTAGAAACAAAAAATATAAAAGAAACCTAAGATGCAGAGATGAATTGGGTTCAATGCCCTCATCCAGCGGACGAGAAACTGCATCAAATTTGCTTCCAGGGCCTGCTGAGTAGCCTGTGTTAAGTTGTCCTGATGCTGGAGTACCAGCAGGAAGAACATGCGAGTTCTGGCTAGACTGGTTCTGCCAGGGAAGCCGAACAAAGTCCTGTATAATAAAGGGGGAGTGTAAGAAGAAATCAAATTGCTTGACATTCATCTCATCACCAGACCGTATCAGTACCAAAAATTAGCGCATTACCTCATAAACTCGCTGTTGAGAAAGGGACAAATGGCCGGGTTTAGGGCGAAGGGCCTCTGGCACAACGCCCATGGAACCTTGAGTATAGATGTTAGTATCAAAAAAGGTTGCACCAACACCATCTCTCTTCCTTCTTAATGAGAGCTGTTGAGCTATTTCCCCGTCAATTGTTTGTATGGCCTGCAAGCAGTTAAACACAAGTGAACAACAGCATAATTGAATATCCATGTTATCTCTACATGTGGATCATTTTGATTAATTACAGATCAGAACTAGTTTATCTAAATTCAAATTTCAATCTTCCAAAGCAAACTTCTGTCAGCATATAATTCTAAAACATATTTCACTTCCCTTCCAATTGACCCAGAAGTATTTTTGCTTTAAGTTACATCCTAGCATAAACAAATGTGTAGTAAATTTTTTCTGATAGACAGAAAAATTCTCAAATATTGACATTAACCTGCCAATGGTAACACTAACATCAAAAGACCATTCTTTGCACATTCTTCCTAATATGAGCAATACAAAAGCTTTCTTTAGTTGTTTCACATTTTGCCACCATGGTAAATCATCACAAAAGAACTGATGTAAACAAACAATAACAGTAACTTTCAAAAACATATACATATATAGATATTATGTGTGTGCGTGTGTATTCATCAAGCCAAACCTTATCAGTCGCAGCCTGTTCAATAACTGCACAGCCAAGATCCAGATTATCATTAGTAACAAGTTGTACAGCATGTTCTAGAAGATCACTGGCAATATTTAATCCCTGAAGGGAATTCCTGAGCTGAGTTGATATTGAACTGCGCAAAGGTTCCTGCTTCCAGAAACACAAACCGAAGATGAACACAGGGAAATAAAATAAGTCCTCACACCAAGAAAAGGCACCCCAATAAATTTGCAGCAATGAATAGTAGTTGGGAGTAGAAATTGTTATTTGTATCAGACAATGCATGGCATTCCAATGTGGTGTTACAAATCTAACCAAATATTGACACGCATATGTATGCCCTGAATGATGAACCCTTAAACCAGCATACTGTGCTAATGATTGTACATGTGTTAAAATAATAGGTCGCATTCACAATACAAATTTTCCCAAAACAATCCCAAGAAATTTATTGTAAGAGGAAATACCTTGCATGTCACATGAGCTAGACTTCCTGCCAAACTCGCAACCATCAAGTGAGCTGCATTAAATATTCTCGTCTCATCTGATTCCATGGCATAATCCTACCAACACAAGTAATTGGAAAGAGAATTAGGATAAATTACTAGACAGAATACTGTTTCGGAAAATTTTTTAGTTAGCAGCCAAACTAAACATTTCCAAGAATCGGCACTACAGCAATATACTTCCCAATCACAACCCATAGAAACAGTGTAAGGAACGATAACAGAGCAGGGTAGAACAGTGGAAACAGATCTACATCAAAGACGCTTATTTTTGACATCCAACCCACGAAACAATCTTTTACAGTACAAATGTTCTCGCACTTCAGTGCCCCAAATTTAGCATCAGAAGGGGAGGCTTTCCTAGAATGGTTAGTGTGTTGAAATTTTAACTTTGGAAATGTGACTAATATTAAACAGCAATACAAAAACAGAAAGTCATACAGGAGCACTAGTTTTTCTTGTAACAATATTCCCTCATTATTTAGATAAAAAAAAACACCTATAAATCTTTTATTCAGGCATGTAGTATGCACGTACATATCAGAGCCATGAATGGACATCAACGCCGACTCTGGATTGCACTGACTCCAACCCCATTTATACAAACAAAAGCAAGAGGAACAATACAATATCAAAATATTGCTTCAGAACAATAGTACATAGAATTGAAGTAGCAACCACACATTCTTTTAAATTGCCACCAACAAGCCAATTCAAGATTAGAAATGGAAATGCATAATGAGTCCCAATGCAAAGACCAAAGCGCAGAAATGCTTTTGAAATTCTGACATAACTGAACAAGGCCCACAACGCTTTACATAAGAATACAGTTGGCCCTCAAGAATGAGCATATACAAAATATAAAGTGCTACTGTAACACGGATATCAATGGGAGTGTGGCAAAACAAGGATTGATTGAAGGAATGTGTTGTAGAAGCTAAAGTAGAAACAATGGGGGGACAAGAAGATGAAGTTCGAGTCATCAAAGAGCCGTAGTGACAAGATGGACATGAAATAAGACATTATGCAAAGATGACAAGATTTAACCAGGAAACAGCCTGAAAGATAAAATAGCAAATTTATTCAAATAATAGTCAACAGTGGCAAGAATTATTCAGTTAACTAACCTTTAAAACAAGCTCTTTAGTGGTCTGGGTAGCTATAGAAACACTGCGCTGAACAATACCAGATACTATCTCTTTGATAGCTCTGTCCATTGCGATTGGAACCACTCTGCAATATATTTTAAAAATGAGTAATTCTACCAAAGTGCTGGTCAAGGTACACTGTAAGAAAGGACTATCATAGAACCTCTGAAAATGCAGTTGCAATCCCAAGCCAGTTAGCTTCTGGTTAATGATTACGTGAGTTCCGATATTAGGTATTTGAGTGGGAAGCTGCAAATGGCCAGAGGCCAAGCCAAGTAGAGGATCAGAGGACAAAAGCACTAACAAGAAGAAGGCAAACATCCCTACTAGAAAGAATGAAAACATTGAACTGCACCTGACTCACAGAAAACGGTGATTGTGACGGAGTAGCTTGTAACAGTCCTTGAGCAGAAGGAATCTGATCAGACAACCCTAAAGCAGCAAGCTTCTCATCCTCGTTAAAGGTACCAGGTGGAAGATGAAGAGGAGTGCCATACTAAATAGGAAATACATTAAATTGTCAAGGTAAAAAACAATGTGAAAAGAAAATATGTTACAAGTGCTATCACCCAACAAGATCTCAATTCTCAAGAAAATGTTGTGACAAACCTGAGGTAAAAGATGTGTATGGCTCCCAGAAGATGGCGCAACATCAAGTGGTAGATCAACTTGATTTAGTGGAGATATGATTCCAGATTTCACTTCAGCAACCATCTGTGGTTGGGATGCTCCAACATCTTTGTTAGAGAAATCAGGATTCCCTTCAAGTTCTCTGTTGCGATCCTTGAGAAGAGAACTTGGTGTTATCTCCTTCAAATCCACGCCAAGATTCTTGAATAGAACCTGAAATTCCAAAATAATAAGGCAGATACACTAGAAATTCTATAACGATATTATGGAAGGCAAGCTTCAATAGATAATCAATGAAAACGTATGTGTACCTCTATGTCAAACTTCAGGTTCATCTTTAAGTTTGGCATTGAATAGATCTCAGCAAGTAATCCAAGAATACCCATTGTCCAGGGATTTGGTGGTTGGTATGCCAGGCTACTTTGGCATGGCTCCAGAATCTGCAGCAAGTAAAAGAGCATAAGGTCTTCATGCCCCTTCCGTGAGGAAAAAAAGAAAGCAAAACAAGCATAACTATACCTTTGAAGTAAAGGGTATAACTGCAATCATCAACCCTTTCTCATATGCCTGTATGGATGGGGGAGGGATAGATTAGAAAAAACCAAAGGTAACCACTTAATAGGTAGCATAAGTCTATACCACTAAGAATAACCAAATCAAGAAGAACAACATTGATCAAACTCACACCTCTATAATCAAAGACTTGGGATCTATTTCACGAGCCCTTAAGACTTGATTCCTTCCAATTGTAAGCTTCCCAAGCCAGCTCCCTAAATTTTTTAACAATGAGCGCTCTTCTGAGCTTGATTTTATAAGCTCTGATCCAAGAAGAACCTGAGACAATGCACAGGCATTAAATGTATAATCATATCAAATGCACAAATAACGTACATGTAAGACAGCAAACTGTGCATCTGACCAGAAGAAAAATAGAAAAGACACAAACCTTGCAGTTCTCATAAGTAGCTTGAACAATCTCCTTATTCAAACCCTTAGAATTAACTTTGTCCAGAAATTTCAGGTACAAGTCGTGAAAATTTGGCTCAATGCTTGCCCTGCCAAGAGGTTAGGTGGGTGCACCACATGTTAGGACAATAACAAAGGGAAATGAGACAATCAAAATACAAACAAATTTATCTATGTATATCTCATTTCCAAAAAGTGCCTAACCTTTTCATAACCATATACTGCGCAAACCAAGGATGGTATTGATCTTTCATTACTTCTGTAAACTCCTTTGACTTAGCTTCAACATTAGCAACTGAAATATTATTAATTATAAATGATATCTTGTCCTGAACCTCTGATGCTGGAGCCTGTAAAAGAGAATTGGGAACATGTAAGCATTAATCTCAGAAGAACACATGACATGGACAAGCTGAATAGTTTGCCCGGAAACTTCAAAGTTCTAACATAATATCAACTTCAGAAAATTACGATTTTTTCAAAAACATACAAGGCTGAGACTTTAAAAACACAGAATAAGAGAGATACATAAAAACAGAGAAACACAACTCTTTTGCTCCCTGTTCCAGCAGCATCCCAAATCAATTCAGTAAACAACAAAAATGGAAAAGTATATAAAGTAGCCATCTTAGATACTTCTTCATTAATGTGTAGATTAGCAAATCCATATACTCAAAAACATACCACAAGCATCACCCTCACTATTATACAGAGTTAAAGCCCTTAACCAAGAGGTAATTAAAATTTGAACCCAGAAATCGGATACATTGGCTAATTAGTCCATAAGAGCTAATTTTCTGTAAGAATATTCAAACAGGGCAAAGAGAAAAAGAAGACTAATGACAACATTAAGATGTCATATTTGCAGTAGAAAAAAACAAATGCCATCACAGTCTGGACCCTCATATAAAAACAATCTGATCTGATGCATACTTATGTCAATAACACTTATTGAAATATAGAACATCACTGAATAAGGAGTATTAATGTCAATCAAATATGACGATAAGGTTGTGAAACAGAAGCGGCTACAGCAGCTAAGACCACTAAGAATAGGTAAGGTGGAGTTGGGCCCCCACATAAGTTTTAGAAACCTGACTGCAATGTACATATCTACACCAGGCATGTGATAGTATGTATAATATATCAACAGACACTAACTCACAGCATCTTGCATGAATACGAGGCCTGTAAGATGGAACACAATACCTCAATGGGAGTTTCTCTTTTCTCAGCAGCAGCAACTAATGTTTCAATGTTCAAAGCAGAGCCAAACCCTGCATTTGTATTGCACATTATTGTAACATTCACCAGGAACTTAATTATGTAGGGATGAAATAATGACTTGGGAAAGAAGTTGAAAATTACTTGTAGAAGTTACTCCTCGTGAAGGACGAACAAAACCTGGGGAAGAAGAAGACAACATTGCGGAGCACTGACTGTACTTTGTGACTGCAATTTTATAAGAAAATGAGGGGGAATCAAAATTTAATGATACAAGGAGCTGATAGAATCTAGTCCCACACCCCCACCACCCCAAAACAAAAAAAACAAAAACCCCTTTAAAAAAAATGCAAGCAGGCATGCCTTCTGAATACTAGGAGCATCGCCTAAAGGAATAACCGAAGGTTGCACAACAGAAGATAAAAGTGGCTTTATGTCATTGGATGAAGTTGAGGCTTTATGACGGTCATCAAGAGAACTTTCATGTCTCTGTTGAAGCTGGAGAGGAGATGATAGTTGCTGCCCAGTATGTAAGATGCTCGAACCATTTAACTGCATTAATGACTCAGCATATAAGCATAAGTGGGCAACAATAGCTCAGCTCACTCAAATAAATTGAAATAACAAGGCATGGTTAAATTCAATACATGTATCCTAAATGTATGAAATTAATAATTTCATAACAAAAGATTTAATCCTAAGAGAGTACGAGACAATTTGGTGCTGTAAATATATCCAAAACTTCCAGCATGATTTTACATCCGATGAGCCTTGGAACAAAGTTCTTCTGGTGTAAACATCAAAGGGCATTACATAGCTCTGGAAAATTGCATCCAATACCATTAAAATGTGGATTGATCAGATATGTGATTCCATTTGTTGTAGTTAAAGAAATTAATATTTCAGTGATGTCCACTGGAACATTTTGGACATGGGAGAAGGATCATGGTGAAAACCCGAATTCTAGAATAGATGTGTAAAAGAAAATGAAGAAAGAAAAAAAAAGGACACAGCGAGAAATCTATAGCCTAATGGTAGTAATTTTATACTTAAACATCACAAATTCTTCACTGCTGTATGCAATGATTGAAAAATTATACAACTGAGAACCTGGATGTGTAAAAGACATTTGGTTCTCATACTGGTAAATTTCAAGAGTAGAAGGAAAATGTGGACTTTTTTTCTCAATTGCAAAAAAGGTTATAAACTGCTTTGCAATGCATCCTTTTCTAAGTATTTGATTAAAATTTTGAACAATGACACATCACAAATCCAAGTACACCACTGACCTCCACATTTCCTGAGGAAGCTTGACTAGGACCGTGGTGATGAGCAGAAGCATGGTTGCTTCCATCTGAGTCTGAATGGCCCGATGAAATCCTAGCAAGAGCCTGTTCAATGAAAGCCACGAGCTCTGAATGAGTACTACGCAGATGTGATATTTGAAGAATGTGATTGCAATACTGCGGCCACTCAATCAGACGATCCACAAACTGCTCCAAAGCCTTAGTTCCAAACACAAACATCTGCATGTAGAAAGATCATCAGCAATATCATGATATGAAAAAACTAATGAGAGAAGTTAATGAGAAATATTACGAACTTTTGAATCCGCAGGCTTGCGTAATGCATCTAAAACACCACGCAGAGCAATCCCAAGAGTCAGATGAGTTACAAGCTGGTGCTTGATGACAGAACCTGAAACATTGCATACAATAAAATTGAAACAGGCATCCTTAAAACAAATTAGGGCATACTAAACCATATATTTAAAAGGAAAAAAAAATTCTATCACACTACAGAAGGAATCCATTTCAAAACGTTTTCATAGAAAATCTAAGGGCACAGACAATGGGAAAGAATCATAATTATATATATCGCAACTAAGTCAAATCTTATGAAATCTTCTACACATGCACAAAAGAAAACTTTAAAAAGGACAAGAATCACATCTGGTTTATTCATTAACAAATGCATGCTCTCGACATGTCAAATAATGACCATCAAGTTGACCACATAATTAGAAAATAGTGGATATCAAAAAAAGTTTATTCGTATGTTTCTCATACTACCTCCTAACAGATACCAAATATGTGGCTCCCCTGCCCACTTAAAAAAACAATCCCTCAGCTCAACCAAAATGTATTATACTGAACTCTGTTGTACATTACTCTTTACAGTCTTTAGACAAATTAAAGTTTTAGGGCAAATCTAGAAATACAATTTGGACTGAGGAGTCATTAAAAACACTCACCAAAGAGAACTGCAGCAATTTTGAGCTGTCTTTCAGGATACTTGGGGAAGAATCTGTACTCTTCAAACAGATTAGCAATCATGCATTCAAAAATTGACTGTTCCCTGTCAATTCATGCAGCAAAGAATTGTTAATTAACTCTCAATTTTAAAAATAGTATAATGTGAAAGTAAGAAGCTTCAGCAGATTTTAGTACGGACCTTCCCTTCTACTATAATTAAACCAATAGAAGAGTAAGAAGTGCCAAAACAATATCACATCGATATTACATACATGTGGCACGTATGAGAATGAAACTATCAAAAAGCAATTTGGGTTCTCATGCGTGAGGTGGGGCTTGGGAAAAGCAAGACATGATACCAACTGTACTAACTCAAAGATGCATAATTAGATTCTTTTAAAAGTCAATCCTAACTTTGACCAACGAAAATCTAGTATCATGTGTACTTCACCTATTGTACTATCACAAGATCTATGGCCTGCAATTGAACAAGATAAAAGTAGGCAATAGTGGGCTTTTGAAAAGATGAGAGAAGATTGAGGAAATAATATTAAAGTATCCTGATTCAAAAGCTCAACAGACATACCTTTTTACAGAAGATTCCTTGAATCGGGCAAGCATTTGGACCATTGAATCAATTGTCAACTGACCAGAAAACATTTGATGGAAGTAAGAGTTTGCTTCCGCTTCAATATCATCTGCATATCCATCAGTTGATGACTCTGTGGTGCCACCATTCTGCAGCCTTGGATTAGAATCCATAATTGTTACAGACAATCTTTCCATGTCCTCAGTAAGTTGGCTAGAGGTAATCAAGCCAACATGAGCTTTAAGAACCTAAAATCAACATTCAGATGATGAAATTCTGTATGATAGATGATGAAGCTCTACATCATAGAAAACAAAATCGCATGCCAAGTTGTCGAACCTTCGAGAATGTAGCAGCAGTGTCCACATAAAGATTTGACACAGCACCAGAATGTTGGAAAGGTCTGGTGGAAAAATCCTGTGATCCACCAAATTGAATCTCCTTCAAGAACTTGACGCACTCCTGAAATTTTGCATTATTCGTATAAGCCAGTGATATGCATGATATTATTGCAACCTAAATTTGTAGCAGGGGACGGAGACGAAAGTTACATTACCTCAAAGAAAGTATCTTTATATGTATTCAAATTATTACTCAACCACTTCTCAAGGTCTATAAACTCTTTTCTGGAAGCAAGAGCTGCCAGTCTGATACTAAAAGGGGAAGGAATCATCTCTAAGACAGATGACAGAATCTACAAAACAAAGAACATACGAGAAATAAATGGAAATTCCAGTAACATTAATACAAACCCTCAAAAATAAAATAAAAAACTGACTGACACAACACACACTATCTTGATTCTCAATTATACAGCAACAAGGGCAACAGACACTGGTCGGAAGATCATTCGTAAGTACACCCCAAACTTACCTTTAGCTCTTCACAGATATCCAATATTCTAGCCATGCTATCTGGATCACTATTGTGAGCATCAACGAATCCCCGCAGCACCAGCGAGATGTTAATATGCCAGAGGTGGTTAATCATGCCACTGCCCATGGAATTTTTTACTATCATGGGGAAAACAGTAAAAGACACTTCATATTGCAGCAGGTTGTATGCAGTCTGCAATGGCACGTGTAAATTTATGAACCAAAAGAAAGTACTATGAGAATCTAGTGTTTTAAAACATCAATTTTAGAGAGGTACATTTATATGTGCCATCCCAAGAAGCAGGACTTCAGGACAGTGTTTAAGCGGATACTCAAGCATCGATCGAACTGCAAGAGCATGACCCCTCTCAGCTAGTAGACACAGTACATCCAAAACGTCAAGACACAACCAAGCATGATTTGCATGTCCAAGTTGAAGCTTATGGCCATGCACAGCATCAATATAGGCCTGAAAAGATGATAGGTAACTCAGAATGGTCAAACAAATATAACATGAGGGAACAGGGAACATGTATAAGCTGGATGAATATAAGATTGTACCAGCTGCCTAACAGAATGAGCAAAGGTAAACACTTCAGGTGGTGCTGATACAGCATGTCTAAGAAAGGAGAGCTGACCCTCGGTATTCTTCCAGACAGACCCACAGATGACATGGAGGGGAAAGGGCTCCTGCACAGCTCAAGTCCGGAGACCACAGATTAATATAGACTAAAACATCACAATTTGCACAATAGTAATCTAAAAAACTGCAAGAATACAAAACCTACCTGACACACATGCTGATATACAGACATGAAAAAAGAGAAAGCCTCCTGATTAGGAATGTAAAATCCCTCATGATCCAAATTTTCCATAACCCGTATCCAGTTGGTGCCGGGAGCCTGTAATCAGCAAACAAAATTAGGAAAAGAAAACGGATGCACTTTCCTTCACTAAGTCACAACTCAAACAAACAATGGAAGAAGATTACAAGTAACTCACAAGTTGCTTGATTGTATCTACAAGGACATCAATATTCCAGGTGTTCAACATAGGCATATCAGACAAAGTGCTGTCACCAAGCGCCAACCGGAAGGTTGAGAATGTATTCTGATTGTCCTCGAGACCAGCGTGAGTACAGGCAATCATGCCAAGTATTTTTGAGATAGTAAACTCAGTGAGTGGTAAGAAAAGGGATAAAATCTCTTTACACTGAGATGAATCAACTGTGCATCCATAACCTAATTCCTTCATTATATCTCCCATGCTCATTTCCTTCTCCATTTCTGCTAAAATAGCATCAAAATCATTTTCTCCACTTTCATGGAACAAACCCACATTGCTGCAGCAAAAAGCAAAAGCTATTGAGCACAGGATATATTTTGGCATGACAAATAGATAGAAAAGGCAAATAACCTAATACCAAGTAGTTCTAGCAGAAAGACAACTAGAAAATTACCGTACCTCAAAAAATTGGCATCACGAAGCTCATCTGAAAGCAATGGAGTTAGAACAAACAAACTGTCATCTTTCAGCTGTAATAAAGATAACATCTGCATAAAGGAATCCACATGCTTGGAAAGGCCCTCAGACCGCTGGAGGAACATAACAGTGTTCTGAATTTGCTCAGAAGAATTCATCGCAACAGGATTTTCACACAACTTCTGGATCTGAGCCATACAGAAGTTCTTGCCTGGAAACAAACAGTATTAAATTCTACATTGAAATTACGGCAAAATTATAAGATACTAACAGTGCAAAAGAAATTTTTTTGAGCAAGAATACATCAGTCAAACAGTTCACCATCATTTTAACTGAAACTTACCACATGTCCTGCTGTCTAGGTTTTCAGAATCTGACAATGCAAGACCAATGGCAATCTTCTCACATACAGACAGGTGTAATGCATTCGAGAAATTCTCTAGAATTCCTTCATTGATCTCTGTATTTCTTAGGGACTCACAAAACACTGTAGTGAAATTAGGTCTGTCAAGAAGATATTTAAAAACTGAGGAAAGAACCCGTTCCAGTGCCACATTCTTCAAGTCTGTTCCGTAATTAGTGAGATGACCCAGACAGGTCTGGAGCAGCAAAATGCTTCCCTCAATTCCATATTCAGTAAACTGCCATGAAACCACAAACTACATCAGCAAGAGATCCAGCAAGATGCATGATTAGATAAGCTCAAAAAAAAAAACCTTATTCCAGGGTACTTGTTATCAGCCACATTAATTATTTTCTTATCCAGAAGTATAGCAAAATTTAAAAATTCAAGATTGGAAAGATTCTTCACCCTCATCATAGAAATAAACATAAACCTTCAATGGGCCATGTGTAAGAGCTACAGATATTGTAGACTGAACTAAAAATTAAAGCAAACAGATCACATGCATGATAAGTAATTCCTAATCCAGTGTGTATTGTCAACCATTCACTCAACTGAAAATATGAATATCTTCACCAAAAAACAAAGAATATTCAGATTTCATATACTAAAGCTGTTAGTTGAAAACATTTCAACATCCAATGCATGCTGGAGAAATGAATAAGGATGAGACTATTTCAGGTAAATCCCACCAGAAAATATTTACAAATAGAAAATACAAAACACAACACGACTTGGAATTTTCACCTATTCCCCCTACTTAACCTTCCCCACTTCTAATTCAATTCGTCATGGTCCTGCCACCCCACTCACCGAACACAATTTTATGCTAAACTTCTCTTTGAGTTGCAATGGGTAGTACAACTTTTCTGGTACAAACTGACACAGAAGCTTATGTGGCAATGCCATGTCAGTTTGACTTATGCCAGCAGAAGCATGGCATGCTAACTCAGCTGCCATCAGATTGTAAACTAAATTTGTGCAAATCTTAGCGCATTTAGCATTTCCTTTGATCCGCCCATTTCTTCAAATTTGAACAGAGAGAAACACAACGCAGGCGTTGCGTCATACAAACACTATGAAGCTAAAGTTCAACACCGCATTCAATCACCATACAGAGCAATCCAAAATTAAACTACGCGGCCAAATTTTAATCCTGTCTTCTTTTTTCACTTCTATTAGTAGCTGAAGTCCAGAAATGCAATCGAGTGGAATGAGTTCGTCTAAATTCCACAAAACTCCGAAATTTACAGAAAATTAGGCGTCCAATACATTATCACAAACAAGATGAATAAAACACAAAAACCAAAACAGAGCGGGAGTACCTGAGAGAGCTCTAGGAGCACAGAGTCAAAGTTGGCATCGTTGAGGCTTTGGAGGAGAAAGCGAATCTGGCTTGCGGTGGTCGGCGAAAACTTCAGCATCGCGTAGACGGAGAAGGATTTGGGAGGGGTGCTAGGGTTTGCTCAGATAGAGATTGCGAAGCAGAGGGTGCAGGGGAGCGAGATTTTGGAGAAAAACAGGGGTACTTTAGGGATTTCGAGAATCTTCGACAGAAGCGAAAGGTTGAGACTTGGTTGGTGGCGTCTGATCTGAATTTGGAGTGTGTATTATTATAGTGGTAGCGCACACGATGGTCTCTCCGCTGGAAACTCAACTCGGTTACCTGCGGGTTCTTTTATATCGACTAATGTTTACCTTCTAGTGCTGCCACGTGAGTTGGAAAAACAATTAAGGGAAATAAAGGTCTCGATAAATCTAGGGATGGGCATTTGTGGCGGTAATTATTTATTTGTTATCTATATTTTATACCAATCGATTCGAATTTAAAGTCTCGATTAACATAATAGGTTGAATAATAACTATCCGAACTATATGTTATAAATTAATTCAAAATTAATTTGTGTTTTGTACGTGTCTTCCTCTTTTCGAAATTTTAAGGTGTTATTGGACTAACATGAATCATTGCTCACTAGAAACAAATGGTCGGTGCACCGAAAAACCATTGTGATTGGGTCGGTTCTTGACAAGAAGTAGACATAGAGGGAAAGAGTGAGATCGATGCTAGACTCCAAATTTGAGCAACAACAGCTAGAAATCCCTAAATATGAGTAGCAATGACGTTGGACTCCAAAGATCGAGAAGATCGAAAGGGAGATCGAGCACAAAGTCAAGAGATTGACAAATGAGAGATATCGAGAGCTAGATGAGAGATGGGGACCATAATTCGAGAATTAATAAGACGTTGCAAGACAGCATAAGACATTGTGGAGAGAGAAAAACAGGTGTAGGGTTATGGAAAAAAATATATATATTAAATGTCCGGTTCAATTCAATTAAAACAAACATTTTAAAATCTCAAATTTTAGATCGGACCGAGGGGTATTGCAGAACATGTACGAGCCCCTTCCAATGGAAAAATAAAATTTAACGAGGATTTGGTTAAGTCTGACAGAGTAATATTCATTTATTTTCAAATTAACCTATTTACTATTTATTATTTGATTGAATAATCCTTCATATTGGAATGGGTGAATAGATAGATGAAAGAGATGGACGAAAGCTAGAGAAGGACATATGGAGGAGATACACAGTAGAGAGAGACTCGTGAGATAAGATGAAATCCTTATAGTTCTAATGGTTATTTCAAATGTTAAAGCCCATTTCGTTAGAAGGATATGGACTTTTTGAAAGGGTTATTAATCAAAATGGTCCTTCAACTTTTGCTATAGTATCATTTTGGTCTACCAACTAAATTTTTCATTTCAATGGTCCCTTAATTCTTCATTTGGTATCAAAACAGTCCTACCATAAAAGTTTGTTAATATTGCCGTTAAATTTAGGGGTAAAATTGTCCATATGAATTAAAATATTAATACAATAATTAAAAATTAAAGGAAACTATTATAGGAACTTGTACCTAATTTTAAAATTGAAAAAATTGAATCTCACCACCAATATGGCTTTTTTTTTGTTGCTAATATGGACTAAAAAAGTAATAATTTTTTTCTCTATTTTTTAAATTAATTAAAAAAATTAAAATTAAAAACAAAAAATTAAAAAAAGTAACCCTAAAACAAACGAACCCAGCATTACCCAACCCTACCTCTCCAACCTCGCAACCTCCCTTCACCCCATCTCCAACCTCGCAACTTCCCCCCTCTCAGCCTCTACCCACCGTCACCTCACCACTCCCAGTCGCTCTCACCGTGACCCACACCCTCTCTCTCTCTATCTCTCTCTCTTTCCCAAATCCACGATAATTACCACCAAAAGCTACGAAAATGATAACCTATGAATGTGGGTCTCTCTCTCTCTCCTCTCTCTCTCTCTCTCTCTCTCTCTCTCTCTCTCTCTCTCTCTCTGTGTACGTGTGTGTGTGTGTGTATACACTAACTCAGATCTGATCTGGGAATGTTTTTGTTAGGTATGGCTTATATTTGAATCGGGTTGGCCTGATTTGCGAGGCTCATTTGGGCTTGAGGTTGCTACTTTATGCGAGAGATTGAGGGGGTTGGGGAAGGAGGGCTAGGTTGAGGATGAGGGAAGCTGAAATGGGGGAGGCTGAGATGTGGGTTGGAGTAGTGAGATAAGGAATGAGTTTGGTAATTGTATATGGACGGTTTTACCCCTCAATTTAAAAATAAAATTGACGGACTTTGACGGTAGGACCATCTTGATACCAAATGAAGAGTCGAAGGATTGTTGAAATGAAAAATTTAGTTGATGGACCAAAATAAGTTGGGGGACCCACTTAAAAATATAAAAGAAGAAGGATATGGACTTGAATTTTAAATTTTTATATTCAAATTCATATATTTTTTAAATTCATTGTTTGGTAATAGATAAGGAGAGGATAGAGGGTATAAATAAAGAGAATGAGAAATTTGGGCTTATCAAATTTTAGTTCAATTTCAACTATGGTTAATTTTAGTTTGGTACCATGGAGTTGTACTCGTAAGGCATGTTTGTTCATACAATCTTAATTTTAACAATTAAGTACCTCTGATTTGTCAATGTTTTTTCAAAGTGATTTTGGCGTTATGATTTCCATCAAAATTCTGGTTATTGTACTCGTAAGGCATGTTTGTTCATACAATCTTAATTTTAACAATTAAGTACCTTTGATTTGTCAATTTTTTTCAAAGTGATTTTGGCGTTATGGTTTCCATCAAAATTTTGGTTAGCTGCTTATGTGGCAGCCCTGAGCTGCACCTTTTGTTTTTTTGGAAGTATGTTTGAGGTTATTTTCAAACAACTAATGTCTTCCTACCCAAAATATCTATTTTGAATATGGTTTTATCCTAAAATTAGGCTTGTTCGAAAATACCCTCAAATTGACTTTAAAACAAGGGACAAAATGGGACAACCAAATTATCACATGTCTGTTTTGTTGCTATGGTTGCCATGTACTCAACTAATGGGAATTTTGACAATTCTCTAACATCAGAATCACACTGAAAAAAATATGGGATACTTAAGTGTTAAAATTGAGAGTGTAAAGGACAAACAAGACTCACGAGTACAACTACAGGTTACTAATTTGAACTTAACCATTTCAACTAAATCTAATTCATGCATTGAAAACTGAACTTAAACATTTGGGTTCAATCCCTCAAATCCAAGAGAAAGACTTCCATGAAATGAGGATATCACTATTTTGATATCCCCGACTAATAACACTATGACATGTGTGATAATATTTCCACGTGGCATAACATTATTTGTCACTTCCCTGGATTGGCTCCGCCGTAACATGATATTGTCAGCTTTGGGTCCCCTTTTTTTGGAAACTCACGAGCAACTTCCCAATAAGTCACCTATCTTGGAATTGCTCTAGCCTCAACTCCCTTAACTTCGAAGATCTCATGACTATGAAGCCAGTAAGTTCCCAAAATGTCTTATGCTAGATGGAGGTGTGCACATCATCCCCTCTCTGTTGGTCGATGTGGGATGTTGCATTATTGGTTAGGGATAACACTTTATAGATCTCCCTGTTACAACTAAGTTTTTCCTCATATCCAAACCTACTAAATCAAATTTATATAAACAAACGAGTCCCTGATGTTTTAGCTCTTAATGGATTTGGGTCAAATTCAAATATTCAAACTCATGTTGGGCGAAACATAATTATTTGAATTTGAAGTCACAAAATCCAAATCCATCGTCTCAAATTCTCATATTCATCACGAAGGGTATTCAATGTAGATTTTAAAAGGCAAAAAGTTATTTTTGGTCTAGGTAGGTTACCTATTTTACTACTTTGGTCCTTGTAGTTTCAATTCTGTCAATTTGCTCATGTAGTTTTAATCCCTCGCAATTTAAGGACACATTACAAATTCTACCAAATTCCTTCTAATCCTACCAAAATACCCCTCCACCTTTATGACACATACTTACTACGTCACATAATTAGATAAAATTTTGGACGTGTTTTTGAAATGCAAAGATATTAAACTATATGTGTCCAATTGCAAGAATTGAAACCACAAAAGTAAAAGTAGAAAATTCGGCAAACTACATAACTAAAAGTAACTTTTTGCCATTTTAACTTTAAAGGTAACAGTTGGATCTAGGACTCGGAGTAAGAGCAACTTCAACGATAGCCCTTCGGGAGGGGGCACAAGCTTTCATTTTGGCTTTCTAGTGGGCTTAAGCTGCCCGGGCTCCAGCTGGGTCCCAGCAAACTTGGCTAGCCCAAAGGCAAAACGCACTTGTGCTCTAGCCTGAAGGCTGCTAACGTCATCGTCGACGACGACGTCAGCAACGAAAAAAATAAAATAAAATAACTAAAAATTTCACAATTTTTTGAATAAATACTTAGTCATATTCTTTGCTTCCCACACCAAAACTCTATACAAATTTCTCTCTTTAGTAAATTACTCAAATGGTCTTCAAACTTGTACGCGATTTACATTTTGGTCGCTCAATTAAATTATTAGTCCAAATGGTACATAAACTCTATTTTAATCGCTCTATTGGTCCTACCGTTACATTTTGTCAATGTTGCTGTTAAATATGAGGGCAAATTGGTCATTTTGTATGTTAAAAATAAATAAATATTGAAAAATGAAATAAAAACTCTCTCTCTCTCTCTCTCTCTCTCTCTCTCTCTCTCTCTCTCTCTTTCTCTCTTTTTCCACAACCCATTAGAGTAGTACCAAGAACTGGAATTCCAACAACTGCACTTAAAACCAGATGCTCCAGAAGTGTTGCATTTCCAATTTTTGCACATTCGATGAGCTTCAAGCCTACTACAACGTCTTCTCCTCCTTCAATCTCACCTGGTCTAACCTCGATTCCCACTTCACCTCCATCCAAGACTCCCTTAACCAAAAACTCCAGCTCCTCCAAACCCTCGAGTCCCAATCCTCAAATCCTTCTTCTTCTATACCCCAAGACCCCTGTTCATCAAACCCTCAATCTCAGAAACCACAAGACCCTTCTTCTTCTTCATGTCAGATACCAAAGAACCCGTCTTCTTACCAACCCAAATAGCAGAAGACCCGTCTTTGTCATCGTTGACATTGGCCCAGATAACGGAAGACGCCAAAACACCAACCCAGATAACAAAGGACCCACCTTCTTCATCAAGGCTAGGGCAACCTTTAGAGAACTCCACAGACCCCTCCCAACAAACCCAAAACCCCAACTCAACAATGACCCAGACCTTCTTCCCTTCCCCATTGATTTCCTTTTGTTGTTGAGAGACAACCACCCACCACCCTCCTCCCCACCTCATCACCCGCCAACCCCACCTCCCAAAATCACAGCCATTGTTAATTTCTCACCCTCCAAGACGCTGAAATTGCTACGAGGATTTTGGGGATTTATGCCCATATGGAGAGGTCTGTGGGAATAGGGGAGAAGAAATCGAAGGGGGGGGGGTTGGGTCTCATTATTATTTTTTTCTCTTTTTCTTCAATTATTTTCTAATTTTTTATTTGTTTTAACCCTATTTTATTTGTTAATTATGAAAAGTCATATTTACCCTAAAATTTGGTTATGTTTAACAGAAAATTAGACGGTTGGATCAAATGGGCGATTAAAATAGAGTTTATGTACCATTTGTACTAATAATTTAATTGAGGGACCAAAATGTAAATCGCGTACAAATTTGAGGACCATTTGAGTAATTTACTATTCCTCTCTTCATATCTCATATGAATAGTAGTTGCCATTAAGTTGCTATGACAATGGGTAAAAACACCACTAGGCTTTTGCAATGGCTGCCACTATTTATGTAAATAGTAACAGTCATTGCATTGCCATTGTCTCTTGCCATGGCAAATGGGTACAAGAATTATAAAAGCCCGATAAAGGAAGTTCTTAACACGGCCCATGAATAAAGAAGCAACCCAACCCGACCCGGTTAACAAGACCAGATTAGTCGGGTCCATGGTTTTCAGCAACTCCGTCGACCTCAACGATTTGCAGCCAAAAAAATAATTTATCAGAAGAGAGTGAACAAGCTTAATTGCATTAACAATGGCGACGGTGCCACTTCCAGAAAACTCCTCAGAAGAGAAGCCAGCCATATCACCCAACGACTCCATAAGTCACAGTCTCCATACCCTAGAGCAATCTGCCACGCCGTGGATCGACTACGCGGTCGAGCAGGCTCGGGTTTACCAGAAGACCATCGAAGAGACTTTCGATTCCGCCATCGAAGCTTCTAGATCACGTCTCTCCGAGATTCGGTCCACCTCCGCTGCTCATTTCAGCCAAACCATTGTAAAGAGAGATTCCCTCAATTCTCCATTTTTAATTTTTATTATTTATTTATTATTTTACATTTCCTCTTTGGTTCCTTAGTTAGAAAACAATGAAATTAATGCAGTACGGAAGAGAGTCTCTAAATCGTTTATGCGAATTTTTTTTTCATTTTAGATTCGTGGTGCCAGTAGAACTAAGGAATTGTTTGTTTATTGAAAGCTACAAGAAAGAAAGGAGATTGCCATTTGTAATCCCTAATGAAAATATCAAATAGTCAATTCAAATATCAAATGTTTATATTGTCAATTCTGCAATTCTGTGAAGAAATTTAGTCATTGTTTCCATGAATGCACACCAATCACTTGTTTATTTTATTTTATTTTTGGTCAACCACCAATCACTTGTTTACTTGGATATAAGGGTGGTTTATCTGGATTTTAATCAGTGTAAACTACAAGAAATTTCATCATATGGTTAACAACCAATTCAGAAATACTGTCTACCCCCCCCCAAATGATGAGTTTGAATGTCTGAATGCAGAACTCTTTGGAAGATATCAAGTCTGATTATGGTACTTATGAGGATATGTTTTTTGGGAAGATTAAAGGTTAGTGTTTGGTTTATCTTCGTTTCTTCAAAAACAAAAATTGAGTTGTTCGTTATCTTTTGTTACATCATTAAAGATTTTAGAAGTTTCAGACTGAAAAAGAAATATATATTTACACTTTTTTGGTGCAGAGGGTGTTCTTATTGCGGCTTCACATCCCATGATTACTGGTGGAGTTGCTGCTGGTTTGGGTCTTCTGGTTTTAAAAAGTATGGTTTCATTTCCTTAGCAGATTCTATCATATTTATCAGGTTTTTGAAGGGTTGCATACATTCAAACTTTAGTTTCTTTAAACATTTTTCTAGCAATTCAAGCCTTACTTTTATTACTTGCACTAGTAGGTAAATGTAAAAAACCATGTGTTGTTGAATCTCATGGTTGCTACTGATTATACTTGAAAGTGTGTAACAGGAAGTTTTAGGATTCCATGCTAATATTTGAAATGAATTGTAGATAACAATTTAAGTTGTTAGAAGTTTTACATAATATCAAGTATGCCCGTAATTATCTTTTTATCTGCAGGGCCACGACGCATGTTGTACCACAAAACTTTGCGCCTTTTTGTGAGCGAAGAGGTAAGAATGGATTGGTTTTAAAGACACATTCAGTTGCATTGGTAGCATCACTAACCCTTTTTACAGAGAGAGTGAGTCTTCATATTTAGTGCATTGCGTAGCTATGTAATAATGACCAAGTGAGGGGTGAGATTTTAATTTGATTTTTAGAGATCCAACAGACCAGCTAATAATAATGGCCACTCCCCATATGATTATGTATTCTTTGATGACATGTTCTATTGTTGCCAGAGTCTTAGCATTCTGTCTCCCAGTGTTTAGAAAATTTGGTTTGTACTTTTATTTCTAATGTGGAAAAGAGAAAAAGAAACTGGTGGGGACTAAATTTCATCCATGAGGAGCTTTTTGCCTCTGGAGCCAATTGTGGTGACATGGTAATGATCTCAAGATCGTCAGTATCATGTGGATTTAAGGATGGAAGGTTATTTTATAAACAAATTGCATGGGAGTAATTTGTGACGAAGTTGACTAGAGAGTTCTGTGGCATGTTGTGAGAGAACAAGGCTTAAAATTTGTTAAACTGTAATATTATTGCAAACACAAGATGCGTAGTCATTATATCTATGTAAAGATTAGCTTCAGCACTTTTTTCTTGCTGCAGTCTTTACTTTCTAGAGCTGATGCCAAAGTAAAGGAGTTGCGACATTCAATTGATCTTCTAAAGGCTGAAGGTGAAAAATTAGAGGTAACCTCTCTCTCTCTCTCTCTCTCTTGATTGACAACATGTGATCTGTTGAGCATTGATTATTTTAGTTCTCTATTGCTTGATTGTGACTTGTGAAAAGCAATACTTTTATTGACGATAAATGTTATTGGAAAACGTTTTGGCAAACTCTTGTGCAATGGACATATTTTGAAGAATTTTGGGCTTCCTACTGGTTTGCAAAGTATGATTACTAGTAGAGTAAATCAACAAGAAGAATAATTTTTTGCCAAAAATAAATAGGATGTGTTGCTTTTCTTCAGTATGAAATTTTTGCAAATGTAAGGTTGTCATTGGCGTCAGAGCCCTTGAGATAATTTGAATTTTTCATGTGCTCTTTGAATCTACCCTCACCAAAAGTTTGACAAAGGGCAATTATAAGTGCCTACCAAACTGTCAACTTGAGTAGTTACCTAAACTTTACAAGAGGTCTGCCACTGGCTCCCACAGAACCCTATGCACACTAAACTGGAAAACCAGAGGGTTGAAAGGTTTGATGACACCTGAAAAATTGCAACAATAAATGAGAAATATTTTTCTACGAGCATCACATAGAGCTTTGAGGTAGATATCTGATCATTCTGATGCCACCTGACAATGAATGAGGAAGATTTTCCTTTAAGCAACAAATACAACTCGGGGGCAGCCTAGTGAATTAGTGGGCAAGAGAAACTTGTGTTGTAACAAATTGGAAGCATGGTATTATTCTTCTATTAACATGAGCAGAAATTTGACTAAATGATCAAAATATCACTTGAACTTTAGGGAAAAATTGTTTCAGAAGGCATGGATGCATCCTGGTTGATACATTGAGATATGTGCATTAATGAAGGAAGTAAACTAAAATTTTAAAAGAATAATTGTTTGCATAATGGAGTGCCCTGTTCAATATTGTTCTTTTTTGCGCGTTATGTTTAATCTAGCAAGCATTCCTAGGAATTGAACTCATGGTATAGTTATTGTTTGCAGAAGAGGGCATCACATGCTGAAGAGGAACTGATAAGGGGAAGGACAAAACTCAGGTTTGCATTTGTAAAAGAGGAGCAGTTTATAATTCACTCCATTTTCCATTGCACTTACTTTTCATGTCCAAATTCTATTGGCAGACATACAGGGAAACAAATTGAAAGTGTCATTCGCTCAGCTTATAAGATTGAAAGACAAGCAGCGGGTATGCAGATACTTTTAACCCTAAAGTTTGTTGACATCAAGCAGTTAAAAGTGGAGGCAAATGAAACATTTTGCTTCTGTTGCTTATACGTTGTTCTTCATTGTATCAGGTCTAAAAGATATCCTTGGAGAACTTCCTAGAAGAGAAGCATCCATGTTCCGGTCACAAGTGAGTTCTCAGATCATAGCGTTGCACTTAATTATTTCTTCCTTTTCCGGATCAAAAAGATATAAGCACTTAAATTCATAAAGACAAAAACCATAAAAAATTACCTTTGAAAACTGGCTTTACAAATATTTCCTTGTTATGGATTTCATATACACTTTTGCGTGTAAATGCTCATCTTGGGTTGTCTCCTTTGCAGGTCTCCAAACTAGCTACCGAGGCAAAGCAAGAAAGGAATGCTTTGACAAAGGAAGTCACAAAAATTAGCAATTATGGGATCTCAGTCTGAGAATTCTTTCACAGCCATTCCCTCAGTTACAGTGACTTCATACAATTGTCAATAATTGAATTTATTGGAGTTCTTATAACATTTTGTTCATGAGTCTTTTTGTAGAAGGCAATATTGCTTAAGAATACAAATGTCTCGTTTTTTCGTTCTTCTCCTTCGGCAGGAGATAGGCCATACAGAAAAAAGTTTGAGTTTTGTGATTAGTTCAACTACAGGCTGATAATTAGCAACAAAACGTCCCCAACTTGCTGGGAATTCTCCATTAAATCTCTCTTTGTCAAATTGCTAATCTGTTTCGGCAAGTACAATTGTCGCAACCTGACCAATATTGTGGGTAGTTATAGATCTAGTTGTTAATAGTATTTAGCAAAAAACCAAAAGATTCTCGAATATCTCTCTTCTAATATCGTTTGATTAAAAAATATTTATTATCTTATATCTTTTCTGAATTTCCAAGAGAAATTCCAGCAAAAGGCTAGGCCTATACATTAGGTTCTCAATTTCTTTTTAAACCAAATTGGTGCTGCATCAAATCAGAGTGATAGTGGAGAGAGAGAGCTTTCACTGACAGTCGGTGGTGGGAACGTACGAACACCTTTGTCAAGCCATCCTCAATGGTAGGGCCCGAAAAGAGGGTGATAGGGAGGCTCTGTATTTAGGGATCCATTTATGTGCTATTTTTAATTTCTGTTAACTTATTAAATTTTAATGTATGTTTATGTTATGTTAGGTTTTTTTTTTTTGAATATTTCAACCCAAAAAAAAAAAAAAATTAAAAAAGAATGAATATTTATTTTTTATTTATTAAAAAAAAAAAAAAAAAAAAAAAAAAAAAAAAAAAAAAAAAATAAAAAAATAAAAAAATAAAAAAAAAATAAATCAAATAATAAAAACAAATGTATTTATAAAAAAACCCAAGTACTATTTAAACATAGAAATAAACACCCAAAATCAACCCCAAAGTCAAACTTTTTGAGTATGTTTATAAATGGGTTTTGAGTATGTGTAATGATGAGTTTTGGGTGTGTTTATATGTTTAAATAGTGCTTGGGTTTTTTTATAATTTCAATTCCCATTTTGGGTGTTTTAGTGAAACTCCCATAAAAAAAATTAGCTATTTATTTCTATTAAAAAAGAAAAGAAAGAAGACTTTCATTTGAAGAAGAAAAAGAAATGGTAGAAAAAAAGGACAGTACAAAAATCAAGTGTTTTTCATGTGCTAGCGGGCCCCGCGCATGTGGTTTGGTAGGAGAGTATTTCGCAGTTGCACGTCTTGTGCGATTGAGGGGAGAAAAAAGTGCTTCATGTGGGGAGCATTCGGGCTCAAGGGGTTGCATCTGCGTCCACGCATTTGAGGAACTCTGGCGGGTCTTTAGCATTGGTCATCTTCTGTCATGGGCTATATCCCAAATATAATCCTAAATTAATAAAAAACTCATCTCCAGCCGTGGGCTAAATAAAATTTTGGTCAAATTTGGAGGGCCACATTTGGCCCTTGAGCCCTCCAACCGGGCCAAATGTAGCCAAGCCGCCAAATTCATTGTGGACCCCACCATATGCTTTTCAACCACCAAATATTATATTTTAATTCCCACTTGCCTTTTAAAAGCTGAATATATATAGAGTTTTAAATAATAAATGGAGCACTAGTTTGCCATGTATCACAACGAACCTGCAGCTTTTTGAATGTTTCTTCAGGGCACTGATCGTTGGAATCTATACCTTACATACTCCCTTTTTTTTTAAAAAAAAAATAAAAAATAAAAAAAATCATAAATGTGGTCAGCTTTCCTTTCCTTTTTTATTTTATTTTATTTATGTCTTCACATTTTTGAATGTTTTGTTGTTTAAAAAAATTATAACAAATTCTAGGTCATGACCGTTGGAGGTCAGACCCTTGAACCCTTCCAATATTTTAATTTTTTTAATTGCCTTTGATGGCTTTATTATTATTTCTTTTAAAAATTTAAAAACCTAAAATTTGTGCATAAATACCTCTCCCCTCCCACTCATTTCATTCCACATGTCTTACAAATTCTATCACTTTCTCTACTTATTCACAACTTTCCACACTCGTTCTTGTTGTCAAATATTTTCCACACTCATTTCCTACAAATTTATTTTCTTTACACTCTTTCTTGTTGTCAAATACGTGTCATATATGGAATATTATCTCTAAATAGTAGTTTAATTAAATTAAACAATATATAGTTGTTGAATGTATGAGTATTGTAACATAGTTTTTGTCAAAATAATAAAATATGAATGACCCAAAAATATAGCCCTGCATGACTGGAGATGGAAAAATTTAGCTCTGCACTATTCTTTAAAAAATTAATATTTTTGGGGGCTAAATTTTTAGCCATGTACTACATTTAGCCCTATGACTAGAGATGGCCTTAGAGCCCCAAATCTCTCCCATTGGGATGTCTTTTTGACATTTTTTTTTAGCATTTTGGACCTTTTTCACATTAAGCTACATATATGAGGGTTCTATGATGGTTGAGCCCCAAATAGAGCCCCCATTGAGGATGGCCTCATGACTCAATGATGCCATTGCCTTCACCCAAACCCATCAACGCCATCTTTTGTCAAAAGCAAGGAGTTTGGATTCCATTGAAAATAAACGAGACCACTAAAACTACATCAAAGCATCACACTTTTAACTCAAGTATTGTTCAGTATAGGAACAAAACTCCAAATCATGAACTTGGCTCACAAAAATGGATCAAACCAAGGTAACTTATGTTCCTTCAAGACACCGTTCTTCTTTGTCCTCAATGAGGTCATGCAACAAAAGTTGAATCGGTAAAAAGTTTATGTAAAATTTAAATTAAACAAGGTCCCCAATTTCAATTTGAATAAAATTAGTTGTACAATCTCAACTCAATATTAGCACACGTTATACCCTCTTTTTAACAGAGGTCGAATGTACATTTGTTAGACCGACTACCTATATCCCACTTGTTTAGATATATGAGTTCTGCTTCAATTAGGGAAACGATACAACTGAGATGAGACAAATAACAATATTCTTTTAATGTTAAGTTGCAAGACTTTTATTTTTTTGATGTGATTGTCACACCGACATGTGGTCTCCCACTCAAAAGTTTTCCTTTAATTTAACAGCCACCACGAATTATTGCGTTTAGGATACGTGGACATCTCTTTCTCTTGCTTGCTGAGAGTAAAAAGGATGTGCATTGGTATCTATGCCATTTGCTTTTAAGTTGATGGAGTAGACTATCTTTATTTTCTTGACCAGGAAAGGACATTCATGAGCAAATTGTTTTGAAACGCGGATTAACATCACCTGATCGTGATATAATCAGCTGAGAAACCTGCAAGGAAAAAATACCAGCCAGATTTACTGAGCTGCTTGTTCATCAATGGCACTTCTTAGAGCTCAAGAAGACTCCTCTGCAGATACTTTTGGTTGCCGTTATCATGTGTTCTTGAGTTTCAGAGGTGAAGACACTCGCAAAACTTTTACTGACCACATCTATACAGCCTTTGTCGACGCAGGGCTTCAAACTTTCCGAGACGACGATGAACTTGAGAGAGGGGAAGATATCAAGCCAGAGCTGGAGAAAGCAATCCAACACTCACGAAGTTCTGTCATTGTGTTTTCGAAAGACTACGCGTCTTCCAAATGGTGCCTTGACGAGCTTGTGATGATCCTGCAACGCAAGAGGACCTCTGATCATGTAGTTTTACCAGTCTTCTACGACATCGATCCATCTGAGGTGAGGAAGCAGACTGGAAGCTTTGCAAAAGCATTTGCTGGACACCAAAAAAATGGATCTTTGAACAAGGACAAGGTGAAGGGATGGAGGGCAGCACTTGCAGAAGTTGCAGATCTTGCTGGCATGGTCTTACAAAATGAATGTGATGGGTAAATTTCATTAATTTATAACTGGTCCTTTTAAAGCTTTCTTTCACGATTTATATAATATTAACATATCAGACTTTATAATTTGATTTCCCCATTTATTTTCATTTGGATTGCAATTTTCTAGGCATGAGGCAAAGTTTATCAAGAAAATTGTAAAAGTGATTGAAGGCAAGCTAAGCCGCACACCATTGAGTGTTGCCCCTTACCTAATTGGGATCGATTCTCGAGTCAAAGAGATTAATTTATGGTTACAAGATGGATCATCTGATGTTGGGATATTTGTGATTTATGGGATTGGTGGAATAGGGAAGACAACCATTGCACAAGTTGTTTATAATTCAAATTTTTCAAGATTTGAAGGAAGAAGTTTCCTTGAAAATATCAGGGAGATTTCAGAAGGTCCCAATGGTCTGGTTCAAATGCAAGTACAACTTCTCTCTGATATTTTGGGTGGAAGAACAGTGAAGATACGTAGTGTTAGTGAGGGAATAATTAAGATTAAGGATGTTATAAGCTGTAAAAAAGTTCTTCTTGTTCTTGATGATGTGGATCATACGAACCAATTAGATGCAGTACTTCGAATGCGAAAATGGTTTTATCCAGGAAGTAAAATTATTATAACAACTAGGTGTGTGGCGTTGTTGAAGGCTCATCAAGATGTTAAGGTGCATAATGTTGAAACCTTAAATCATGTTGAATCATTGGAGCTCTTTAGTTGCCACGCTTTCGGACAGAACTATCCAGTTGAAGGTTATGTGAAACTTTCGGAAAAGGTAGTAAACCACAGCGGAGGACTTCCATTAGCTCTTAAAATTTTGGGTTCTTCACTATCAGGCCAGAGTATAGATGTATGGGAAAGTGCATTAAAGAAATTGGAAGTTATTCCAAACGGTGACATTGTGAATAAGCTCAGAATAAGCTATGACTCTTTACAAGACGACCATGACCAACAATTATTCCTCCATATTGCATGTTTCTTCATTGGAAATGAGAAAGATGTCACAGTGAAAATACTAGATGGATGTGATTTCTTTACAATTGTTGGCATTCAAAATCTCATCGATCGGTGTTTGTTAACAATTGATGAGCATAATAAGGTGAAGATGCATCAAATGATTCGTGACATGGGAAGAGAAATTGTTCGCCTAGAATCAAAAGAGCTGGAGAAACGAAGTAGATTATGGCATCATAAGGATTCTCTCAGTGTATTGAGAGAAAAGAATGTAAGAAACATGCTCATTATGTATGCCGCACGCATAATCTTTTTTCTGTTTTTGTGCATTCATGTTGGTTACTAATCCAAATGCTTTGTTTTCTATTTTCTTTGTACTAGGGTTCAAAGAAAGTTGAAGGTCTTGCCCTTAATCTGCACCCTGTAGACACTCCTTTGAGAAAATCAAATATGGTAGGCTTCGAAACTAATGCATTTAGAAGGATGGTTAAACTAAAACTACTCCTGTTTAGTTTTGTACAGCTCAATGGATGTTATGAAGAATTTCCTAAAGGACTGAGATGGTTGTATTGGCTTAAATTCCCTTTAGACTCTATACCCAGTGACTTTCTTTTGGAGAGCTTGGTTGTTCTTGAAATGCCCTATAGTAGCTTAAGACAAATCTGGAAGGGAACAAAGGTATGCATGCTACTCCACACTTTTCATTTTAGTTATTCTTAGGGATTAACTGGTAGACAAATCTACAAGAATAAACTCCTGCCTTCTTGAATTTTTCTTTTCACAGCATCTTCCATCGTTAAAGATCCTTGATCTCAGCAATTCCCATGAGCTCACTGAAACCGGAGACTTCTCATTGGTCCCCAATCTAGAGAGATTGATTCTTGAAGATTGTGCAAGCTTGGTTGACGTCCATGAATCCATTGGAAACCTAGAGAAACTTGTTTACTTGAATATGAAAAATTGCAAAAATATTAGTAAGCTTCCAAATAGCAGTTCAATGCTAAAATCACTTGAAACACTTATTATATCTGGTTGCTCAAGCCTTAATGAGTTTCCTGTGGATATGGGGAAGATGGAATCTCTTAAAGTGTTTCTAGCCGATGAAGTTCCAATAAGTCGATTACACACTACCACTTTACCCTGCACTTTAGTTGTTCTAAGTCTTACATACTGCAATCTTTCTGATGATTCTTTTCCAAGAGATTTTGGTAGCTTACCCTCATTGCAGAGATTGGATCTAAGCAGCAATCCACTTTGTAGGCTACCAGATTGCGTCAGAGGCCTTACAGGGCTCGATCACCTTGCATTTTCCCAATGTACAAAGCTCAAATCGCTTGAGGGGCTACCAAGAGTAAAAGAATTGGTTACACTCTATTCTGAGTCATTGGAGAAAATAACATTTCAATCAATTTCATGCCTACCAAAGAGTATCTTGTATGGGTACAACTCCAAACTTGCTGAGATTGAGTACTGGTACAAGTTAGAGCCAATAGAAACAGTGGATGCAGAAATGATAAAACTTTTGGGCTTGTGTGACTTGGAATCAATGAAAGCCATTAGGATGTGCACCCCAGATATGCTTAATTCGGATGGCACGATGCATCCCATCGAGGTAATTCTTCGCTCTCTCTCTCTTATTGGGCAGTGCAATGCAACCGGACGTTTTATTATTTTCTGAAAATTATATTGCATGCTCAAAACTTTGGAGTTTAGACTATGTAAGTTGAGAAAGAAAAGTTGGGAAAAAAACAGAGAGTAATGTGAAACAGCATTTTACTACGCCCTATGCAAGCAAGAGGGTGACTAATTACTCTTGCTATTTGGTATAGGGACTGTATGAACTTGGTAAATTCAGCACATTTCTTCCTGGAAACGAGGTTCCAGGCCAGTTCAGCCATAGAAGTAAAGGGTCCACAGTATCTTTTACTGTGCCTTCACTTCCAAATCTCAAGATCCGAGGCTTGAACATCTTCTCTATTTATGCAAATTCCAACACTTATTATTTTTCTACTATACCTCATCCAGTAATTACCAAAGTCAGTAACAAGAGCAAGGGTCTGAAATGGATCTATGCCCCAGCATGCTATGGCATTCCAGATAACGAAAACGACGTGATATGGTTAAGTCACTGGAAGTTAGGGAACCGACTGGAAAGCGGGGATGAAGTGACAGTTTCAGTATTTATGCAACCTGGGCTCCAAGTGAAAGAGTGCGGCATCCAACTTGTGCATGAGCAAGACTGCGAGATAAGTAGTGCCCAAAACGACCACGAAGAGCCTTGTTATCCATCTGACATTGGTGGGAATTTGCCAGAGTTTATTCCAGGAACATACTTCATGTGGGGTGGACCCCTAAATAGAGATGATGGCAGAGCTTATGTTTTTGGCCATAAAAGGGAAGATTGGTTCGAAGAAATCTTTGGAGACTCTAATGAAGAAACAGGTATGTTTTTTTGATATATCACTGATAAATTAGCACAAGAAGTTAACTGCAATTCGTACTCTCAGTTTGTCATACTGCACTTTTCCTGCTAGTGTTTTAAAATATAGAGTGGGAATAGCTGCTGCTTTATTATCACTATTTTGATGTTGAAACACATGCCAAGCCATCCACATTCATTTCAAAGAATTTAGTTCCTTATGATATTTTATGTTTACTTTCTGGTATTTATGTGTTTCGTAGACAAAGAAGAAAGGCAGCCACAGGGTGACGATGAGCCGCTTGCACTTTCAGCATCAGCAGAAACATTAATAGAAACAGAAAGGGCAAACAACGACTGTGGTAGCAGAGGCTGCAAGATTATTGTTATTATTGGTGCTTTCTTCTTTCTCTTCCTTTCTCTTGTACTCTCTCGCTCTTTTCTCTCTCACTAAAAAAGAAAAAGGAGAGGCGACAATGTAATGTATTTCAAATGCTGCCCCATATGTAATCAAAATGGAAAAGCTTCAATTAAAATTTTACCATTGTGAAAGAAAGTCAGAAACCAACTTGCATCAATTGACAAAAAAGATTAAAAGAGTACAGAAAATGCAAATGCAAACATAAAATTTATGCAATACAAAAACTAGATAGGCCCAAGAAAAGGACGAAAGGGCAAGTACAAGTTAGTATTTATGTCAACTTAGGTTCGGACGGGATCTTTCATTGAAAACCACTGGATTTTGTTAGGAGAATGAGAACTCATCAAAATTACGTAATCAAGAACACAAGCAAGAAAATAAAAGAGGACACCAAGAATTTAATGTGATTCGGCAATATGCCTACATCCACGGGGAGTAGTATATATAATTATATATATGTCATATATACAAAACCAATTCAATGAAATTACAATTGAAGAAGCCAAACACTCCATCATGCACTGACCAAGCAATTTGAGTGTACAAGAGCCACCAATACTATCAGAGAATGTAGTGGTTTCAGAAATTCGAAACCATGAACCGGACTGTTTTGTCTTTTGGTTTTTTTTTTTTTTGGGGGGCGGGCGGAAGCAATCATCTTGGGAGTATATATTGAAATCATTTGGTGTCTGGTAAAGGAATCATACTTTTATCTCTAATTTGTCTAAAGCAATTGAAAGGTTGAAAATGGTTTTTAGTGTGTCCTCAAGGGGGCAGTTTTCTAATTTGTCAAATTCTGATGCATCGGAATGATCCTCACCAAGGCCATCTTTGTCAAAAGACAGAATCTGGCCAACTTGGAACTTCTATTGAAAACAAAAGACATTAAAAACTGCCACTTTCTTCGAAGATATATATTATTATTCCAATTTTGACAACTCATACAGTGCTTCTTGTCAACCAAGGTTTATATTTGGATCACAAAATTTGGATTATTGAACTCATTGATGATTTTCTATATATTTATGTCCTTCTCCGAATCCTTAAACATTATTATTTCAATTTGAAGTCATGGAATTTTGCATGTTGCCTCATGAGCTGAGCACTCACACCAGCTGCCATGGCCTTTGTTGGGGAAACACCGGTTTCCCCCGTCACAGCATATAACCCAATGGAAGGAATAAACAAACAAACCAACAAGTCCAAGATGACAATGAGTAAATACATAAGAGAACACACTAAGAATTTATGAGGTTCAGCAAAACCTGCCTACATCCCCGGATAGTATTGTCAGTTTTTCCCTATGAGAATATTAACTGTACAAAAAACATATTGAGTTAAATCAACATAACTCAATATAACAGTCGAGAGTTTTATACCCCAAAACCGAGTCCCTTGTACACCCACTCAAAGTATTTCCCAAAACTCACTGTCATTCCCCAAGAGATATATCCTCCCTTGAACCTTTGATGAACCCAGCTAACTCCAGCTGAAACATCCTCCAGGAGTTCATGGGACTGCTTGCTTGCATCTCACAAGCAACCCACTCTCCCTCTCTGCCGTGCTCTCTCTTGAACACCATGCTTTCTCACCACAACTCTCTTGTATGTAAACAACACACACACCACATGAGTTGTTGCTCCCCACTTGATACCCAAGTGAACCCAAGAGAAACCCCTCTTGATTTTGCTGGAGTTCGCGGGACTGCTTGCTTGCATCTCACAAGTAATCCACTCCCACTTACATTGCCGTAAGCCTCAACTCTCAATTTGGTTTGGACCCACAAGCACACACCGCTTGCATGCTCCACACCTGGCTCTTTGGTGCGACACAGGCACACACCCACTGCTGTATTAAGAGGAATGCTAGTAACTTTCTCTTTTAAACTTTCTCCATTTTCTTCATTACATGTATCACTTTCCTTACACTAAAAACAATGTCATTAATGCATCTCACAAACTAATTTTTGTTTTTTAAATCTTATCCTTATTAAATGTATTGATTTTTTTTTATAACTTTATTACCACCTTATTACAAAAATTAAATAAGAAAAACTATCATTTTTATTTTAAAAAGTTTTTTTTCTTCAAAGAGAATGGGTTTTTTTTTCCAAAAAAAAAAATGATGCCACTTCTATGATAACAAATTTATAGTCATTTGACGAAAAAAAAAGTTGTAGTTATTGTTTTTCAGGTATTTAAATGTTAAGATAAGCACCCAAAAAAAAAGCATAATGGTAAAAGATGAATATCAATAATACTAATATCCATTGAAAATAAAAAATAAGATTTTAAAATAGAAAGTGATAGAATATTTTATTAGCAACAGCAAATTCATAGTAATTTTCATATAGTTAATTAAAAAACATTTGTTTACAAAACTAGTTGTTATATATATATATATAATAATAAACTGGTTTATTAAGAACGTCAAAAAAGTAAAAAGGTGGTAAGAAAGAAGGTGGTGAAAACCTTTTTTTTCTTCTTCTAAACTAACGTTCTTTTTAATTTGATTTTTTAACAAGGTGGTAAGATAGTTTTTAAAAAATTACACTTGTAAAAAAGTCAATATATTAATAAGGGTAAATTTAAAAGGCAAAATTTAACTTGTGTGATGTATTAATGACATTGTTTGAAGTATAAAGAAGAGAAGAGAGAAAGTCTAAATAAGAAGATTGGAGAGAATGTTGCTTGCTACGCAATTGGCTCAATGTGAAAAGCAAACTTTACTCATACTCTACACCAATGTCGGTAGCCACAAGTGAAGACTAAAAAGTCTTCAATTTCATTCATTCATTTCATGCAACATGACTGCCTCCAAAAAAGCCAAACCAAAACCAAAACAGGACAGTTTGACATTGCTGTGCTGTGAAAATAATCGCTGTCAGATTTGCTGTGATAGAAATCAGCTGTGAGAGAAAGTAGTTTGGCGTCTGGTAAAATTTTTGTTAAAAGTGTTGTTGGTATTAATTTTACGCATAATCAGAAAATAATTGACGCATAATTATTAAACTCAGTGCCTCTTCGAAACTGATTTCTACATAATCAAAAAATAAAAGCACCTCATTAGCTGCTTTCCCTTATAGCTTTCTCTCACAGTAATTTTTAACAATCACAGTTTACCAAATGGATTGGGCTTCTCAAAATTTTTAAAAAATCACTTATCACTCCAAATAAGCAATGCCAAACTGACACTAAAACTTGCTGTCCCAGTTATTTACTACATGGGTCCCACATGAGATTTTTACCGATCTCAACAGCCTTTGCATCTTTGCCTTGACTTTTGCTTGACTGAAACAAAGAAAGGGGCGTGCATCTATATACTACTTGCATTTAATTGTTCTTAATCGATGGGAAGATAATATCTTTATTTCCTCCACCTTATCATCTTTGAAGTGTAGGAACCCAAAAGCCTTAATTTTCACTCTCATTTGAGAAACCAGAAAGTAGTGAATGCATTTTTTGAGATTTTCCCAGGCCTGAGGGAAGCTTGTTTTCATCAATGGCCCTTGTTAGAGCTCAAGATGCCTCCTCTTCCGAGAATTTTCCTTGTCGTTACGACGTGTTCTTGAGTTTCAGAGGTGAAGACACTCGCAAAACTTTTACCGACCACCTCTATACTGCCTTCGTCAACTCAGGGATTCAAACTTTCCGGGACGACGATGAACTAGAGAGAGGAGAAAATATCAAGCCAGGACTGCAGAAAGCAATCCAAGAATCGCGAAGTTCTGTCATTGTGTTTTCGAAAGACTACGCGTCATCCAAATGGTGCCTTGACGAGCTTGTGTTGATCCTTGAACGCAAGAGGATCTCAGGCCATGTAGTTTTACCAGTCTTCTATGACGTTGATCCATCTGAGGTGAGGAAGCAGACAGGAAGTTTAGAAAAAGCATTTGCTGGACACCAAAAAAATCGATCTTTGAACAAGGACAAGGTAAATGTATGGAAGGCAGCACTTACAGAAGCTGCTAATCTAGGAGGCATGGTCTTACAAAACGAAGCTGATGGGTAAATTCCATTACCACTCTTGATTAACTATAGGATCTATTTCTAGTTATAATGTCAACGTTAATATTATTGAATTCATGGCATATGGCAGGTTGATTTTATTTATTTCCACTTTCATTGCAAATTTTTTAGGCATGAGTCAAAGTTTATCAACAAAATTGTTAAAGTGATTGAAGGCAAGCTAAGACGCAACCCCTTAAGTGTTGCTCCTTACCTGATTGGAATGGATCATCGAGTAAAAGAAATTAATTTATGGTTGCAGGATGGATCATCCGATGTTGGAATATTGGTGGTTTATGGGATTGGCGGAATAGGGTAGACCACCATCGCACAAGTTGTTTATAATTCAAACTTTTAAAAGATTTAAAGGAAGCAGTTTCCTTGAAAACATCAGAGAAATTTCTGAAGGGCGCAACGGCTTGGTTCAAATGCAAATACAACTTCTCTCTGATATTTTGAATGGGAGAGAAGTGACAGTACGAAGTGTCAGTGAGGGAATACGTAAGACTAAAGATGTCATAAGTTGTAAGAAGGTTCTTCTTGTTCTCGACGATGTAGATCATTTGAGCCAATTTGATGCAATACTTAGAATGCGAGATTGTTTTTATCCTGGGAGTAAAATCATTATAACAACTAGATGTGCAGGGTTGTTCAAGGCTGAGGTTGTTAAGGTGCATAACGTTGAAACTTTTAATCATGATGAATCATTGGAGCTCTTTAGTTGGCATGCTTTTGGACAGGACCATCCCATTGAAGGTCACACGAAACTTTCAGAAAAGGTTGTAAGCCAGAGCGGAGGACTTCCATTAGCTCTTAAAACTTTGGGTTCTTCACTGTCAGGGCAAAGTAGAGCTGTATGGGAAAGTGCATTAAAGAAATTGGAAGTTATTCCAAATGGTGACATCATGAATAAGCTCAAAATAAGCTATGACTCTTTACAAGATAACCATGACCAGGACTTATTTCTCCATGTTGCATGTTTCTTCATTGGAAAGGACAAGGATGTCACTGTGAAAATACTGGATGGATGTGATTTCTATACGACTGTCGGCATTCAAAGTCTCATTGATATATGTCTGGTAACTATAGATGGAGATAATAAGTTGAGGATGCATCAAATGATTCGTGATATGGGAAGAGGAATTGTTCGCCTTGAATCAAAGGAGCCTGAAAAACGCAGCAGATTATGGTATCGTAAGGATTCTCTCAATGTATTGAGAGAAAAGAATGTAAGCAACATGCTCCTTTACGTACATATTTGCATGCTTGTTCTTTTCTAGAGTGAATTGTTAGTTCATATCTAAATGTTTTTTTTTAAATAGGGTTCAAAAAAAATTAGTGGTCTTGCCCTGCATATGTACCGTGTAGAAACTCCTTCAGGAAATTCAAAAAAGGTAGTCTTGGAAACCAATTCATTTACAAGGATGGTGAAACTGAGATTACGCCAGCTGAGTTATGTACAACTCAGTGGTGGTTATGAAGAATTTCCTAAAGGATTGAGATGGTTGTATTGGCTTGAGTTCCCTTTAGACTCTATACCCTCTGATTTTCTTTTGGAGAGCCTGGTTGTTCTTGAAATGCACGACGGTAGCTTAAGAAAAATATGGAAGGGAACAAAGGTATACATGCTACTCCACACTTTTCTTTTTGTGTTTTTAGGGATTTTGATGATTGTTATACTTTTAGATGTGTATAAATTCACTCCCTGCCTTCTTGCATTGTTTTCAGTTTCTTCCATCATTAAAGATTCTTGATCTCAGTGGTTCCTATATCCTCACTGAAACTGGTGACTTCTCGTTGGTCCCCAATCTTGAGAGGTTGATTCTTGAAGATTGTGTAAGCTTGGTTGATGTCCATGAGTCCATTGGAAACCTAGAGAAACTTGTGCACCTGAATATGAAAAATTGCAAAAATATTAGGAAGCTTCCAAAGAGAATTTCTATGCTAAAATCACTCGAAACTCTCATTTTATCTGGTTGCTCTAGTCTTAATGAGTTCCCAATGCAGATGGGGGAAATGGAATCTCTAAAAGTGTTTAAAGCAGATGAAATTCCAATAGGTCAACTACCCACTTTACCCTACACTTTAGTTGTTTTAAGTCTTGTAAACTGCAATCTTTCTTATGATTCTTTTCCACGAGAATTCGGTAACATACCATCATTGCAGAAATTGGATTTAAGTCATAATCCGATTTGTAGCTTACCAGATTTCATCAGAGGCCATACAGGGCTCGGTCAACTTGCATTTGGCCAGTGTACGAGGCTCAAATCGCTTGTAGGGCTACCAAGAGTAAACATGTTGGTCGCGATCCATTGTGACTCACTGGAAAAAGTAACATTCCAATCCATTTCATGCATACCAGGGAGATTCATTAATGGTTTCACCTCAAAACTGGTTGAGATTGAATATTGGTACAAGTTAGAACCCATTGGAAGAGTTGATGCAAAAATGAGAAACCTTTTGGGCTTGTGCAACTTGGAATCTATGGAAGCCATTAGCATTAGGATGTACACTCCAGATTGGCTCTCTTCAGAAGCTGGGAAAATCCGTCCCATCGAGGTGCTTCTCTCTCTCTCACTCTCTCAACACAAAAAATATGCAAGACTTGACTAATTACTTTTATTATTTGGCATAGGGACTGCATGAATCTGGTATATTCAGCACATTTCTTCCTGGACATAAGGTTCCAGGACAGTTCAGTGACAGAAGTGAAGGATCCTTAGTATCTTTTACTGTGCCTCCTTTACTTCCTAATCTTCGGATTCGAGGCTTGAACATCTTCACTGTCTACACAGAGTATTTCAACGGCTATTCCTCCTCTAGCATACCTAATCCACTACTTATCAGAGTCTGTAATAAGACAAAGGGTCTGAAGTGGATCTATGCACCATCATGCCATGGTGTTCCTGACGATGAAAACCAAGTGATATGGTTAAGTCATTGGAAGTTGGGAAGTGGATTGGAAGGCGGCGATGAAGTGAGTGTTTCAGTGTTTACGAAACCTTCATTTCGGGTGAAAGAATGTGGCATCCAGCTTGTGCATGAGCAAGAAGATGAGATGAGTACCCAACACAACACTATAGTTCCTAGTTATTTATCTGCCATTGGTCGGGATTTGTCAGAATTTATTCCAGGAACATACTACCTAGGGGGTGAACCTTTTCTCAGACTAACTAGAGAAGATGTTTTGGGTTGGAAAAAGGAAGTTTGGTTCAATGACATCTCTGGAGACTCTGATGAAGAAACAGGTATGGTGTTTAGCCAATCAATGAGTTCATATGGGCGCGATGCTATTCATACTACCAGTTTGTCATCCTGCACTCTTTTTGTACGTAATGCCTTTAAACAAAACGATAAAATACTAATTTTAGAGTGTAAGATGATAATGTGGGAGTGGGAATATGTAGCAGCTGCCTTTACTTTGTTGATAGTTAGACACTCCATGAAATGAAACACATGCAAATTCATCCTCATTCACTTTAAAGAATTTAATTCCTCTGATGTTCTATGTATGGTGTCCGTATGTTTTGTTTTCTAGACAAAGAAGAAATACAGCAGGGTGACGAGCCGCTTGCGCTGGTAGCAGCAGCCGAAACATTAGTAGAAGCAGAGAGGGCAAGCAGAGGCAACAAGATTCTCATTATGACTGCAGTCTTCTTTCTCTTCCTTTCTCTAATCTCTCTTCCTTCTCTCCCTTTCCTGTCAAAGTACTTTATCTGAATAGGCGATCAATCTTGGTGGGGGGTTTATTTGTTTGTATGTTTCTGTTAATTATCTGCTGATAAATTGGCTTATAAGAGTTTATCTGCCTTCAACATTCCCTTCTTGTCATACATTTCAATGAACAACCCAACTCAGTTTTGAAAACCACTCAATTTCAAGACAGAAAGCAGCTTGCAACAACCCCATATCTCATGCAGGACAAAAATCAGACAGAGAAGAACTTATAAGCCCTTACAAGTTACAACCAGAAAAGAAAAGAGGAAAAAGCCCTTGGAACCAGGAAGTTCAGCTAGTCTCCCCTGTAAAGAGATGAAGATATCTCTGATGTTGTTAGCAAAATAAACTCTTTAAAGTTTGCTGCTTAGTGCTGTAACTAGTATGACCACAAATTTCCCAGATTTCTACCTGTTCTGTTCTGCTTACTAATTTCTGCAATGTATGGAGCCTTGTTCTCCAAGAAATCTATGCCTTGGCATAAATTGGTAGGCCATCTGTGCTGGGCTGGGCTTTTGCTATCCGACCCCAAAGACTGATTTATGACATAGGATGTACACCCCAGATATGCTCTGTTCGAATGGCAGGATGCATCCCATTGAGGTAATCTCTCTCTCTCTCTCTCTCTCTCTCTCTCCCCCAAAACTTATACCGCATGCTCAAAATATTGGATTTTCAACTATTGCTCATCAGTAAATGCAGCGATGTTGTGTGTAATATCATGTGCTATGTAAGTTGAGAAAGAGAAGTTTGGTTATTAATCAACAATTTTACTAATTGCTATTCGGTATAGGGACTGTATGAAGATGGTATATTTAGCACATTTCTTCCTGGAAACGAGGTTCCAGGCCAGTTCCATAGAAGTAAGGGGTCCTCAGTGTCTTTTACTGTGCCTTTACTTCCAACTCTCAAGATCAGAGGCTTGAACATCTTCTCTATTTATGCAAATTCCAACGTGTATTCTTTTTCTAGTATGCCTAATCCAGTAATTATCGAAGTCAGTAACATTAGCAAGGGTATGAACTGGGTCTACGCCCCAACATGCTATGGTCTGCCGGACGAAGAAAATGACGTGATGTGGTTAAGTCACTGGAAGTTTGGGAGTCTATTGGAAGGCGGGGATGAAATGAATGTTTCAGTAGTTACAAAACCTTCGTTTCAAGTGAAAGAATGTGGCATCCAGCTTGTGCATGAGCAAGTATGGGAGATTAGTAGCCAACACGGCGACACAGATCCTTGTTATCCATCTGACATTGGTGGGAATTTGCCAGAGTTTATTCCAGGAACATACTTCATGTGGGGTGGACCCCTAAATAAAGAATGTAGAAATGTTGTTTTTAGCTGGAAAAGAGAAGATTGGTTCAAAGAAATCTTTGGAGACTCTAATGAAGAAACAGGTATGTTGTTTAGATATCACTGATAAATTAGCACCGCAAGTTAATTGTGGTGGCAATGCTATTCGTACTCTCAGTTTGTCCTTCTGCACTTTTCCGCTAGTGTTTTGAAATACAGAGTGGGAACAGGCAGCCATCCGCATTCATTTCAAAGAATTTAGTTCCTTCTGATATTTTACATTGACTTTCTAGTATTTGTGTGTTTTGTAGACAAAGAAGAAAGGCAGCCACAGGGTGACGATGAGCCGCTTGCACTTGCGGCAGCAGCAGAAACATTAAAAGAAGCAGAGAGGACAAACAACAACTGTGGTAGCAGAGGCTGTACGATTATCGTTATTATCGGTGCTTTCTTCTTTCTCTTCCTTTCTCTAGTACTCTCGCGCTCCTTTCTCCCTCACCAAAAAAAGAAAAAGGACAGGCCACAATGTAATGTATTTCAAATGCTGCCCCACCCCCATAAGTAATCAAAATGGAAAAGCTTCAATTACAACTTTACCCGTGTGAAATCCATGGACCGGAAGCAGTCTTCTTCTTCTTTTTTGGGTCAAACCGGAAGCGGTCTTTGGGAGCATATTGGCCACTGTCTTCTCTCTCCCTATCTCTAGTAGTCTCTCGCTCTTCTCTTTCTCAGTGAAAGAAATGACAGGCCACAAGTCCTCCATGAAAATTGTTGTATTTGATGCAATCTTCTTTGCTTCAGATGGTCTATCTGCAGTCAAAGTACTTTATCTGAATGATTGTGATTGATTAGTCTTGATGTTTTTTTTTAATTTGGTGATTAATTGGCTGATAAGAGTAGTTAGTTCTGCCTTCATCATGCAGATTAATTGGCTGATAAGAGCGGTTACTTTTAATCTTTAAGGACACATTATCGATTGATTCTCTTAAACATTTATGCTTACGTTACTGCTTAACAATATTGGCAAATTTTTAATCGTAAACTTATGCAGATGTAAAAAGAACTCTTTATACAGTCTAACTTGTAAATTGGTAACAAAAAAGCTAAGCAAAATCCGTGGACACGAGCTCTGCAACTTGAGATAGGCCAGCCACTTAGAAAAATGTGAAAGGGCACATACAAATACGATCTGTCTTCCCTCTCTTTTTCTGCTGATCCACCGACTGCTCGTATGAAAATTTCCTGATGATGAATTTCATGTACTCTTTTCCTAGCTAGAAGTGCTAATCTTGGGCTGTCCCATCCAGAGTATCCTCAATTACTACTATGGACCAGTTGTGCGTTTGGAGTATCCTCACTTGCTATAGAGTTCAATATGACAACTGAGCGGAGCGGTGATGTTTTATGTTGCACGTGAATTTAAGTCACACATTCATGCGAGAATTATCCCGATCAATAGTTCATATTCACAATTTAACAACATAAGCATCTTAAGAAAGAAAATATTTCCCGACAATTGAGAGCGTAAATAGCAGGCAGCTGCATGTATAAATAAATTAGTATATGGTCCCTTTGGGGTGCATTTGATAACTTTTGACCTTCTAATTTGAAATCAAAGTATGCCCCTTACTTTGTGGTCAACAGCTGGTTAGCCCCTTTGCACGTAGTCCCAACTCCCCTACTTTATTAATCCAATGGGACTTGGAAGAGTACTAGGATAATATTGTCATTGACTAAAATATGATCAATTGGGTTCGGACCATAGAAAACTATTAAGTGGAGTAACTGGACTTAATCCAAAGAATATATTTCGTATCAAATTTTAGTGCATAAAAAATGATTGTGGAGAGAGCTTTAAGCTTTTCCTGACTCATGCCAAAAGAGAATCTCCCCAACTTTATTTTGCTTGACCAAGAAATTAAGGACATACATGAGCTGCTTGCTTCTATCAAATTATCATGATATCTCAGCTGAGAAACCAGCAACAAGTCATCTGATATTTCCCTAGATCATAGGCAAGTTTATTGCATCTTTGTTCATCCATGGCCCTTGTAAGATCTCAAGAAGCCTCCTCTTCTGATGTTAACTGTGGTTGTAGTTATCACGTGTTCTTGAGCTTCAGAGGTGAAGACACTCGCAGGACTTTTACTGACCACCTTTATACAGCCTTTGTCAATTCAGGGCTACAAACTTTCCGAGACGACGATGAACTTGAGAGAGGGGAAGGGATCAAGACAGAGCTGGAGAAAGCAATCCAACACTCACGAAGTTCTGTCATTGTGTTCTCGAAAAACTACGCGTCTTCCAAATGGTGCCTTGACGAACTAGTGAAGATCCTTGAACGCAAGAGGGCCTCTAATGAGCATGTAATTTTACCAGTCTTCTATGACATTGACCCATCTGAGGTGAGGAAACAGACAGGAAGCTTGGCAAAAGCATTTGCTAGACACCAACAGAACCGATCTTTGAACAAGGACAGGATAAGTGGATGGAGAGCAGCACTTACAGAAGTTGCAGATCTGGCAGGGATGGTCTTACAAAATGAAGCTGATGGGTAATCATTCTTCCCATTACAACTGGTAGATTTTATGTAGCCTCATTAATTAGATTTCTATCTGGCTATAGACTATAGTACTTCAACACATAACTTTCTCATGTTGTAATTATTGGAAAATACTTGGAAATGTTATTCTCCATTCACGACAATCACAATTTGACATGTATGCATAATTTTTCTTTTCACTTACATGGAAGAGCCAAACAGTATTCACAATTAGTTCCATATAACACAGACTTAATAGCTTAATTATTTGAAGTCATGGCATGCCATGTTTGATTCATAATATTCATTTTGATTGCAATTTTCTAGGCACGAGGCAAAGTTTATTAAGAAAATTGTTAAAGTGATTGAAGGCAAGCTAAGTCGCACTCCCTTAAGTGTTTCCCCTTACCTGATTGGAATCGATCATCGAGTGAAAGACATTAATTCATGGTTGCAAGATGGATCCTCCGATGTTGGCATATGTGTAATTTATGGGATTGGTGGAATAGGGAAGACAACCATTGCGCAAGTTGTTTACAATTCAAATTTTTCAAGATTTGAAGGAAGAAGTTTCCTTGAAAATATAAGGGAAATTTCTGAACAACCCAATGGATTGGTTCAAGTACAAACGCAACTTCTTTCTGATATTCTGAATGGGAGAAAAGTAAAAATACACAATATTAGTGAGGGGATCACTAAGATTAAAGATGTCATAAGCTGTAAAAAAGTACTTCTTATTCTCGATGATGTGGATCATATGCGCCAATTAGATGCCATACTTAGAATGAAAGATTGGTTTTGCGCAGGAAGTAAAATCATTATAACAACTAGGTCTGTGGGGTTGCTAAAGGCTCATCAAGATGTTAAGGTGCATAACATTGAAACTTTAAATCATGTTGAATCACTGGAGCTCTTTAGTTGGCATGCTTTCGGACAGGACCATCCGATTGGAGGTTACATGGAACTTTCAGAAAGCATAGTAAAGCACAGTGGAGGGCTTCCTTTAGCTCTTCAAACTTTGGGTTCTTCTCTATCAGGGCAAAGTATAGATGTATGGAGAAGTGCATTAAAGAAATTGGAAGTTATTCCAAATAGTGACATCATGAGTAAGCTCAGAATAAGCTACGACTCTTTACAAGATGACCATGACCAAAATCTGTTTCTCCATATCGCATGTTTCTTTATTGGAAATGACATGGATGTTGTTGTCACAATACTAGATGGATGTGATTTCTTTACAATTGTTGGCATGCAAAATCTCATCGATAGATGTTTGGTAACAATTGATGAGTATAAAAAGGTGAAGATGCATCAAATGATTCGTGACATGGGAAGAGAAATTGTTCGCCTCGAATCAAAGCAGCCTGAGAAGCGTAGTAGATTATGGCATCATAATGATTCTCTAAGTGTATTGAGAGAAAAGAACGTAAGAAACATGCTTCTTTTATGTACATGTGTGCATTTTTGTTGGTTCATATCTAAGTGTTTTTTTTTCCTGTTAGGGTTCGAAAAAAGTTGAAGGACTTGCCCTGAACATGCATATGTACCCTGTAGAAAATCGTTCAAGAAATTCGAATAAGGTGGTCTTGGAAACCATTGCATTTACAAGGATGGTGAAACTAAGATTACTACAGCTTAGTGCCGTACAACTCAATGGAGGTTATGAAGAATTTCCTAAAGGTTTGAGATGGTTGTATTGGCTTGAATTTCCTTTAGATTCTATACCCTGTGATTTTCTTTTGGAGAGCTTGGTTGTTCTTGAAATGCACTACAGTAGCTTAAGAAAAATCTGGAAGGAAACAAAGGTATATATGCTACTCCTCCACGCTTTGTTTTTTTTTTTTTTTTTTTTTTTAATTAATTTTTATTTTTTTTATGGTTATATATGTGTATGATTAAACTCCCTGTCTTCTTGCAGAGTCTTCCATCTTTAAAGATCCTTGATCTCAGCTATTCCCGTCACCTCATTGAAACTGGGGATTTCTCTTTGGTCACCAATCTAGAGAGGTTGATTCTTAATAAATGCAGGAGCTTGGTTGATGTCCATGAATCCATTGGAAACCTGGAGAAACTTGTTTACTTGAATATGAAAGACTGCGAAAATATTAGGAAGCTTCCAAAGAGCATTTCTATGCTAACATCACTTGAAACACTTATTATATCTGGTTGCTCAAGTCTTAATGAGTTCCCAATGGAGATGGGGAAAATGGAATCTTTAAAAGTGTTTCAAGCAGATGGGATTCCGATAGATCAATTACACACTTCCACTTTTCCCTGCAATTTAGTTGTTTTAAGTCTAACAAACTGTAATCTCTCTGATGATGCTTTCCCAAAGGATTTTGGTAACTTATCCTCGTTGCAGAGCTTGGATTTAAGTCATAATCCAATTCGCAGCTTACCAGATTGCATCAGAGGCCTTACCGCGCTTGATCACCTTGCATTTTCGCAGTGTACAAGGCTCAAATCGCTTGTCGGGCTACCACGAATAACTGAACTTGTTACGATCCATTGTGAGTCGTTGGAAAGAGTTACATTTCAATCAATTTCGTGCCTACCGGAAAAGTTTATTTATGGTTACAACTTCAAGCTAGCTGAGATTGAGTACTGGTACAAGTTAGAACCCATTGGAATGGTGGATGTTGAAATGAGAAAGCTCTTGGGCTTGTGCAACTTGAATTCCATGGAAGCCATTAGGATGTACACACCAGATAGGCTCTCTTCAGGAGATGGGACTATGCATCCCATCCAGGTGCGCCTCTCTCTCTCTCTCTCTCTCTCTCTCAGAAACACACACATAATATGTAAGAATTGAATTACTGATATCAACATTTGGTATAGGGACTGCATGAATATGGTATATTCAGCACATTTCTTCCTGGAGATGAGGTTCCAGGACAGTTTAGTGACAGAAGTGAAGGATCCTCAGTATCTTTTACTGTGCCTCCTTTACTTCCCAATCTTCGGATTCGAGGCTTGAACATCTTCACTGTCTACACAGAGTGTTACAACGGTTATTCCTCCTCTAGCATACCTAATCCACTACTTATCAGAGTCTGTAATAAGACAAAGGGTCTGAAGTGGATCTATACACCATCATGCCATGGCGTTCCAGACAACGAAAAACAAGTGATGTGGTTAAGTCATTGGAAGTTGGGGAGTGGATTGGAAGGCGGCAATGAAGTTACTGTTTCAGTGTTTACGAAACCTTTGTTTCGTGTGAAAGAATGTGGCATCCAGCTTGTGCATGAGCAAGAAGACGAGATGAGTACCCAGCACAACACTATAGTTCCTAGTTATGCATCTGCCATTGGTCGGGATTTGTCAGAATTTATTCCAGGAACATACTACCTAGGGGGTGGACCTTTTCTCAGACTAACTAGAGAAGATGTTTTGGGTTGGAAAAAGGAAGTTTGGTTCAATGACATCTCTGGAGACTCTAAAGAAGAAACAGGTATGGTGTTTAGCCAATCACTGAGTTCATATGGGCACGATGCTATTCGTACTACCAGTTTGTCATCCTGCACTCTTTTTGTATGCAATGCCTTTAAACAAAACGATAAAATACTAATTTTAGAGTGTAAGATGATAATGTGGGAGTGGGAATATATAGCAGCTGCCTTTACTTTGTTGATAGTTAGACACTCCACGAAATGGAACACATGCAAATTCATCCTCATTCACTTTAAAGAATTTAATTCCTCTCATGTTCTGTGTATGGTGTTTGTATGTTTTGTTTTCTAGACAAAGAAGAAATACAGCAGGGTGACGAGCCGCTTGCGCTGGTAGCAGCAGCCGAAACATTAGTAGAAGCAGAGAGCGCAAGCAGAGGCAACAAGATTCTCATTATGACTGCAGTCTTCTTTCTCTTCCTTTCTCTAATCTCTTTGCCTTATCTCTCTTTCCTGTCAAAGTACTTTATCTGAATAGGCGATCAATCTTGGTGGGGGGTTTATTTGTTTGTATGTTTTTGTTAATTATCTGCTGATAAATTGGCTTATAAGAGTTTATCTGCCTTCAACATGCCCTTCTTGTCATACATTTCAATGAACAACCCAACTCAGTTTTGAAAACCACTCAATTTCAAGACAGAAAGCAGCTTGCAACAACCCCATATCTCATGCAGGACAAAAATCAGACAGAAGAACTTAAAAGTTACAACCAGGAAAAAAAAAAAACAAAGGAAAAAGCCCTTGGAACCAGGAAGTTCAGAAACTGCTAGTCTCCCCTGTAAAGAGATGAAGATATCTCTGATGTTGTTAGCAAAATAAACTCTGCAAACTTTGCTGCTTAGTGCTGTAACTAGTATGACTACAAATTTCCCAGATTTCTACCTGTTCTGTTCTGCTTACTAATTTATGCAATGTATGGAGCCCTGTGCTCCAAGAAATCTATGCCTTGGTATAAATTGGTAGGCCATCTGTGCTGGGCTGGGCTTTTGCTATCCGAACCCAAAGACTGATTTATGACATAGGGCCAGTGAGCGGTGATGAATTTGGAACTTGTGAGGGGCACATGCAATTGTATTTTTAAAATTCTGAGATGCATTTATGGCAGTCATAGTTTACAGGCATAGAAATTGTACTAATTTCATCCATCCCCTCCAGTTTTTCAAACTAAGCTAGGCTAAGCTTGCAATTCGGACAACTGTCGCTGTGCAACTCGAACAACTGTTGCTAACACAACTCTTTTGTGTATGCTATGCCCTCAAATTACTCAACAACCCTATGATCCAAGACTTCCTTTCTATCAATCGAAATGTGAAAAGAAGTGTGGTTCTGTGAAGATTGAAGAATATTTGGTCAGCCTTCTCTGCCACTTCATCACGTGCCATTCATTCCCCCAACCCCATCACGCCCGCCATGTTTTAAGAAAAAGGAGAGAGAGAGATAGCATTGCATTGCATTTGCATTGGTAGTTGAAACTTGAAACCCCCAATTAAACCCCCCCCCACCGGCCGGCCCACCCCAAATCCATTTATTAAATTTTAATAATTTTGCCCGCTCACAGAAAAAAATAAATAAATACATTTATAAATTATACGCAAAAACAAAAAACTTTTCCATTTTTTATAAAATTAACCAAAAGTAAGTGGAAAATATTGATGATGTCCATGCCCATCCAAATTTCACATTCATTGACCCATCAACTGAGACACTGACACGTACATGACACGTCAGCACACTTGATACTCATCCCGGTGAAGATAGAATTGCTGCTTCTGCTGCTGTTGCCCTTCGGGTTGCTGCTGCTCTGAAGCCTCTTTCTGGCGACGGAGCTCCAGAACCTTCCGGTGCGAGTTGGAGTGCTGAGTCAGCACGAACGTTGGGCTTGCCGCGGGTCGGTACTCGGGCACGAGCCGACCCGACTTGAATCGGACACCACACGCGTTGCACAGCGTCTTGGGGCCCATTGGACCTGCCCGCCACTGCGGCGTCTTCTCCGAGGCGCAGTGCGCGCACCGGCGCGGCTTGGAGGGCGACGGAGAAGCTTCCGATGGCTCTCTCTTGGGCTTCGCCCGTGAGTCGCTGGGCTCGGGTGGGCCGCCCCATTTTGTGCGATTGGTGCGAACCCGGCTCGGAAACAAGGAAGACGTGTCGTTTGGGAAGGACGCGGAGCCGAAGACGTTGGTGGTGGGGAAGTCGGTGAAGGAGTCGTCCACGAAGCGCGACAACCACTCCAATTCCGCCACGTCATCACTCTAATTCAACCCAAAAAAATAAAAACCAAAAATAAAAGAAACCCAAATTAGAATAGAATTAAAGAAAACAAAATGGGAAAATTGAAGTGAAAAAGAGAAAGGGAAAAGAAAATGTGGGCAATTACGGGTACACAGAGGTCGTTGGTGAAGTCGGTGGCAGCGGTGGGGTTGAAGGGGGTGGAGCTGACGTGGGGGTGCGGAGGTGGCGGTGGAGGGTGGAGGTCAATGGAGTCGGTGGAGGAAGTGGAGGAAGAGAAAAGGTCGTCGTTTGACAGGTCGAGAAGGTCGTCAATGGGAAAGTAGTCTTGCTGTTGGGCTAAGGAAGCAGATGCTCCTCCTCCGTACACGTCCTCCATTATTGTTCTTTACCAATTTGCAGAGAGTCAGAGTAAAAAAGCTGAGTGATTGTAAAGAAATGGGTTTGTGGGTTCTCTCTGGCTCTCTCAGCTCTGTTCTTAGAGAGAGATAGAGAGAGAGCGAGAGACAGAGAGAGAGAAAGAAGAATGGGGGTTGATATATTGATGGAAGAGGGAGCAGAGGAACGTGCACACACAGAGAGAGAAATGAGTGTTTTAAATTTGGGGTTTTTTTCTTTTGTCTGAGCAGAGAGCACGGCAGTGCAGAGAGAGCAGCAGAAAGCACACTAGTGCTGCCCAGTACAACACACCAGCAATGCTTCTACAACCCTCCAAACCCCAGCATGGATAAATAAAATGGTTTTTGCTATTTTATTTATTTATTTATGGTGGTGATGATGATGCTAATATGGAAACAGCCAAGTGTATGGTGGGTTTCACGCAATCATGAACACGTGGCTACTCATGCAACCCATATATAACACTACCCATTTACAGTTGTACACAGCAGCAAGGCTATAAGCTAGAGGGGTAACCCGAATTGCAGTGCAAGCTGTGCATTCATAATAGTGGACATTATACATTTTAATGTCTGTTGTTGGATGAGTTTAATTTTTTAGATTCATGTAGCAGAGAAGCGAAATCATATTTATTCAACGGTGATTAACGTGGTGGAAATGCTCGTCACCGATTAAAAGTGTTGAGTAAAAATACTATCTTTATAATAAGGTGAAAAATAATTGTTATTATGGATCATCAACTTAAAAAAAACCTTATAAAGGAATTGAGCTGTAAGCACAAACTGGATTGATGGAGATTGAGTCCATCAATTTATACTTGAAATAGTAACATTTGTTCCACAAGAAAGAAAGCTTCACAAGTTTCATATACAAATATAGGGCAGGCATTGACACCTTGTACTTGTAGCAGTCTGTTTCTAATAGTTTTCGAGCTGACTTGATTCTCAATTGATAAGGTGGTTAGTAGCTTAAAAACACAAGTAATTGGATAAACAAGAAGTTAATAAGGGTAAGTCAATTTATTTATACCAGCTCAGATTGAAGATACATGGGAATTCCCTCAAGTCAAACTGGACACTTAGTTCGAAGCTTATTCCAGTCCCTGAGTAAATAAGTAAATAATTAGCACCCAGCAAAAAAAAAAAAAAAAAAAAAAAAAAAAAAAATTAATTAGATGTATATCTCGAGAGAGCATTTTTGTTCATCATTTTAACTCAAAGTTGGATTCAAGTTGAATATCAAACAGGCCCGTAGTTTCTCACGTGCAATTGGCTTTTTAAATAGGTAGGTTATGCGATGACTTATTGCACAAGATGAAATTTGTCCTCAAGTGCTATTTTCGCAATACTTGACATATATATTTTAAGATAGAGGATTGGAGGCTAAGAAATACTAATTTAAGATGCATTTTCTGATGAGCCTGACCCTGAGATGCCAAAATTAACAACTGCATAATAAATTTTGAACATCTTTTATTTTTATATACATATATAATAATAAAAACATGTGCTTTGAAAATTGAATAGGTGTAGTGTAGAAGCCTAGAAGGGCAAGAAAGAGAGAGATATATATATATATAGGTGAGGGTCGGGACAGAGGACATAAATGAGAAATGGACACCGCCGGGGTGGGGTGGCATTTAGAATGTGAAAGGAGGACTGGAAGGAAGAGCTTGAATTTAAAGGAAGAGAAGAGAAGACATGAAGAAAATTAGATTTTTTAAAATATTTTAATTATCCCTCTCTGACGCCACCCCACTACCCCTTTACTTCTGGCATTACTTGACCATGGATGCCCACCACCGACAGCTATTCCCAGCTGTCAATATAGTTTCTTCTTATTTTATAAGGTAAACTTCTGAAAACTCCCCTGAATTATAACACTTGTCGAAATATCTATCATAAATTATTTTTTCAGCCAATTTAACCATCAAACCATTTTAAATGGTCAATTTATCATATGCCGTTAGTTTTCATGTAATTTCATCTAATTTTTCGTTAAAAATAATTAAATCTTTAAAAACTTTAAAAAAAAATTAAAAAATTAAAAAAAAAAACCCTAGCAATCAACGTCTTCCCCACCTCATCTCCCAAAAACTCAATTTAGCCTCTAACTTTTGAGACTCAAATCACCCAACCCAGCTGATGCTGTCGCAGACCATCAAGCCATGATTTGTAAATTTCTAAACCCAAAACAGGAAGGAGAAGAAATCCCTAAACCCAAATTGGTACCGCATCTTAAGGGGAACGTAACTGGATTAGAAATATATATATATATATATATATATCTCTACTTAGCTATTGCTGGAAAGAGTAGAAGAAGGCATATGGATTTTATATCTTGATCCTGCCTTTTGGTTCTCAAAGTAAAGAGAATCTCCTGTCAACAAATTGTATTGTGTCAGAATTCCCTTTCAAGCTTTCTCGAGTCCTTGGCTATGGAGGGGATCAACTTCTCTTAAGATGAGTTGTTGCAATGCCAAAATTGCAAATGAGGCAGCAAGTATTGGGTCAGCAGTAAGATGGGGTTCTGCTGACCATTTTGGCTTCAAAAAAGCAAACAGCAACTAATAAAATTTAGCTGGTTTACTTTTCTTCTTCTTTTTTCTATTTTGAATTTTGTTTTTTTTTTTGTTTTTACTTTTTATTTTTATTTTTTCAATATTGTACTTTGTAAAATGACAAATTTACTCTTATAATTGACGGAAAAATGGATGGAAGTGTAGAAACTTGACGGTAGGTGTTAAATTGGTGATAAAATTTATTATAAGGGCTAAATTAGCTGAAAAAATAATTTATGGTGGACATTTCAACAAGCGTTATAGTTCATGAGGGTTTTCAGCACTTTACCCTATTTTATACTAGCTTTTCATTATAAAAATATCTATGTAAATATTATTCTACGAGAGTCATATATTTTAACAATAATCTACTTGATTAATTATCCAAACTATAAAGAAATGAACATCACTTTTACACAATAATTTGTTTTCAAAGTTTATTAGTATTTACATAAACTAGTATTTGAAACACATATGTATGTGATATTTGTTAAATTTCAGAGAGACAAGTCAACGGCTCATTACTAGCAGCATAAATATTATTTCTAACTTAACTACGTATATAGCCTAATAAATATGAAGTTTTATCACAAAAGATATCAATGCTATTAATAATGAGATCACTTAAATTATATATTATAATTTATTTAATTAAGTATCCGATATTTTTTTTTAAAAGATCTCTTGCATTAGTTAATGGAAGTCCCCAAAAACGCGATTATTGCTACCATTTTTTTTCTTAAGAAAACATCTACAATGCGAGAGACAATGAACAGTCCCCTATGTAAAATATGTGGGATTTCATAAAAAGGATAGGCTTCATCAGCAAGCACGTGTTGGAAGCAGAAGGTGGCGGTGGTGGAGGCCCACCATTTTGATATTGGGGGGTTGCATGGGAAAAACAAAAGATTTTGCACAAGAAAGAGTACCAAGCCGTACGATGCGCCACTTGTTATGAGGAAAGTACGTCTCCCTTTTTCCTTTTCCTTTTGTTTTGATTGATTCATAATCTGACGTGATTCTCTTGATACATCACATTACTTTCGAGAGGAAGGGCTTTTGAATATCCTCATGCAAAATGTTACATTACCTTAATTATTTTTTAGAGTGGCATCTAGTTTAAGAAAAGAATTTTGACGCCACACATTTGTAGGTGATTTTTTATCGTTGATTTACTTTGGACTACATATCCATTGTCTCGAAACAGACGTTAAGATTTTTTTTTTTTTTTTTTTTTTTTTTTTTTTTTTTTTTTTTTTTCTTCTTTTTCTTTTTTTCTTTTCTTTTTTTTTCTTCTCCCCTTTCCTTATGAATTCCCTTGATAATATCATCAACCATGCTCTATAATATTGGTAGGAAATTAAATTAAGATTATAGCAAAGCTTGTGGGACTTTTGGCCTTAGCGAGAGAGATGCCTCGAATCACGTGACATATATGACAGCAAAAATGGTGATCCCGATATTTAACGCATTTTCTTTTCTCAAAGTAACCCGCCACAGTGCATGCATGTGCATGCTCATGTGCTCATTAATCCTGATTAATTAAAAAACAATTCAATTAATTATTTAATTAATGGCGTCAATTGATCCATCATCATATATTTCTGCCAATCCCCCGTATATATTCTCTGGACAAGTGATTCTGATTCTCTCAATTTTCAAATGGAATTAATTAATTAAGAAAATAATAATAATAATAATAATCAAGTTACCAAAAAAAAGGTATATTAATTTGGGCTATGTCGGTGGATATGGGCTGTGGGCCAGGCTCGCATCACTTCTTAATAAGTGAGATATCAGCTTTGGGCACGTGTTCTGCGTCGGTGATAGGAGACACTTCTCTGATCAGACGGCCCTTTTGCATGCAAAATTTGGACTTTCTTCTTCTTCTGTGTTTCGTTTCCATTGGTTGTAAGACTTCAATACATATATATTTTTTGAAGTTATAATTTCTGCAATGGGCTTAACAGGGTTCAAAAAATTTCAGTTATCGGAAGAATCCTCAAACACCAACATTTTTGTGTGTGTATATAAATCTGTATACCAGTTGTTTTTTCATTCGGATATCTGGACGTTATTATCGTGTGGACGGCATTGTAAACAGAGAGAAAAGAGGAATGGGTAGTAGAAAATATCTGACGTCCGCATTATAACAACATTTGAACGTACGACATAGAAAAACAATCTAAAGAATAATAAGCATAATTTCCTTTTAACTTTGACATGTTATAAACTTGTATTGTGTCACTTGGTCAACATAATGTGTTCACTTCTTTGTATTTAAATTCGATTATCCTCATCCATATTTTCGGCTATCGTTTATATTAAAAAATAAGAACAAAAAACTTTGATATTGTGTTGGCTTGGCATCAATTGCTAAAAGTTTTTGTTAAAAAGATAACTAAATGAAGTTATGAAGGAGGTAATCTTGCCCAAAACCTGATAACAAAGAAGAAGCTCTTAAATAGATTATCTGAATCTGTTTGATTAGACAATAAAAAATCATATTAATTCTTCTAATAGTTATGAAATGGCTGATAAATGAAAAAAGGGTCATGAAATGGGGGACGCCACGTGACTTGGTGAGTCCGTACAATAACTAGCGAGGCATTGCAGCATATGGCCATATAGAACTCACATGCCTTGGAGTTTATATAATTGTATTATAATACAAAAAAAGATCACAAATTCACAATCATGATCCTCTGTGATCACATGGATTTCAGAGTTTAGTTTAGGGTGAGTTCTTCCGTCTCTATCTGCTATGCTAAGGATAATATTTGTTATGAGAAACGTAAACTCTTAACTAGTTTAAGAGAGAGAACACTCCTAGCCCCACCCAAAAAGGAGTGGTGACTGCCATGAGTTTGGTCCCATCTTCCTCTTTCTTTACTTTTCTCTCAACATCCTCCCCTTCACATCCTCTTTGCTCCCCCTTCCAGCTTCATCTTCCTCTCTATTTCGTTGACTCGTTTATGACATAATTCTATAACATATTTATGAGGATCTATCCTTTTCGGTGTATGTGCTCGATTTTGTCAAAGAGGAAAATCGATTGGTATAAATTTGTTATCTTTTAGTGCTTGCCGACAATGAGTTGGTTTTGTGATAACGAGGTTGCAATCTGACTAGTTTAGTTTTTTTATTTTGGGATAAGTCGCACAAACTTTTTTTGGGTTTTCTCTTTTGTGAGAGTTTTTCACATCTCTTTTGTGAGAGTTTTTATTTGTATTGTTATGACTTGGTTTTTCCAAGCTTTATCTCTTTTTGATTGTTAAGAGTTTGCAATCTTAATTTGGATGTCTATGCCAGAGTTGCGTGATCATTAGTGGATGCACACCAAATTCTCTTAATGTTGAGTTTAGATTTCTCCGTAATTTTAATGGCCTTTTATGGCTAATGACTTATTTAACTAAATTATGAATACAATCCCACAATTTCTCAACAACAACAAAAAAACTAGTTTAATAAAGACCATTAGATCTTCCATAGAAAAAAAAAGTACCATTAGATATGCGACTATTCTTTTTCTATATTTACTAAAAATGAAAGTATACAACTTGTAAGGAATTTGTCACTACACACACCAAGTTTATTCACCAAGTTTTTGTTAGTCTACTAATTTGTAATTCAGTCATTTATATTCAAATTTCTAACAGATCATTTGGTGGATAAACCGTGCGAAAAAAAACTTGGTGCTTCTAGTATTACTACTCCTAGAGTAGATTACTATACTCTTATGCTGAAAATAACAATACAAATTTGTAAAGTCAGACTGATTTATGTTGTGCGTCTTCCTCTATTTGTAAGAAACAATGCTTATTCTCTTGTAGTCCAAGTGGGTGTCTTCAGTTGTGTTAAGTGCTTGAGTTGAAGAATTCTCATTACTACATCACGATTCCTAAACTCATTTACGGATCGTATATATGAATTAGGTCAGTTGGCCAGTTGGTCATAGCAGTGATCCCACCTCCTTACTCCCATATTTGAGTCCTCCCGTAGATTAGATTGATTGTATTAACAAAACAAAATTTCTGGGCCGGCCTTGTCAGTATTAATCCATCAAGTCCATTCAGACTGGACCATGGAAGATTTCGCAATCTATCTGGGCCGGACCATACAAAATTAAAAAGATTTTAGCTTTCCTTAGAGTTTTGAAGCCCTTGTATAAAATTCGTCATTTTTTAAATAAGAAATCCTAATTATCTCCAACCTTTCAAGTTTCAACCGCCAATTATCCAGTTGACACAAACTACCAGTACCAGCCATGAACCCGAAAGCTCAAAACTTCAACACCATTCCCTCTCTCACAAAAACCCCGAATTCAAATGGCCACGTGTCTCCCATTCGGCACCATCCCCTTCAAACCCCACTCCCCCCGCCACGCTAAGATCACCTGCTCCTCCACGACAGCCCAATCACAGCTCGCCAAGCAGCACCTCCTCAGCCTCATCTCCGATCAGGATCGAGGCCTCAAGACACAGAACAACCCCGCAAAGCTCACTTCAATCGTCAGCGCCATCGACGACTTGGCTGCTCTGGGAAAAGATAGTATCACCACCGGCGGGTCGCTGTCGGCTACGTGGCGGCTGCTCTGGACCACGGAGAAGGAGCAGCTCTTTATCATCCAGAACGCTTCCTTGTTCGGCACGCGAACCGGCGACGTTTTTCAGGTCATCGATGTTGAGCAAAGGGTTCTCAACAATGTCATCACTTTTCCTCCAGATGGGGTCTTCTTCGTCCGCTCCGATATCGCCGTCGCTTCAAAGCAGAGAGTCAATTTTAAGTATGCATTGGTATTTCGTACTAGTATGAACCAAAAAATAATTTTAAAAATTGAAACTTTGGGAATTTTTCTTTTCTCTGTATTAATTTTTATGTTTTGGTGTTGCTTTGTAATTAGTGATGTTGGGTTGTGCTAGATTTACAAGTGCGGTTCTACGAGGGAAGAATTGGGAGATTCCATTGCCACCGTTTGGGCAGGGTTGGTGAGTTCTTTGCTTTATTTTGTGATATTAACAAATACCCAAGTGATTGCTGGTTTTGTTTGTGTAGTTAGAAATGTTAAAATTCACTTACAGATAGATAATTTGCCTCTGTTCATCAATGCCTTTATAATTTCATCTTCAATGTCTCTGTTTATGTTAGCTATTAGCTTGTTTTCCTTGCTTTGTTCTGTTAAATAATATGAGAGTGGACTTATTATAAGTGCATTCTGGTATTTTTCTCCCCTTTTGAGACAAATTGGAAATAGCAATGACAGGCCATAGTCTATAGAGGTGGGATAACTTTCTGCCTTTCTATCCCTCACTTTCCATGATTTAAACCCAAGAACTCCTCAATAAAGGGGGAACATAATCACTTAGTTGCAAGTGCCAATGATTGGAAATCTTTAGGATTCTTCCTGCCAACAATAGGTTATTCTCATCACTGCTCACCTCCCGGTGAAATTTCTATTTATGAAAGCTGCACTTCCTTTAAATTTTGTGACAATGTCTGAACTGAATTCTCACAAGTTTCTTGGTTTGCTTGGAATGAGCCCTCTTTAATTTTCTCTATTTTTAATTATTTTGAGGTGCAGCATAGAACTGTTTTGAAAAGAGAGGCTTACTTTGTAATTTGGGATTTAACTACTAAAGGAGCATGCTTGTCCATCTCGCTTATTATGTAGGAAGTGAGCTTGCTTATTATCTGAGCGTGCCATGTGCTTGAAACCAGCCTCAAATATCAGATGAATATAAACTAACTTGAGCCCTGCCCTATTTGTTTCAGGCCTATTCCTTGATATCAAAATCAAATGTTGGCTTGTAGAAGCAATTTTAAATACTATTGTTAAGGATTATCAATAATTTCTTTAGGTCGTTGGTTTAAGTAGCATGACTAATTTTGGAATTCAGCTTATTGTCCGGCAGAGAGTTGCTAAACTTTGGGTTTTTTTTTCAAGACCATAGATTGTAGGGAAATAACTTTATTCATAATTGTTCAGGCTTGGTTTTCTCTCACAAGGCAGTAATATATCTTTCCCTAATAGGTGATATCTTGTTGATTGTCTTGTGCACCTGGCTTCTTCCAGAATATTCATCATTTCTCTTTCTCCTGCAAGAAAACTGCTGATTCAACTTTTTAGTTGTTTATCTTTCAAAACTAGAAATGAGAAAACTTTGCAGTCTGCCTTAGTTCTATAACTTCTATTTACCCTTGAAATACAGGAATGCAACACCTGTGATAGGAAATATTATCTACCGGAACAACAGGAATACAGCTTGACATGTACAGTTTTGAGGCTTCACTACTAATGTCCTTCTCATTGGTCTAACCTGTTACATTTTAGGTTTGACACTGTGTACCTTGATGATGAGATTCGAGTTGTGAAGGATATCAGAGGAGACTATTTGGTCGTGGACCGTGCTCTCTATGCTTGGAAAGAATGAAGAAGAAGTTGTTTGCTACTGACTTCATTGTTCCTATTGGTTTGACATAATGTGAGTTCACTTATTCAAAAGCCACTTATTTGATTAAACCCTAATAGTGTTGTTCTTTATCTGAATGTTACTACTTTCTCATAATTTTCCAGATCTGATCTGTTTGCATAACTTTGGTTTGTTATCCCTAAGAAAACTAGATGATGCTGTACCTTCCGTTAAATTTGCATATGATATTTCATCAATCCACAATCCTGTCAATTCCCCTATTTTTGATAAGTCTGGATAGGCTCTTAACCTTTCCATTTTCTGTGAATTTTCCAGTCTCATGCCTATATTTTGTAAAATTATGGGATCATAATTTCTGAAGAGCCAAAGTTACGTACTATCTAGTAAGATTGGAAATGACACGAGTACCACAACAGATTTGGAACTTTGAAGAAAACAATTGTTTCAAGAAGTCAAAATGATGAATTCCAGACCTTTCCACCTGCTATTTGTTTTACATTTATCCCATACCACTTGAGGTTGGCTACATGAATTTATTCTGTCATTCAACTCTAGTTCTCGAAATGTTGTATAAACCATCTTATCAGTTGAGTAATATCAAATCCCTTGATACCCATTGAACCAAATAGTCCTGTAATCATTTTCATGGTTGCACATCGTCAAATCCAACTAGGTCACCTTTCCCTCATTAAGGGTACTTTTAACTTCATACAAAGACATTAATTTCTCATTTATTTGATTGATGAGAAACACAATCATAGGATATTTTATTAATCCTGTTAAAAATGGTATAAATTACAATTTACAGAAAACAAACTCCCTCCAATCCGAAAAAATAGCAAAAGGAAAGAATGGAATGTCCCTAAATATCTCTCACTTCATTTTGCTCATGGTGTTGGTTGAAAATCACATAGCTTGTTCGAGACCAGCATTCTCTACACGTTGTCTAGGATTTTACTCATGGTGTTAATTAGATCATTTTCCCTCTCCTTCCTCCTCTTTGATTTATTCATAAGTCTTTGATATAATGCATCTGCTATTTTCCATGAACAGACTGATGAGACTTGTTGAATGTGGAGCCTGAGATAATCTTGTTTAAAGTCCCACCTCAAAAGCCACTTCCTCACCCAATAAAATAAAGAGAAGACTTCAGTGGTGATGCAATCGCAGGCAAGAGCAAAAGGGGATATGAGGGATATGGGGAGGAAGGAGATGATCAGCAAAGCAATATAAAATAGTGGAGATCACAATTCTATGATTACGCACTAATAGACGTGCCAGCAAATTTTATCTCCCATGGCTTTGGATCATCACTCATTCACTTATAATCATATATACATATATATTATGTGGCTTGGGATTCAGCAAATCTTGTCTATGATTTCCCATTTCTCCTTTTTCAAAATTGTACTTGGGTAAGGTGCTGTGATTTACAACACAACAGCAAAGTGGATGAATCTTTTTGGCTTAGATTTAGCGGCAAAGTATCCTAATAAGAGCTTGATTAAAAAGAAAAAGGAAAAAAACTATCAGGGGCACAAAGATGGGATAAAAGTCCCCAACTTTACAATTTCCTTTTCTGTTTTTGCTGAAGTGTGAATTTGATTTACACAGATGAGTTCTGCTACCAATTTATCTGTATTGTTTGTGCTTTTTCATCTGGATAGATTGGTTGTTGGGAATTCTTGCACGACAAGTGGTACACAAAATCTGGGCCGTACCCTGGCCGACCTGAACCAAATCCAGTGAGCCCCGCGATTGGGTCGGTTGTGAAACACATTTAATGTGGCTCACGGGTATATAACTTTAGTTAGTTGAAGGTTACTCTTGTACTCTTGTAAGAGGACCTCCACCCTATTGTGCCATGAGAAAGAATAAAGGTAAGCAAGGGCAAATACTATTCACTTGAATGGTGACTGCCTTAGCAATTTTTTGATGCATTCCCACCCATTACCATGGCAACCTAAGGGCAACCACTATTTATATGATATATGAGGAGAGGAATTTATATGGAATTTGGTGTGGGAAGTGAAGAACATGACTATATATTTATAGAAAAAAAAATTCTGATTTTTTTGGTAATTTTTTTAATTTTTTTGGTATTTAAATTAGTCGTTGATGTTAGTATGGCATCAACTTGCCTAGGCAAGTCTTGCCTTCGAGCTTGCCCAATTTCGTGGGCCTACTTCTTGCCATGGTAACTTTTCATTTGTGGAGGTTGTTTTTGGAGCCTAGGCTTCTTTTTGCCATGACAAAAGGGGAGGGGTGGAAGTGCTCTAAGGTGAACTTCGCATTGTATTTTAATGATTCAAATGATTTTATTTTTTACGTCTTCATTCAAAGATTATCCAGAAAACATTAGATTGGAAGCCATTAAGACTTCTAATTTTGACCAATGAAATAAACAAACCATTTAAGAAAACACTAAAATGACAACTATTTAATTTAGTGGTCAAATGATTTCGGATACAAGGGATTTTTTTTTTTTTTTTTTTTTTTTTTTTTTTTTTTTTTCCTCCCATAGATAGATAGATAGCTGACTGTTTTTTTTTTTTTTTTTTTTTTTTTTTTAAAAATAAAAAAAAAAAAAAAAAAAAAAGAATAATTGACTTATAATTGCCGTATCAGCAATCTCACCAAGGATTACTAGGATCCCAAATACATAAATTAAATACCAAAATTATTAGTTAATTTTCATATTAGTATCGAGGAGGTGACTCAAGTAGCACGCTTAAGAAAATTCTTATTGGATGTGGATTTGCAAAGGACCATGTCACTCTTGAAAATGTAGGAGGTTGGATGGTTAGCTTAACTTTGATCTATGAATGAAGACTTGAAAAATAGACGGTTCAAATTGTTGAAATAAAATTCATAGTGGACCGCACAAGGCGTATGTCTATTTAAGGGATCCCTCAAGAAAAGGAGATTGATATACATAAAATTTCAGTTGATGGATCTTTCAAATGTGTTGGTTAAGGCATTCTTGTGGGCTTACTTGCATTGCATTTTGATGATTTAAACCTTCTATCTTTCATGTATGCCTTCAAATATCATCTCCTTGAATTTGAAACAATTTGACAACTTAATGGTTCTCATTGTTAAGATTTCAGAGGGACGAACCATTGGCCTGTCACTAGCAACATATAAGACTTTCTATTTTGTAAAGTTTCTGATGTAAGACTTTATGAATTCTTCAACACTTCTCCTAACGTGTGACCACTTTTTAATGGGCTACACGTGCAACCAATTCCACATCGGCCACCTTTTTTCTTTTATTTTTATTTTTTTTATTTTTAATAATTTAATAATTTAATAATTTATTATTATTATTTTAAATTTTGGTTCAATTTGGGGTTTTTGTTTGATTTGGATTTAATCGGGCCTAGTCAATCGGCCCGCTATAATACCATATTAAGATTTCAAAAGGACGACTTGGTCTACCACTAGCAACATCGATATTGTCCCCAACTTAACCATATGTTTAGCAGGTGTAAGGTTTTATACAAAAGGTCTCAATGTTATTAGGAGTGGAACCATTTATTATATGGGACTTTCTATTTTGTTAAGTTTCCGATGTGGGACTCTGTGTATTCTTTAACACTCATTTTAGTGTTTTCTTGAAGCATCATATTCGTTTATTTTATTGCTCACAACTATCAAACAAAGTAGGGCAAATATTCAATTATGCTATGATATGCTCATATCTTTATTCTTCTCTAATATTGAGGTATTTATAAAGAAGTACAACCCTAAATAAAATAGGAAATAAATCCAAACTACAATAGGAAATAAATCTATATTGCAATAAGACTAAATAATAATTGGTAAGTAACCACCATTCTCACTAAATAAGGAACCAAAATCCTAACTAAGTAAGGACTTGCCAACACTCCCACTCAAGCTGAGGCAAAGATGTTTCGCATGCCCAACTTGACAAGTGAGTCATAGAACACCATACTTGACATTGACCAATCGAACAATTGTAGAGAATGTCTTATGGAGTGAAACAACTGACAAACCAAATCAAAGTTCGCAGTATAAACACAAGAGCAAACCCTCACAAATATGGTACATAGCAGAACGCATAAAAGCATAACATATAAACCTTAGCACGACATTAGGTAAGGCAAAACACAAACTATGTGAGCACGACAATAGATAAGGCAGAACACACTAACCTTGTGAACATGCAGTAGGTCGCGGAACACAGAAATCCTGTGAGCACAACAATAGATAAGGTATAACACATAAAAGCAAGGCATTACGTAAGGTGGAACACAGAAACCTCGTGACCATGAAAGTAGGTAAGTCAGAACCAGAGGTAAGTGAAAAAAAAAATAAAGGTATCAACATTCGGCATGGTAATGGATGACGGGGTGGTGGCAATGGCAGAAATAATAAGGTAGGCGACAACGGCAGCAATAATAAGGTAGGCAGCAGCAGCGGCAATAGCAAGGTAGGCGGAGGCAACGACAGCAAGGTAGATGGCGAGGGCGGGCTAGGATTATAGGCAACTGCAATTATCAAAAAAATAGTGTCTGAATATGATAACAAATTCTTCCATATCAACTTTAGCTAATTCACACACACATAACTTCTCTTCAATCATCATCTCCCCTTAAAGAGAAGAGGTTGTCGGAGTAAAAAAAAGAGGCAATATCTTCATTGGAAATAGAAACATATCTTTTTCACTCCCCCTCCCTCTTTCTTGAAGATGATGGGAGGAGAGCACTTAAATTGCAAGGATACAAGCACGGGTCACAAGAAAACATAGGCTCTTATACCATGTTAAATTTTAGAGATATGGGTCAGCGGCTCACTATTAGCAATACCGATATTGTCCCCAACTTAACCACGTACAAAGCCCAATAGATGTGGGGTTTTATCACAAAAAGCCTTAGTAATATTAGTAGTGGAATCATTCATTATATGTTATATTTTATTTTGTCAAGTTTCCGATGTGGGACTTTATTTCTATAACAACAATTAGATGTCTTAATGGTTTTCAATGTGTATATTTTTTTTGTTTGGATGATTTATGAATGAAGACTTGAAAAATAGACAATTCAAATTATTGAAGTAAAATTCATACTAGACCTCACAAGGTATCCATTATTTGAGGAATCTCCTAATAAAAAAGGACTATATAGATACATTATGTAGGTGTAGATTCTAATCATGACTGTATATCTCTATTTTTAAATTCTTTAAAGTGGAAGAGCCATTCTGAAAATGAGGTTTTTGACTATTTAACCTAATTACAACCTTATTTTATTAGTGAGTTGAAGCTTTCAAATCTCACAACAGCAACTATAAAGTGAGGATAAAAGAAGTCGAAAATTGTCAACAAAAACGGATCTTCTTTAAGTGGATTTTCACTTATGATTTCTTATGTGATGTCTTTTCACTTCATTTTCATTCTAGTGATGGATGCATAAAGTATTCATATTTTTAAATCCAACAATGAAATGAAGTTTTTTTTTTTCCTGCCAGCAAGATGATGTTTTTTTTTCGGCGTAAACTATGATTATTTTTTCTTGTGTTGTGTGATTGACTTGAGCACTAATCTCACATAATCGGAAAAATCATATTCACCGTATCTAAGTAGAGCAATTTCTCATGCTCTTGGTTTGGGGTGCCTAAAGTTTTCTCAAATGGGAATTCAGTAATTAAGATGATCAATTTGATGGATGGTAAAAAATTTCAAATTGACAATTAAAACCTAATCACCCCCCACTTACATGTGAAGAAAAATGTCCGATTCTTTATCTTCTCATCACGTGACATAAAGAAAAGTTGTACACAATAATGATACATAAGTTTGTCTCTTGCATAATTGAAGACAGTCATAAGAATTTTTTAAATAGTTTCGAATTCAAGTGATTTTTCAAATGCAGCAACTAAATGATCATAAGAATCTTTCAAATGCATATTTCAATAAAGTCAAAAAAATACTCAAATAATAAGAAAACGAGTTCGAATAGTGTAGTGTTAATCGGGCATACAAAAATTTCTCTAATTTATCTCAACATTAGAATGCATGAGCAGATCATGTAGACGTGAGCGGTTGAGATTGTATGTGGGCACTTAAGAAAGTCTGCACAATCAGAGTGTAGAATTGCCCAAGTATGAAATGAAAAGTGTGGTGCAAATCTTAGGCGGTCCCAATGAATGTGATTCATGGGCTCTGGTCGTCAGCAATGGAATTAAAAGTGGTGCTGCCAAATTGTCCTTCTTTTGGGAAACACTTGAGTGTGGTTGTTGACGTTGCCCTTTTGTTTTGCCACCTCTCTCTGGGACTATTTTGATAAAATTGAAAGTAAGCGGACAACATAAAAGCATTGGTATTGAGTAGTGTGACAATGTAAAAGATATGTCGAAATCACCATATAAGATCACTAGAAAATACTAGTGTGCCATTTGGTCTCTGTTAAAAATTATTATCGGTTCAAATTTCACGAACGACAGATGAAATTTTAAAATTAGTATTCTTATATCGCATATAATATTAAGTAATCATACCGACTGACATGCATCTCCTCTACTTCAGCTAGATGTATGTAACTCCCATGATCACTCTAGCTCGCTCGGATCATGTAACCGTGGAAGTAACGTTTTGTGCAGCATGATGAGTTGAATTGGCACATGCAGGGAGGCTAGCAGCTGGGCTTGGGTCGATCCATCTTTCAATGATTTGATGATGACTTAACTTACTTGGCATATGCATAAGCACATTTTAGTTTCATACATACTTTGAGTACACCCCAAAATAGGTACAGTACTCTTACAAATGTTCTTTTCTTTTTATATATAGCCCTGGTCCCCAGAGATAAAACACTAGCTTGCCCTCTGGTAACATGAATGCATGCATGCATGTGCATGCAATATGCACATCTAGTAATCATGCATGTATGCGACGTGTCTAACATAAGAATTTAAGCCATGATGATTAAGAACTGCTGATACAAAAGGAGACGTGGCACCCTCTCCACCTGGGGAATGGAGGATAGCTTTACACATACCATATAGGAGTGATCGTACGTAATGTTATTAATTCACGTATTAAAATTAATGTGCGATGAAATTAAAGTATAACATTAATACATAAGTACACATTGCACCATCCATTCTACTTCACCAATAGAAACCCCATGAATTCGTCATTTGCCTGCCCGGATACCTTTTTCTCGATTGCGATTGGGGTGGCCGGTTTGCTCGACTCAATCTTTTGGTTTACATATGTCCCCTCCCACCCAACCATCTAATTACCTCGTACAATACTGTTACTCCATCACTTGATTATCTTTTACTGTTGTTGATAATAGTGATAATAATTTTATTTTATTTTATTTTATTTTATTTTATTTTATTTTTATCATATAGATTAGGTTTAATTTTCTCATCATATAATTGATTTGATGATTGCTTTTAGATGTGATGACAAAGTAGCTAAATATTTTGAAGAATAATTATGGGCTAGTTAGTTAAGAATGATGGCTAAGTTAGTTTTGTGTCGTTGTTTGTGATAGTTGATTCAGAATTTAGAGATTAATATCAGATTAAATTTCCTAACCCCACAAGGGATTAGGGGAGGTAGCTTTGCCAACCCACCTATCACCTCCTTCACGATCTTCACCATCACCATCCATCAGCCCCACTGCTAGAGTTTTTTTTATAATTTTTTTTCTTATGACAGTTGATGATGATTAGCTCCTTCTGCCGACCTTTCTAATTGATTTGTAACTAATTTATCCATCAACGTGCGTGTTAGGACAATAATTAAAGGAAGAAATGTCATAAGAAATGCTAGTCCATAAGATTAATGTTGGCTGAGCGGATCTGAGATGCGATTTTGGATTTATTTAACTTTAATTTGGTGGTGTTTAGTCATTGAAAGCAACTCCAATAGCTCGATTAAGGAGAAATTCCTTTAATCAAACCGTCAAAATTTCTTGATCTATGCTAAGAGAGAGAAAGCAAGTGGCTTAAAAGTAGAACAAATGTTAATTATCAAAACACCCTTAACATTTAAATTAATTATCTTAATCATTTCACGAAATCACGGCACGATTGCTATTTACGGCGATATTTGCAATGTGAAAGAAAATAAGAAATGATTTACAAACGACAAAGGAGAGATGGAGATAAAAGAGAAATACAACGGTCTCAAGAAAAGCGAGAGAAGATGAAGAAAGTAAGGTTATTAGTGGGTTGATTCGACGTTGGGAGAAGAGTATGATAACGTTAAAACCCATTTAATAGCATCAATACACGTAGAAACAAGTAGCCGGTTTGATTCGATTTAACACTAATTAATTTTAAAACAACCAAAAAAAGGAACAAAATCAAGCTAATCGGTCTAATTAACCAACTTCCTCGATTTACAGTTTGAAATGCCAAACCCTAGTTTCTTTATCTGCTCCTATGCAGTCATGTCTCACCCAACATACAAAAAAACCAAACAAAATCAAGCTAATGGGTCTAATTTGGCCAACTTCCTCGATCTATAGTTTGAAATTACCAAACCCTAGTTTCTTGATCCGCTTCCATGCAGTCATGTCTTACCCAACTAGGGAAAAGAGTATGTGAGGTGTGGTGGAGAAGATATTTTCACACACACACAAAAAAAAAAAAAAAAAAAAAAAAAAAAAAAAAAAAAAAAAAAAAAAAAAAAAAAACTAAAAAAGAGGATAAGATAAGAATAAAATGGGTATTTTAAAAATATAAAAGTACATGAAAAAGGGAAAACATTAAGTGACAAAGGAATCCCCATAAAAAAATTACATTTTCTTCTGAAAAGGGCAAACGGGCACCAGTAATTGGAGGCTGAAACCGGTACTCGCATGCCGATAAATAAATTCGAAATAAAAGCAGACCAAAAGTGAATTCCGGGCCCACTTTGTGCTTATCAGCGACTTGGGGGGAGGTACAATTTTATAATATCACACATGAAGTTGCACATTGAAACCGATCTCTGGCCGTTGGATTGATCCGCTTACGCTCTCTCTTTGGTGGCTTTCAGTCCTTGTTGGACCGTCATGATCACGGTACTGTTTCGTATATTTATACCCCTCGAAGCACTGTAGCAAATCGCAGGTTTACTTTATTTTTAGTGGTGTGGGCTTTGTCTAAAGGTAGCAAAAGCAGCACAGTACGTGGAATTCTTTATATTCCTAATCTATCCAGTACAAATATGTTATTGACGGCCATATCCCCTACCTTTATAAGTTGACTAAACTATTAATTTACCCAAGAAAATGTTGACCATACTATTTACTTTTTACCCTTTTACCACACTGCAATGCTTGGAACTTGCAACCGTGATTCTCCAAAAGCGCGTGAAATTGCTCCCCACTTGTTTTTCCCAACTTTCACATTTTGGATTTACTGTACAATGTGAGAAGGTCAAGGATTTGGTGTAACTTTTAGAAATATCTAGAAATTAATGCACACTTTGGTAAAATAATTTGGTAATATAAGCCAAATTTGTTTAAAGAGGATAAAATGATACGGCCGATATTAGAGGAGGGGGAATCGAACCTAAAACCTTAATTTTAAGGGTAAATACTTTTAACTACTTAAGATGCAAGTTTCTTGTAAATATGATAAAATAATAAAACAACATAATATTATGCATTACGTATATGTTAATTTCTCACTCACTAATCTTATCAATATTAAAAGATGTTGCAAATTCGAATTCCTCGTCTCTGTTAGTAAAAACATTAAGTTGTTTTGCAACTTGCAAATATATTATTCTATTAGAAATCCAACTTTGGAGGTAGGCAAAGGTAAGCATTGACGTTTAGTTTGATGGCATGAAGCTTTATTGGTTGGTACTTAGAATAATTCATCAACCTAAAATTTGATGAGGTGGGATGGTTCTACACTGGCTCGCATTACTAGTGAACGAATTATCTTATTATACACTATAAAATATATATATAATCTTAGAATGTAAGCATCTAAATGTGTCAATATGATTTAAACCGTTTTCCTATAAGAAACAATATAACACATTGACTCGCAAATATCTACATCTGAATATTTAGTGTCGAGTTATAATTAAGACGACGTATTACGTATTCTTTATTCATAATAAATCTATTTAAAGTGGAGTATCTTGTTTGTAATGAAATTCAAATTTAATTATGACCTAAAATTCCCAATGTGTTCCCATCGTGCATTTGAGTATTGATGAAGGAATGCTTCATGCGCCTATATTCAAGGCAGCCAACAAGTTGTTCTTGCCCCATTTGTTTCGATATAAAATATGCAGACAGCAACCACATCAAGATGTAAAGTGCAAGTAATTAATATCAATAGGAAAATAATGACACTATCTATATATAAAAAGTTGTTACTAGTGTACGATGAAATCTGAAATGTGGGAAAAAAGTTCATACACATACAAATATATAAATCCAAGTGCGTATATCACACTCAATTAAAGAGGAGCGTAGTCATAGCTATTGGGATGGAACATGCCATTTAATTTTTTTTTAATTTTTTTTTATGATATGGACATTTAAATGCAAAAGAGAAATGATAGGTAGGGAAGAAGGCAAAGCTCAGCCCGGGGCAGAAGTGTCATTTTCCCATCTCTTTTTTAAGGTTCACCATTCTTCTCCCCTCTGCCCTAACTGAAAACGACTGCAAGCAACCTGTGGTCTACCTGTGTATATATATCCTCCAATATATGTATTTATATTTATAATTAATATTAATTATTAATTATTTCATGTATAAACATCGAATTTACACACCGACTTAAAATCATTAGTTCTCATCCCTTCTCTTTATATTTAAGTCTCTCTCTCTCTCTCTCTCTCCCTCTCTACCCTTTTAGTCTCTCTGTATATCTTTTCTCTCTGCTTGGGTTTGGTTTTTTGGGTTCTTGGGTTTGTTCCTGATACAGATAAAATATTCTGTGTGTTAATTAAAGGGTTCGTAGCTCTTGAATTGCTTCAAGAAAAATCAGCCATGGTGGATCTTCAAACTGTCTGCTGCATGTGTGGTGACGTGGGTTTTCCTGACAAGCTCTTCCGCTGCAACAAATGCCGCAACCGCTTTCAACACTCGTATGGATTTTCACCATCATCACCATAATCATCATCATCATATACATGCCATGCATCATACATATATATATATATATGGATATATAATATATGCTAGCTAGCTTGTGTATAGATATGTATGTATGTGTGAGTCAGTGGGTGTGTATAAATAGAAATCATGATGTTTTATATCATCACCATCATCATCATGATCATCATGATTCATGTGTGATAGCTACTGGTAACTGAATAGGTAGAAACCCATCTCCATAAAACACCCACCCAACCAACCTATATTATTATTGGTACCATACCATGCACATATATCATGCTCATCATATATAGTACCATAGCAAAACCATCCTATGTCATCATCAACATTTATATGTATATAAACATGTTTATAATGTCATAATCCAATTAATGCTGATACTAAAAATAAATAAATCATTTACTAATTAAGCATGATACCCATGTGAAATTGTGTTACGCTTTTTTCTTCTTTTTTTGGCGCCTGATTAATTATGCTTATTATTTACTTTGTGAAACCATTCGCAATCAAATCTCATGAACGACAGTTTGTTGAATAAATGAAAAAAACAAAACTTAATATATATGTATTCAAATATATATATGCAGGTATTGTAGTAACTTTTATAGCGAGTACGCGGAGCCAATTGAACTGTGCGATTGGTGCCGAAGTGATCAAGAGAGAAGCACCGCAAGGCACGGTGGCTCTTCCAAGAAATCGAGCGTGGTGGGAGGAGTTGAGACCGGAGGCGCTTCGAGCCGGTCCGAATATTCCGGTGACCACAAGATCAAGCAACACGATCATCAACAGCACCGTGATCATCAAGACGGTGGCGGCAGCGGCAGCGGGGAGAAGGCTAGTAAGAACAGCGGCGTGCCGTCACCAAGACCCACTGCACGAAGGTACAAGCTTCTCAAGGATGTAATGTGTTAAGACAGCTTAAGATTGTGAGTGTGTGAGTGTGATATCAAAACAGCTAGCCATGATGATCAGCAGCCTCGTCAAACTAAAAAGGTTTAAGTGTTTATAGAAGTAGATTATGTTAATTATATATATAACTTGTTTTCCATATGGGAGGTCTAGTGTTTTGTTTTCTTAATTTGTGGTGTGGTTTTTCAGTAATTAAGTTATAAATAAAATAACGTAAGCTTTGTTGGGATCAATGAATATCATGAGCTAATTAATTTACAAATCAAGAAGCTTTTCCTGCATGAAGTACAAAAAAAAAGCTTAATGTCATGTGATAATTAATCAATTAAGGTAGGATTGTTGATGCTAATTAAAATAATACAGATTTTGTGATCTCTTCTTATCAATTTGATTACCCAAATGTACAAAAAAAGGTCTTAGACGACGGATTTTTACGTAGGGAAGAAGTATTTGATTTGTACGTACAAGGAGAGTAGAGTATTTGATTTGTAAAAGTGTAGGGTTTGTCTCTGGCACAGCAGGGGGTTCTTGGGGGAGTTGGAAAAAAACAACTTACTTGCACCCGCCTCTTTGCTTGGTTGAGACAGTGCTGATGAGTGAGGAGAATTGAATGCCTTCTCACCAAAGAATTCATAGTACCTAAAGCTGCTAACTTTGACAGATTCATTGAAGGACGGCCTTTAATGGATAGCTAGGCCCTCTCCATTATTGTCACCAATATGAAAAACTAGGGAAGAAGTATATATATATATATATGTGTGTGTGTGTGTTTTCTCCCAAGATTTTTATTTTTTTGTTTTTGTTTGTGAGGGAGGCGGAGTGAGTGCTTGGAAATTGAGGGCTGGAGATGTGAAATTTGAGTGGATGTTGTTGCTTCCTAGGCCATTCATTTAAATCATGAATTCTTAATCATTTTTTCTTCTGCTTACACATGCTCATTTCTGAAATATCTCCAAAGTACACAAGCTGATAAGGTCTCTTCCACTGTACGTGTTTTGGCCATTTATGAGAAAGCAACAAAACTCCTCCTCATTGGGGGTCTCTTGAATTGACAATGAAGCCATCCTTTTTCTGCCATATCCAATTCTATTTTCTTCTTATTTATTATTATTATTTCTTATTATTTTTATTCTCTCTGGTTGATTGGACTTACAAACACTCAATAAATTACATACAAATCATACCAAAAAGTCATCAGAGCTTTCCCAAAATATCAGTCAACAAATAATCCGACTATATTATTTAACAGAATAGACTAGAAATGAAATAAAGAAAATAGTGTCGCATCATCTAAGAATTCAAACTTACATATTTTGATTTGAATTCTGTACAATTACTTCAAATTATTTGTTCGAAAGAGACATTCATTGCCCTGCTTGAGAGTGCTTTTGGAACAGCTAAAAACATTTCTGACAATATTTGACAGAAAAACTTAGAAGTGCTTCAAAGTCATAAACGTGCTTTCTAGAGAAGCACATAATGTGCTTCTTCATAAAGCACTTCAAGATGCTTTTCCATGAAGCACGTGAATTTTTTATATGAAAATTTCAACATTTTTATAATAAAAGCACTTTTACTAGAAGCGATTATAAACAGAAGTGCTTCTTAAAAAAGAAATTCCCAAACGAGCCCAACTCTATCATATTACTCTCTCTCTCTCTCTCTCTCTCTCTCTCTCTCTCTCTCTCTCCAAACAACATCAATTGGAATTTAAAAGTTTAATATTTTTTTTTGATGTCTATACAATTACTCAATAGAAAATGAAGTCCTGGAAACATGGCCTTAGTCAAGTTGGTTAGAGAGAATGTGCTCCATATTCTGCACATGAATTCGACTCCCCCTTCCTATAGTTTAGATTAAATTAAAGTATCGCTTGTATGATAAAAAAATGAAGAAGGAAACTAACTAAAAATAATACATGATTTACCAAAGAGACGTTTCCTCCATTGGTCCACACTTTCCTTTGTTTCCAAACTGTCATTAAGATGGGTCACATGGTTTGCTTTGCCTTCATACCCTCAACCTCCTCTTATCCCACTTACAAGCAAAGCTGCATCAGTAAGTTGTATTTGCAGTTTCTAGCAACAAAGCACATGAAAATAGTGCTATTTTCGTTCGTTCCAGTACAACCCCAATCCTTCGTTCTATTTGATTCCCTTACTTATTTTGAGCTGCACCGAATTAGTAACAAAGAATGATTAGTAGAAAGCATATATGCTTATCGATCTTCAATGTATATCTTCTTTCATAAAAGATCGTCACTAATTTGTTTCTCTTAATGGGAACGGATTCTCTATGCTTATCTTGAATTTCCTTGATTTTCAATCTAGTTGTTACAAATTCAATGGATTTATAGCAATCTTACGTAGCTCGACAAGAACTAATTTGATCAGTGGTCTGTATTCACAGTTTGATAAAATAGCATTTTTCTATATATGTTAGAAATTTGATGTCTATTTGAGATAAAATTTGACGGTTTGATATTCAAATTTCAAGAAAGCACTTCTTATTTTATTATTAATCAAAGTTATCGATGATATGAAATCATATATATCCGAATATACACTCGTGATTAACAAGTATTATTGCAAATAACATATTAGAGTTCTTGGCCAAAAAATAATACTAATCTTGGATAATTTTATTTTTTTGTTCTCTCTTGGTGATGTTAATATATGATGGTTTGCGTGATGATTTGGGGCATTTAACATGTCAAAATTCTAATTTCTAAGCATGTAGGCATTTCCTCTACGCTAACATCCAGAGAAAATTAATTGGGTGTCATCTTCTTGATCACAAAACCAAGAATATCTTCATTCACGTACGTATATATAACTTCTTAGAGTGAATTTAGTTGATTGATTCTCTCTCTCTCTCTCTCTCTCTCTCTCTCTCTCTCTATATATATATACATATATATCTTATTAATAAGAATTTCAAATCCAAAAAACAAAACAGTGTCGTCTAATTAACGATAGTTGACCTCTTCAAATAGAAAAAAACAAATCTTAATTTGTGGTGTGAAATAATGGATTTTGTAATCAAAGTCTTGGAACACATGGAGTTGCTTTATATCAGCCACTTAGGTTTCATTAATTAACATCGAAATGTCAACTCTCTCTCCACTGGAAATCTTTTCGCATTTTTAAGTAGTACTTCTCGATGTTGTGATGATGAGGGAAAGTGATCACCACCATCAGAAATGTCCTCTTATGTGTAAAGCGAGTCAAATTAAAGATGTATTGTTATTGTCACGTAAAGAATTTGTAGCTTAAATGATTAAGAGAAGTTATTCTTGCATTCGAGATTTTCTGTCTTAATTCACCTCTGCAAACCAATGTCATTTTTTATTGAGTTAGACCATATCGGCATGTAAAGACTCTTTTAAGCAATTATTTTAGTATATCTCTCACCGCCATTATTATAGGTAAACATATAAACATTTACTTGGGTTGTGAGAGATGATCTCAAGTTCACAAACCACATTTTTTATATCATAAAACATGTTGGTCAATTTCACTTGGATTTGTGAAATATATAATATATGACTCTGGCAGGGACACAAATGATTATCACGATGATATAAGGGTTATTAAATATAAGGTACATTAGACAAGATCTTGATAATGGGTTCTTTAGTATAAAGATGTCCACTAGTCAAGCACTTAAGCATTAATTTTTCTTGATTTTATCAGAGTGCATGCGCATGCTACCTAAAGAAAATTCTAAACATGGATTATTTTTTTTCCTACTCTTTTTTAATGCAAATAGACGAACTTGTGACGAAACATTTACTAGGATTCAGAATTAGTAAGTCTAGTGGAAAAGAGTCTTGATTTGTAGGTCAGTGGTCTCATATTCAAACTTCCATGACACATTGATAATGTGTGTGAAAAAAACCTCGATACCCTTGAAGTTTAGACTATCGCTTATATTATATTAAAATTTAAAATTTAAAATTCATGAGCAATAAAGATTTCTTTTTTAATTTTTCTAAATAAATAAAAAATCCTCATGAGGAATATTCAAGATTGTTTGCAAACAAATCAAACCGCATGTCTGAGATAATATATTCTTTTTACATAAGCGATATTAAAAAAGGAGAAATTAAAACGAAAGACCTCATGTATAAGCAATACCTTTAATCATTAGAGCTACAAACTTCTTTGTCCGTGGAGGATAACTAAAAATTGAAATATGCTTGTAGGTCAAGATATCATTTTTATAAACAGGCACACGCTCACTGACTTTTGAGATGAAAGTTGCTTTCCATCTGAGAAAATGAGAGAGAGAAAAGGGAGCGAAATGAGTTGCCAATGGCCAATGCCATCGACCTCCCAACCACCCACCAATACATTTTTCGTTTTTCTTTCTTGTATCTAATCTATAGATATTATTTTACTCCGCCAGCCTCCACATCTTCCTGCTAGATCTTCTTCTTGTTTGTTTGTTTGTTTTTCTTTAATGACAAATGAAATTCTCTTTATAGATTCATTTTTCTTCAACACTTGCATCATGGTATATGTATACACACACACATATATATATATAATATGTTTTAATCAATGCTGTCGTCTAAAGTCCAATGGGTCCAAACAAATTAATCACATCATTGGCCACCATGTTTTCCTTTATATTGGTTTAAAGAATACCTTTTGATTAAGACTCCAATTTGACTTTATGGCTTGATTTCCCACATAGGAAAACGATAGAGATCTGGTTGGTGCGCCCAATAATAATGACTAATCACAACTTATATTAAAGTATTTTTTCCATCTACATATTTAGCATCTCGTATACATTGGTTTAAGGTAGTATATGGGTGTGGCACCACAATGTAAAAGTGGGTCAAACTCTCACTTTTCCTTCAAGTGTGCACTCGGGTTTGATTTACGTAAGAGACAATCTTGAGGCAACCCAATATAATACTTCCCCTTCCCCTCCCTAGCAAATGACAAAAAATACATTGGTTTAAGGTATATTTTAGAGATCAGGTCCAACTG